ATTTTCATCTATTTCCTTTAAGCTGAGTTGACTTTTGATTTGATCCAACCATTTTATAGATAGATAAACTTGAAAAAGGGAAGGCAAGAATTATTAATATAATGACATTTGTTATGTCGTAATTCGTATTACCCGTCGAGCTAGAGAAAAAGTATATTTAATTATTGAATCTACACATAGGACCCTACAAAATAAGGTAAAAACCATCATTGTACAAAATTTTTCGTAGCGATACTACAGTCCATACTACGATGGGCATTCTCCTTTATTTATATGATAGTTTTCGAAACCTTTTCAAATAGTCTATTGATTCAAAAACTGCGATAACTCGACTCGGTCTGTTTAAATAAAAATATACCGTCAATTAATTATGAACCTAAATAAAAAAGGTAATCTGTTTTAAGGAAACAACTATTTAATATTTTACTGCAAAGATCTTCACCTTGAGTTATCTTCAAAAGAGAAAGAGATGGGTATTCCTTCTAGCAATATTTAGGGTTCCGTACGCAAAAGGGTGAGAAACTAAACATTGATAATATGCCACAGCTGTCTATCTGTCTGTCACAGTGTCGATTCTTATTCTATTACAACTTGACGTTAACGTAGCGCAAGACTTTAACGTTAACGTAGCAGTTAACAGGTACGTACGTAGTACGTAGGACGTACCGTCCCGTCCGCTGTTAAATGCTTAAAAAAAAACAAATAATTTTTATTTACTTTGTTCGGTTTATTTTTGTTTTTTATTTAATTCAAGAAAAAACTGTAATTAGGTAAACTTATGTAAGCTATATCATTGGAAATGAAAATTATGGCCAAATATCCGGCGATAGATAATAAATATATTTATTTAAACAACAGCTGATTTGGATCTATGATGATGTTCACCTTCGTCATCTTCGTTTTGATGCGAAGAGAAAAAAAAATACGTTTTATATTTTTTCATGTTTCTGCTCATTGACGCACGCGGCTGTGTGTCGTTATACACATACAGTATACCAGTTTAAATTTTATTTTACACAACAGCTACTCATAACAAGATTTTCGTTGACGCAAAAGTCAAAAGGTTAAAAAACACTAGCTGTACATGCGGTTACACCCGAGTTAATGTGAAAGAAAAACTTATAGGTAGGTAATCAACCTTTTTTAAGTGAAACTTCTTTCGGACGGGATGTAAATGGAAAAATCCTATGGAAAACATGAAACGGAAATGCGTCACAAGCTTCACACGACTCTATATATAAAATTACAAATTACAAAAAACACTATATATCTATGCATTACGATCATTAAGATCAATCTATACTCAAAGGTGACTGACTGACTGACATAGTGATCTATCAACGCACAGCCCAAACCACTGGACGGATCGGGCTGAAATTTGGCATGCAGGTAGATGTTATGACGTAGGAATCCACTAAGAAAGGATTTTGATCAATTCTACCCCCAGGGGGATAAAATAGGGAATGAAAGTTTGTATGAAACTTTGTCAATTTTAAACCTTTTGGGCTGAGACTTTGCATGCAGGTATAAGAAGAATCATAGATTAATGTCATTATGACCACACGACTGAAGTGAAACTTAATTAGCTTCATCTGTATGTATATATATGTATATACATTGTGTGTATGTGTACAATATATACATGTATGTACATATACATATTTCATTTACAAGCTAGAAGAGAAAGAGAGAAAGAAAATGTGCGCGTGCACTGCTTTCTCTTGCTTATATCCCCCACTCAACTCCCGTCCGCCTCGCCCGAACACACTTTTCGTAACGCGTAACCCGAGTCAAGCGTGCGTAAAGAAGTTTAACTTCAAAAATAAAGAAGACCTGTGCCCAGCAGTGGGTACCTTAAAAGTCTGATGATACCATTGATTATGAAACATTTCCGGGCACGACAACTTATGTGGATAAACATTATAAACAATATTGATTTTTAAAAGTTAGTAAATTCAGTAAACACGGATACACGGATGAGCTGGTAAATGTAAATATTAAAGCTAAGATGATTCGACCTTCGCAACTAAGTAACATAACAACCCGTTTGTTTACTTAAGTAAGCCAGTGGCAAGTCTTCAATAAACGTAAGCACGTTATATTTCTATCACTGTCAGGGACGCATTTTAAAAATTGACTGCTATCCCTGGCTGCCGATCGCCTAACGGGATTGCTATGGCTATCGCTTACGATTTCATTTTGTTATTTCTGACCGCCGAAGCGCCAAAGCCGAAGCGAATCGAAGCGCGCGCACATTTTCTTTCTCTCTTCCTCTTATAACTAAGTAGTTAATGAAATATGTACTTACATGTAATGTCATCATCATCATCATCATCAGCCTATTAATGTCCCCACTGCTGGGTCACAGGCCTTCCCTATAGCTGAAATAGGGAGATATGTAATGTACACACATGTATATATTGTACACACATATATATATATATACATACATACAGATGGAGCTACAGAAGTTTCACTTCAGTCATGTGGTCCTATGTACACTCATTTTTTTTATTTATTTATTAGCTCACAATAAATAAAAATAGATAATGTAAAGGGAGGACAAAACTTGCTGAGTTTCTTGCCGGTTCTTCTCAGACAAGGCCTTCTGGTAGACTCTTGAACCGATGGCATCAAATTTGACTTTCATCACTTATGAAAGTCAAATTTATTTTATTTAAATAAAAAAGTGTGCAAATTGTACCTAAATGACTAAAGAAATTTTGACTTTGACTTTGACTTCACAAAACAAGTTACAGTTAAGTTCAAACTGGGACTGGTATGTAACCTTACCCAATAATGTAACCAACTAGTTCACTAGTTCCACACTTTATCCATTCTTCTTTAATCTGATGATTGCATTACAAATGGACAGTTATGAGGAAAAGATAGCCATATTGAATCGGTTTTCTCTCTGTTCGAGGTTTTTCTCAACTTAAGATTGTGAGTCTGTGACATCTACAGTCTGCCGATTGCCTTGACGCGCATTTCCAATGTCGACAAGAAAATCTCATTAAAATGTTTAGGTATTACTATTTATTTATCCATGGAAAACAAACGGCATGTTAAAACAACATGATCGAATTCCGGAGGCTGACATATTATCCCAAAAATTATGTGTGTTTTGTTATTATTTAATGTCATATTTAAGTTGTATGTAAAGTGTTTAGCTGTTAGATTTGTTTTTTTTTTTAACCAGTGTACGTTTTGGTCTAGCACTGTAAGTATAGTGTGTAGTAAATAAATAAATAAAGGATAAAACGAAATGATGTAGCATTGATAATAATTGGATTGCCTTAAACAGTTTTCACAAATACAAATGAAACACGATATATTTTATCCAATCGAGGCCGTAGATTAATTTAAAACTAAATAAAAATAAAAACAGAAGTATATAAATTCAGCATAAAGCCATACCCACAGAGAAAATGATGACAAACATATAAAATAATTTAAATTATGTTTTATTAATATTATTAAAAAAAAATACTATTCACAATGTTTTTGAAATAATTTTGTCTCGCCAGAAACACGTCCACATCACATGAATAATTATTGTTGAAATTTTGTGTTACTAATTACTACTATAATTACTAATGAAGTTAATGGTGTACTTTTGATAAGTCTTTTTATATTCATGACCCTGTATGTAGTTCCAACAAACATTGTAACGTCTTAGCTTTACTTATCATTACTGGTCCATTCGTTGACAAGAAGCAACCATGTCCGTTTCATCGGTTTTAAAAATGTAACTTTTAAATTATGTAAACTCTAAATTATGAAAACCTAAGAAACAAATATGTAAACTCTTTCAGTTAAAGCAGTCCCTGTAGCATGAGCACCACAATTTACATTAATAATTAATTAATTTCGTGAATCATGTTTTAGGTAACATGTTAATTCTTCCCAAATACGATTTGGTCCTTCGAGTACTTCAACGGTCGTTGGGTGTTTGTTTACATATACTTAAAATGTTTTTATATTATATTTCATTAAATTGTCCTCTGGTCTGCCGGTATTTACATTATATGTATCACATGAAAAATTATACACTGACCATTATGCTACCGCGGCTCTGATGGCCGTGTCGAATTTTCTCTAGGCTTAGGCTGCAAGGCAGCGCCATCTCTTCGCATTGTAGGTAGCCCACAATAATTCTAATACCTACCTATTTTATGAAAGGTTCTTACGGAAAAAAATGCAAGCTAAATAATTCTAATTTTCTGTAAATGCATTACAGAAAATTACAAAATTTAAGAAAACAAAGCAACATACAACAGGCTGCGCTGCAGTCGTGTTTAAGTTTTTTTTTTATTTTTATCAGCCAGGCAGGACATCGTTTGTCGAATCCGCTAGTATTAAATATTATTGTCTGGAATATTACTTGTTCAACTGTTGTGATTGTGGCAGACAGACATAATTGCATCAACGCGTCTTTATTATTATATTACGTTATTATTGCGTCAACATTTAACTTTATAACAAAAAGGTGCATCTACAAAAACCCAAAAACCGCTTCGCATAAAACTAAATCTTACTCGATTTTAAAAAAACAAGTGACAGTGCCTCAGGAAATGTCCTCAATTATATAACTCTTAAACGGCTGCTGGAGAGATTATTGACAATTATTAGCTATTTCTGGAGCCTCGTAAAGATGTTGACTAAGCGGCGTACATCAAAGCGGTTCGTCTTAGGCGACAACGATGAGGAAGCGCCATCTTACGACGAAGACACCGAAGTTATTCCCAAGGAATTGGTGCAGAAGTTCCAGATGACATTGTCCACGGAAGAGGGGCTGGAGAAAGAGGAAGAACGCGACTCGGTAGTTGAGAATAGACGACTGCTGCGACCACCCAACCAGACATTGCAGTAAGTTATTATAAATATATATTTATAATATATATTTTTTATATATATATATTTCTTGTAGTTTTCATACATTTTATATGGACTCGCCACACACGGTACGCCGGTGGCCGCCACACGCTACAAATCGTCGTTGCTCGCTTCTTGTGGCCCGCACCTGCCACTTTTGCATAAAATAATTAATCGCTAACTGTTTATACTGCCTGTAACAACCTTCTCCACTAGTTTGTCGCTGACCAACAAGAGCTATCAAAGATAATACTCTCTCAGCGGTACTGACTCAGCGATAGCCGCTTATTTCAAAACGCGCGTGCGTGTTATTTTGCTCTGGATTTTCTCCGCGAGCGAGTGGCGCGTGTAATCTCCCATCGTCCTCACACACTCGCTCATAGTCCAACGATAAAACTATCGGAACTAGGTACACACTCGTTTCCCGCTACTCGCCAACTTGTTTCTAGTTTCTAGCTTCAATCGCTTCTCGTTCATTCGTCAGCGGTGTGACAATTGCCTAGCTTTTGCCACTTGCACTGTAGCAAATTGTTGAATATTTTCGGTTACAACGACAGTATGATTTGAATATCATTACCTATTTATGTGTAAATAAATGGTGTGAACATGAAGATATTGTAAAATTGTTGTTATTAATTTTAATGTATTTATTATTCACAGGTCTGATCAGTAAGTTAATGGGAATGGTAAATAAAGTTTTTTTGTTACGATAAAGTTTTTTTGTTTGGCGTACCTTAGGTACGCCTACATACTCAACGGAATTATTTGGTCTAAAGATCCTAATTGGAAAGGGAGAACCTACTTGCCAACTTAAAAAATATGATGCTAATGAAAACCTAAGAAACTATTTCGATCATATTTATAGAAAAAAAACTTTGTCTCGTATTTTCTTAATAAATAAAAATCTGTCTGAACTTTATTTAACAGCGCTATCTAGTAAGAAACTGTTGAACTATTTTTCCTAAGACACTTATTTAAAAAGTAATACCTACCACAGTTTATGATTATAGGTTGTGATCATACAATTATTTTTTGGAAACAGGCATTGCTACTTTCAACATGTTAAAAACTCCAAAAAGTGTTCATGTGCGTGTGTAAAGTCTTGCCTTGCTTTTTACGAACAAGCAACATTAATTTTGGGCGTTCTATTATTTTGAAAGCCAATTTAGGTGAGATCAAAGAGAGATATCATCAGAGAAAGACACAAAAAATCAAAGGCAGCCACGAGTTGCACTTACTCGCGAAGACTGCGAGAATTCCACGCGGTAGGGTAATTTACTTTCTATGGAGAAAGCGTTGAAGCCAATAAATTGTGGTTGTGAACCATTAAAGTCCTTAAATAGGTTAGAACCTAATCTTTAACTTTAATAATACAAAAAATATATAAACACGCCGAGCTAGCCTTTTTTCATTATGCGTAAATTATAACCGCGACCTTTCTGTTTCCAGTTCAAAGATTTAAAGATTGTTTGTTGTCATGTAAACATGTATGGCAATTTTTAAATGTTTTTTAAGGTATTGTGTGCTAGAACTGTTTTCCTTTTGCGAGTTATCAGTATCTATTGGCTTACGAACAATGAAAGAATATATAAATTAACAACTTTTGTTTGTTTAACCTCGAGTATTTTGTACTCATGACAAATTTAACAACGATCAGGCCATGGATCAGGCAGGCTCAGGCAGAAACAACATTCTGTAGTATAGTTTGACGTAAGCAGTAAAGCAGTTACTTTTTAAACTTTAGTTTTATCTCGCTCACGCATCAGTTAAATGGTAGATTTGAGCGAATCAGCATTATCGTACGAGTATCGTATGATGTAGAAGACTCTTTACACGCAACGATTTTCCTGCATTTTTTGATTAATTTAAATAGGAAAGGAGCGATGTTGTTTGCGAATAGTGATGGTAGTCCGGTGAAAAGTGATAGTCCGGTATGAAAGACTATACTCAAATTGAAAAATTTCTCAAGACATTGTTGATACTTACTTTTTTTGTTATAGGCAACGATATTAAATACCCTGTATACAACAACACGAACGAAATCGTGGCCAAAACCTGTACAATCCACGCAGCTCCGTAAGATGATTGCGTTGACAAAAACAATATAAGGCATTATTTAAACATTTAAAGTCACCTTTAATGCATATAGTATAACGTCTTAATTAAAACGCATGCGTCAAAGAGTTATGACAGTTTGAAATGCAAGCTCGTAAAATTTTACGACTTATTGCTATATGCGGAAGAATATAGACCTTATTTCTTTGATTTTACGCGCCCGAGCCCGATCCACGGGGGGGAGGTGGGGGGTGAGCAGGGCATATGCCCAGAGCGGCGGCAAAATTGACATAGGGTCAACCGTAAAGTAAGTTACTAAAGAGCGTCGAAAATCTTTGACCAGAACGGCCAAATTTCTAGATCGGGCCCTGCTACGCGCAATTCTGAATGTGCTGTTAGCAATAAATCAAATACGGACCGCGAAGAAAAGAGACGGCTATATAACGAAATATCAGATTATATTAAAATTAACGAACATTGATTAGATAGCTGTCGAAAAAACGACACTTTACTTACTATAAGTATTTTTCGCATTTTTTCACGGAGCTATGCGGCACTTGACTTTTCAACGGTTCGGGCATGCCTGTGATCCAAGAGTGCTAGAGTAGAGTCCAAGCACTTCTTGATTGAGACACATTTTTGCGCACGTCTTGTATCTAGGGTATTTAATTTTAATATCGTTGGTTACAGTCCTCCAAAGTCCTCATAAGTAATTTTACTAATAATTTCAGTGAAATTTAGTAAATAAACTCACTAATTCTATTTTTATGATGACCAGTGCGTAGATATGAGAGTTCATATTTAAAATAGGTACATATTAGCAAAACACTTAAAAAAACTTACAGAAAAATAATGTATTATAGTTATGGTACTTACCTATACAGTTTTGTATATTATTGTATAATATGTAGATGTAGTAGGCCAATAAATAACTGTTTCTAAAAAATCCGGTGTTTTTCTTATTTAACGTGAGAGCGAAGGAATAAGTATCATCGTATACTGTTGGATAAACAAAAAAATTCACATCTTAAAGTACCTAAGAACACAGTATCCAAATATTGTTTAGTTAATTAAAAGTAACAATGATTATTGTTAAAATTATTCATAAATCACGATATCGTATGGTGTAAACATGTCCAAATCATTCAATTTACTCGTTTTTGTCCGAATCTCTCTCAACGCTTAAATGATTTCAGAAATAAATTCTGCTTTAAGATGAGGAGAAGTTCATCATAAATTATTCAATTACCATACATAGATATACTTTCCTACCTAATTTTATTGTGATATACCTGTAATATATCGTATTTTATATTATTGATTTAATTGGTAGGTATAGTATGAAATGGAGATACTGCTGGCAAATTCAATTAAAAGTTTAAAGATAAATAAGAACACACAACAAAGCAAGTGAACATTATAGAGAGTGGAAAGGTTACTTTGCTATTTGAAAATACATTTTGTGGGAGCAAATCGTATTTATCATTAACAGACAGTGCAGTCAGCCATAACAATAAAGCGACAAACAATAATTATGATTTTGAAAATAATCTTACATTACGAATTGATAATATAAAATGAAATTGATTCAAAATTATGTATGGCAAAACGGATAAAGTATTATCGCGAAGGTGATTCATTATTTAAATATTCATTCACATTACCCGTAGATAATAACAACGATTCGGACCGTAGCATTGGTCAATGACTTTACAATACGTCAAATGAAATGTCAAAGTCTTGCTCTAAAATAAAAAAATACGAAATGAAAACAAATAGGCAAGAAAAAATTATTTACTATTAAATTTGAACGCTATAATCTTTATCTATATGTGAGAGTAAAGTTAATGTTCTTTTAAAAGTGATTATAAAATGTATCCCGCAATGAGCGGTTTGTATTCCGAAGGTCCTTACAGGTTAGTTGAAAGTTTAAAAAAGTGATATTTTTTTATTATTTACAGAAATTGACTCTATATTTTAATACATGGACTTAGACCCTTAATTTTGTTGTTCCCTTTTTTTAATTCTCCTTAAGGAATTTAGGGCAAGGTATTTATTTAAGCTAAAGTATGCCACTAAATTTCTCTTGATTTCACCTGTGATTGTTGTAACCTCTAATGAATACGTCGATACTATTGCGTTATTTCCGTAACTAAACTGCACCGATACATCGCAACCCCATATTATAAGATGTTTTGTTAGTTGGGTACTCAGCAGCGAAAGCTATGGCTGTTAAATTCTCCAGTTGATTTTTAACTTTAATAAATGGTTTGTAAGTTCATAACTGATTGCATTTTTTTTATTTAGTGGTAATGTGTGTGATATGCTGTTGTCTATAGTTATTATTAGTATCACTTTGATTATAAACACACCTAGCTATCCAAATAAATTTTGCAAAGAAAATGCCTTCTTTTATGCAAAATGTGCGAGTGATTATAATGTCTGATTGTTTGAAAGCTGTCAGTGTGTGTGTGTGTGTATGTGTATAGCTACAAGCGTATCTACTTGGTCCCGGCTGCATCTGCAGTCGTTTAGCACCCGCCAATCCGCACTGGCCCCGCGTGGTGGGTCATGGCCTATTCCATCCATAGGGTAGGCCTGTGCCCCAGCAGTAGGGATATTAATAGGCTGATGATGATGATGAGGATAGACTGTCGTCAAGCTAGGACAGTTATATGACCATTCTAAGTTTTCTTCTAAAGTTCGAAGAAATGAAAGCTTAGGCATATAAAACACTACAAATGATGTTAAAATATTGACAAACAAAAGTTTTTTAATAAATCATCTTGCTTAAAAAGTTCTGATAGACCTTTTAAGATCACAACAAAATGAATTAAATATGAAATACATTTTCTAAAATTCATTACTTATTTTTTTACTTATATAATATATCACAAAATGTGTTTTTCTTTACTCGCAGCTACAACAGGTACTCTGTTTTAAAAATAACAATAGGGATGATAAAGGTGAAGATTCTACTTGATCCATCAGTTAGATAATCAAAATATAATGGACACCAAATTTTTCTTTTATCTATCAACCAAAAAATTACAAAGATAAATCTCATCAAAGTTTGGAAGTGGAAATTCGTGAAGTAATTTCTATATAAAACATGTACCAAGATGTGACATTTCAATTCAAAATACCTCTGTAATGTTTTGATTATATGAATAAAGAAAAATTGTGTCCAATATTTTTTGATAATCTACCTCATAGATAAAGAAAAATAGTAACTCATTGGTGTCGATTCTGACATGATTCTCTAAACCTAAACTTAAATTTGACAACAGTGTATCCTTGTCATTCTCTATACAGAATGAAAAGGAGAGACTGATGTTAAATTTAGTTTTAAGTTTCGAGAATCCTGACAGAATCGACACCAGTATCTCCATTGATATAAAATGATGTAATTTATTATTCTTATTTAAATTACGATTTCTTTACAGGCCTTCTATGTCCCAGGGTACAGTGATTCATAGCCAAAGGTTTCAAGAGAAAGACTTCACCATTGCTACACCTGAAGAGTTTGTGAGAAGATTCCAAGGCACCAGGCCAATTAATAAGGTAAGCACTGAATTGAATGTGGTATTAGGCTGATTAAGGAATCTATATACAGGGCGTCCCACGGCAACCTCACACGGAGGGAAAGTATATTAAATATTGAAGATATTTTACTGAAAGAAGACATCATTTTATTTTTAATAATAAATAAAACTGCATTCACAGTTTTTTTTATAATCGCCTGTTACAACCGGGAATCAAACTCGTGAAATTTCGAAAAAAAAAAATAACATATTTTATGTAACCATCGAAAGGGTTAATCATAAGCATTATTTTTTGTTTATTACATAGCATTTTAAATGTATATAAAACTCAAAGGTGACTGACTGACATAGTGATCTATCAACGCACAGCCCAAACCACTGGACGGATCAGGCTAAAATTTGGCATGCAGGTAGATGTTATGACGTAGGCATCCGCTAAGAAAGGATTTTGATTAATTCTACCCCCAAGGGGATAAAATAGGGAATGAAAGTTTGTATGAAACTTTGTCAATTTTAAACCGATCAGGCTGAGACTTTGCATGCAGGTATAAAAAGAATCATATTTCTTTAGATTAAAACATATAGCAGTTACATGCTTAAAAAAATATGACTATAATTGCTATTTCTTCTATCAAATGTTTAAAACTTGTAAAGGTATTCATTTGACACTGTGGGATACCTTCAATGCGAAGAAATAGCGCTGCCTTGCTGCTTAAGAAAGCCTAGAAAGAATTCGACACGACCATCAGAGCCGCGGTAGCATAATTGGTCAGTGCATACGCCCGGATAGCGAAGGGTGCGGGTTCGTATCCCGTCTGCTGCCTGGCAAGCCTGGAATTTTTTCTAGTAATATTTTTTAGAACCGGTGGTAGTTTACGGTAGTTAGGGTCAAGTAAATAAACTCAAAATTACAAAAAAGAATTTGAAATCAAATACTTTATTAAGTAAATTAAATAATAAATTCATACATAGACAATCAAACTTAAAAATCAAACAATGAAATAACCAAACGCTCAATAAAAGTCTTTCAAAGGTAGCTCGACAAATTGAATAAAAGTTTTATTCTGACGACGAAGCCTGTAAAGGCTACGAAACGTCAATAAATAAATAAAGTTTCGTGCATTAACCCGTAAAAACTAGTTTTATTTAATGAGTGATGTGCGTGAAAACCTAAGAAACAAATAGTAATATTTTCTTTATTCATCATCATCATCAGCCTATTAATGTCCCCACTGCTGGTGCACAGGTCTTCCCTGTTGATGGAATAGGGAGATTGGGCCATGACCCACCACGCGGGCCCAGTGCGGATTGGTGGGTGCTAACGACTGCAGATGCAACCGGGACCAACGGCTCAACGTGCCTTCCGAAGCACGGAGGAACTCGAGATAGTAAATTTTTGGTCACCCATCCAATGACCGACCACTGGGAAAGTTGCTTAACTTCAACGATCGCAGCCGAACGCGCTAACCAGTTGCGCCATCGAGCTCCTCTTTTTTTATTATTTTTTTCTTTATTATTAATCTTCTAATTTTGCTATTGCCAGGTTCTAATCGCGAATAACGGCATAGGTGCTGTGAAATGCATGCGGTCGATCCGGAGATGGTCTTACGAAATGTTCAAGAACGAGAGAGCAGTTCGCTTCGTGGTCATGGTGAGTTATCCATACATTGGTTTTTAATTTATCCATCGTTATCATCATTCTGTATATCCCAGATAATTTTGAAAAGCTTTTGGTGGAGGAAACGTGGAGGGCAAGAGGAGTAGGGGCAGGAAGTCTACTCTATTTCAAGGAAAAACTAAATATCGATCGAAAGGACATCGACGAAATCGGCCCTAGCATGCCCAAAAGAATGTTCTTCACTATTATTTTTCTATAATTTTTTTAACTTATTAGCAATTAATCCTAGTAAACGGACAATCTGTTTAAAAAAATAAAAAATAAAAGTTCTGTTACTAGACACTACAATCTGTTCATCCAACTTGTCCTATTTGGTAAACAATCTTGGCATTCCTTTTTATTGAAAATACAGCATTAAAAATCAACTGATAACTGGATTCAATAGGTTTCAGTCTATAATAACGATTTATTTTAATAGTTTATTGGCTTCGTTAATATTTTATTATTAAATGGGTGATTCTGTTAAAATGCAATTTAGGCGACCATAGGTATTTATCAACATAAAAATAGAACTAGGTACCTTAGTTTAATACTTATTACTAGTATTTATTTATATTATATTTATAAAAATATTATTTCTGAAATTATGTAAAGATAGTTTATACTCCCGTCCCATGTAATATCTGTTTATTTTTATGAAAGTCATAATGATAAGGTACATACCTAATTACCGATAGTAAAATATAGAAACAGGTAAATGGAAAGACTGAACATTTCATTTGAAAAGAAATCTATTATTATTACAGGTAAGTATCATAGGTGCCAACTGCCAACACTCATAAATCAATATGAATATAAGCATTTTTTTATTATTAATTGCATTTTATGTTCATATAATACATATTATTTAAGTGCTTACATAGAGATAAACACTAAATCTATTCAGAATATATAAAGTGTAGATCTTTTACGATTAAGTATAATAATTATAACCTCAAAATCTAATACATTCTGTAGTAGGCCACGGTTCCTCAAGTTGTCCGTATCTCAACAAATGCCTAAATACAGTTTATGAATGATTCCGAACACAAGTAGCGTTTTCTCATTGCTGGGCGTTCTAGGGTATTCAATGTATGGGGAACGAGCAATGTCCTTTCGCACTTTTCCTTCTCTATTTCCTTTTTATTTCGAAAATTCGTTCGTCCGAAAATAGTTTGACAGTTAAATTCTCCAAGCCTACTCTAATTCACATAACTGTCAAACGAAAAGTTGAATTTGACATATAATTGTTCGAAATTTTAACCTCAAATTGACGAAATGAAAGGTGTTACCTTTTCATTTTCGATTTGGGACTTCTGTTTAAATTAAGCCTAAAATTACTGATAGAGTATTTTTAATCAAGGCTGGTTAGCGTGAGGATCATTTTTAGCATGTCAAATTAACAAATACACCAATTTTTAATTAATTATTATAGTTCCAATACTTCAAAGTATTAAACGACAAATTTAGGTTGACATACAATGAAGTGCATCAACTCTACAAATTAGTCGGCTAAAACTGTCAAAGAAGGTTCTTATAATGTCATCAAAAATTTTGTAGTAAAGTAATATTGTTTCCAAGTAAAACAGGTAATCTAAAAAGTGGAGATGAATGAACTGACTAACATGACTCATTCCATTCGTTCACGAAAGTTGTCTGTGATTTCGAACTTTATGTGCGTGTTCAAAAATGAAATAGAGTAGAGTCATTGGCGAAATTTCGTTTAAAATTCGTTCGTTACAGAAATTTCGTTTCGGAGAAAGAGCTCCATCCCGGTGGTTGGACTAGACGTCTTTAATGGTGATAAAAAAAATTTTTTTGGCGTATTCAAGGGCTTCTTATTTCCTTTTTTAAACACAAGTTATCGAAATACGAAGATACAGGAGCATAGAATGAGTAACATTATTTTTTATGTATGAAAATAAATTTTAAGTGATAAAATTAAAGAAGGAATCAGTCGAGAACGAGTTTGTATGGAAGAGACATTGCCCGCCTCCCTTCTTAAGCTCGGAGAAGTTCTGAGCAAGCATTTGTTCGCTCGATAAATGGAATGCTCAGAGAAAATATTCAGTCGGGTTTGCGTTGTTTGCATTGGTGATTGAGCAAGAGAGCATTCGTTGGCTGAGTCCAGTCAAACATCGTTGGACCAACTGGTTCGCCCGCTCTTATGTTTCCATATACCGAACGAGCAAATTTTTGCTCACTCAGCATTGTTCTGAGCACTAAGTAGAAACGCTGCCTTATGGCGCGATTACATTTGGTCCTACGCCCGAATACGAGTGCCAATGGAATTCGTGTAAATGAACGTAGTCGAGTATTCGGGTAGATTTCCTTTTGTTTACCCGACACCGTCTTCCAGCTCGTATGTAAATATTGCTTCGGGTGCCCGAATTCGAGTAATGTTTACGTGCCGTTTTGGCCATATCTCAAAAGTTGGCTTTGACATTTAGCCGCATTTTAGCTTGGGGACGGCAGAACTAGTGAGGTGTCTCGTGTTTTTGTAGTAAATTTGGTGTTTTATTTTGTATCGCTATCTTAAAGACTGTTCTAGTACATCTATAAATTTGAGGTACAAAGACAATTTAGCCCTACCCTCATCAAGTCTTAAAATCCATAATTCAGGTCCACGAATAAACGCAATTAAAATTTATAATAAATTACCTACATATACTGGTTACCTGGGAACTGTATAACCGTATAACGGTAGAACAAAACGTAAAAAAGTTCGCACAACATTTAGAAACAATATTTATTGAATAAAACCTATAGTATGCAAGAGTTTTTTGATGAAAGGTAGCGTAGGTACTTGTATTCTAAAATTTTACTGTAATTGATTTTAATTATGTATATTTTTTTGTATATTGATATTGTAGTGCCCTTATAGGGTTCATGTTTGGATATGAAACTAAATCTTAATAACAATTGAATTGAAAGAATTTCCATCGCGTCGTGTCTCAGTGTAAGACGACACCTACATATATATTTTTCATATATTCTTAATCTGATATCATTTTATGCTTTACCATTGTGACAATGGAAAAGAATCAGTTTTACTTATTTCACACCCTGTTCTTCGTTACAGTAATTTCCACAATATTTCGGCACTTAATTTGCAAGCGCAATGATCAGGGAGTTGGTAGCAATTCATTTAATAACAAAAGTTACTGTAATGTTTGTGATCATGAGAGTTCAAAACAATATATCTTATAATTGTTATTTCTTCTTTCAAATGTTTAATACTTGTAAAGTTATTCATTTGACATTGTGGATTACCTACAATGCGACGAGATGTCGCTGCCTTGTAGCTTAAGTAACACTAGAGAGATTTCGACACGGCCATCAGGGCCGCGCTAGCATAATATTCAGTGCATTTGCCCGGATAGCGAAAGGTGCGGACTCGAGTCCCGTCTGCTGCATGGTCCGCGTGGATTTTTTCTAGTAAACTTTTGTTTAGATTTAAGAAATATATCCTGTTTTTCTTTGACCAGGTGACTCCAGAAGACTTGAAGGCCAACGCGGAGTACATCAAAATGGCTGACCACTACGTGCCAGTTCCAGGGGGGTCGAATAACAACAATTATGCCAACGTTGAGCTGATCGTGGACATTGCTGTCAGAACTCAAGTTCAGGTACGTTGACAAATGGCCAACTTAAAAATTGGTTATGGAACTTTCGTTCTATGGTTATTAGTACGTTTATTCTGTTTTTTATTAGTACGTTTATTCTGTTGAATAGAATAATTCTTTATTGCAAAACTGTTACATTTTGTGATACTGCTAGATTGGTAAAAGAGTGCATTAAAAAGGTGTGTTTAGCTTAATTCTTTGCTGCTGACTTATACAGACGATTGTTGATTGTAGTTCCTCGTGCAATTTTGAATAAATCTTTCTGATTGTTAAAATTAGGAGCTCGATGGCTTAAGTGGTTAGCGCGTTCGCCTGCGATCGTTGAAGTTAAGCAACTTTCGCAGTGGTCGGTCATTGGATGGGTGACCAAAAATTTACTATCTCGAGCTTCTCCGTGCTTCGGAAGTCGTTAACACCTACCAATCCGTACTGAGGCCGCGTGGTAGGTCAGGGCCAATCAATTTCCCTATTCCGTCCATAAGGATGACCTGTGCCCCAGCAGTGGGGATATTAATAGGTTGGTGATGTGATGTGTGCGTGAAAACTTAAAAAACATAATTCTTTCTCTTTTACTCCAATCTACATAATGTTTTTTTGTTGCATTTAGGCCGTATGGGCAGGTTGGGGCCACGCCTCCGAGAACCCTAAACTACCAGAGTTGCTGCATCGCGCCGGTGTAGTGTTTATCGGGCCCCCTGAGAAAGCAATGTGGGCTTTAGGCGACAAAATCGCTTCGTCCATAGTGGCACAGACTGCAGAAATACCTACGCTGCCGTGGAGTGGAAGTGGTAAGTGTTATTAGCGGTAGATGGCGCTGATTTGAACTTTATTAGCGAAATTCGTCTACGAGCTGTAATTGGTTTCTCATACAATCTTCTAACTCACCTTAAAGAATGATTTACATTTATTTATTTATTTATTTATCTTTAACAAAGTTTCTACAGCGGTTTTTGTGAAATTTAATACAATAAAATATAGATATAATCTTAAAGCCAATTACAGAAACTCATTACGTACACATTAGATATTAACGGCGTTATTATATGTCAGTAATTATTACATTTAATTTAATTTTAAAAATTGCATAAAAATCGTATAATTCATTAACATAAAAATAAAATAAAATTAAGATTGGGCAAAAACATAACAAAAAGACAAAAAAGAAGAAAAACAAACACTGAATATCCATATAAAAAGGATTTCAAGAGTTTGTCACATGATAACCTTATGAAGTGTGAGTGGGTGTGTGTGCGCGTATGTATGTGTGTTTGTGTGTGTCCATGCAGCTGCAATGCTATGCCTGGTAACGAGATAGAATAAAAGCTATCCTATGTTCTTTCCATTTCAATTAAATTTTTACATTTGCCATAGATCTGTACAGTCTTTTCGGAAGTAACAGACAGACACACTTTGGCATTTATAATAGGGATGATGACTCATTTTTTTTTCTTCGTTTATCAGGTAGATTATCAAAAAGTATTGGACACGTATTTTTTCTTTTTTTTACATAATATAAACATTGCAGAGATATTTTGATTTGAAAAGTCGCATGACGTCACGTTTGAGTACACTTTTAAGTGAAAATTCACTAAAAAGTGACGTCACGAGCCCCTATTCTCAAACTTTGACGCGCTATATTTTTGTCATTTTTGGTTGATTGCCCAAAGAAAAAATACGTGTCCATTATTTTTTGATCATCTAACTGATGGACTAAATAGAATTTCGTTTACTGTACCCATCACCCCTATTTTGGTATAATTACGTTATGTTGGTGTATGTTAGAAATACATATTCATCTTATTCAATATGCGAATTTGTACACAGATCTTACTGCCGAGTATAACAGTAAGAAGATAAAGATTTCTTCAGAGCTCTTCGCTAAGGGATGTGTTTCTACACCAGAACAAGGGTTGCAGGCTGCGCAGAAAATAGGTTAGTACCTTTGAATAGTAGATTGCTGCATCAAGCGCAAAGTGAGTTATTAATGCCCGAGCACATGCGAGGGCTCTAAATGAACACGAATGCATTAATAGGGTATTTGACAAGTTTTAGAAAACGATCTCACGTTATTGACTAATGTTTATGTAAAAAGTGGATATTCATCATTCTGTTGTGTATTTCAGTAAAAATAACCAAATCAAAAACTCCATTTTCAAGTTGCCGCTATAACGTTTTTCTGGACAATATGGCGTCTTACTAGTATGTGACGTCTCACGACTGTTATTAAAACGTCAAACGATACAATGTAATGTCACTTTAACCGGAAGTTTACTTGCGTGTGACGTCATTTTAGGCTCCGCCAATCCTAAGCGTTTTGGGTCACGTGACAATAGATAAGAAAACTATTTTCTTTTTCGTGGGTTTTTAGTAAAATTATGATTTTTTTTGTAAAAATAGTAAAAAAACCCTGCCAATATTCATTCAAACACAGATGCTAACAATTGGCACTTTATTTTTAATACTGTCAAATACCCTATTACTCAGTGTAGCAAGGTGCGTTACCTACTTATCTTTCAACTACCAATCTACCTCCCGTGATCAAACTTACCTATACTCAATATAAAAGCTCAAGTTAATAAAAAAAATAGTTTTTAAAGTCATCGATAGATGGCGTTACTGTTGTGTTCACAATGTATTGTGGTACAGACACACAAACTACCATTGTTTTTTAATACATTTTAACCTTAATCATGTGATGTAAAGTCAGTTGGAGAGATTTGACCCATATTTTTTGCTGTCAGGTTTCCCTGTCATGATCAAGGCTTCCGAAGGTGGCGGTGGCAAGGGTATCAGGAAGGTGGAAAACCCCGATGACTTCAGCAACATGTTTCGACAGGTATAAATGTTTTACTAAAGTGACCGCCTGCGACTTTGTATGCGTTGTACTTATTTCACGGAGCTCTTCGGCATCTTGAATTTTTAACGGTCCGCGCGTGACTGTGAACCAAGAATAAGGGTTTTTTGGAATGACAGGCACCAGGTGGCAGTACTGAGACGAAAGGTCTAATCATTCGTCAAATCGCATACGATCTCATAGTCTATGAATCTGGTCTATGGAGTTGGCGCTAAAAAATTCATACAAAAGACTTCACGTAACAGTGGCGCCAACTGGTGACGTAAATTTTCATAAACACCTTCATTGCTTGAGTAGAGTTCAAGCACTTCTTGATTGGGACACATTTTGAGCGCACGTGGTGCATCTAGGGTATTTAATATAGTTGATGCAAGGACAAATTTTTGACCCGTCCTCCCTTTTCCATCCATAGGACAGGCCTGTGCCCCAGCAGTGGGGACATTAATAGGCTGATTATGATGATGTATTTATAATGTTTTTCTTTATAGGTACAAGCTGAAGTGCCCGGATCACCGATATTTGTCATGAAGTTGGCAAAATCAGCCCGCCATTTGGAAGTACAACTCTTGGCTGATCAGTATGGTAAATATAATTTTTATTTTAACAACCCCTTGTTGCAACGGCAGCTCTCTTGCCTTCCAATCGAATTGCAGAGGCCGGAGGGAATTTTGACAACTCCGAGATGTCGAAATTTCTAAGAAAACTGAGCAACGCCCCCTATCGTGCGTACGAATAAAATAGCTTTACCATACAAACACTATTTCGATTACGACACTTTACGGAACTTTCAAAAACTGATGCTTGGGTCCCTGGGTTCGAATCATAGTTTTGGCGTTTATTTTTGTGACACAAGTTTGGGACTTAGGTCCAGATTTTTTTAATAAAATAAATTAAAATTAAAATAGTTTATTACACACAACAAAATGGTGCATTAAATCGTAAGTTACAATATTTGACTTAAATGCTATGAATTATATAATTATAATAATGATAACTGAATATATATTATTAATTTATATTCTGCATTTAAAGTCATAAAATTAAAATATTGTGAAATGTAATTTAATGTATTCAAATGTCAAACAATGTAAGTGAATTTGTATAACCATTTAATATTTTATACTAACTCAATAAAACCTCAATTAAACCTTAACTTACAACTCTACCCAATGTGGATCTGCTTAAGAAAAAGTTTATTTTTTATATTATTTTTACCGGTCAAGACAACGTCTGCCGGGTCCCTTAGTTACCAGACCCCTCTTTCCCAGTGGGCACTTTGGGCAAGTGCCCAGGCCATAATTGGGCCCCTATTACCAAACGGAGGTCATAGGGGCCCCATTATCCTAATATGCCCAGGGCCCCCAATAGGTCAAAGCCGGCACTGCTAGTAACTGTATATTATTTAATACGGTATTTGACAAGTTTTAGAAAACGATCTCACTAGAGTCCATACAAAGTAGAATATTTTTTATTCTGTTGTTGTAATTCAGTAAAAAAAACTAAATTAAAAATTCAATTTTCAAATAGCCGCGAAAACGATTCCGTCGATATTATGGCGTCTCACTAGTGTGTGATGGCAGACGACCGTCATAAAAACCTCAAAGGATACAATGTAATGTCACTTTGGCTGGAAGATTACTAGACTGTGACGTCACTTTAGTCTTGGCCAATCCCAGGGGGTCAAGTGACCTAGGACTAAAAGAATCAAATTTATGATTTTTTAGAAAAGTTATTAATTATTTGTTTTTTCAGAATAGTAAAATCGCTGCCAATATTCACATTTCATACATTTTATTTTATTTCATACATACATTTTGACGACCTCCTTTGCCGAGTGGTTTGTACGCCGGGTTTCATGGTGTCGCCGACTCGAGAGGTCCCGGGGGTTCAAATCCCGGTGGGGGCATAAGTTTGTGTGATGAACACGAGCATTTGTACTCCAGTCATGGATACTTAATACGTATTTCTATATAAATATACTTATGTATGTACTGTATATGTATTCTATCCGTTACCCTAGCATCCCATAACACAAGCCTTACAGAGCTTACTTTGGGCTAGGCTAATTGGTGTGAGTGTTAGAAATATTTATTTTATTATTATTTTTATTCTTCTAGGTAATGCCATATCTCTATTCGGCCGCGACTGCTCCATTCAAAGGCGGCATCAGAAGATCATTGAGGAGGCACCCGCCGCTATAGCTAAGCCCGAAGTCTTTATAGAAATGGAAAAGGTATGTGTTTTTCTATGACACGATTTTATGTAAATACTGCTATACTCTTTACAAGTTCCTCTGATACAAAAAGCAAACATGGATTTCAATAGGTCGAATTTTATACTCAAATAATTTCAATAAAAATTTGAAAATAAAATAGATCTAATACTGTAGCTATTCCCAAACTTTGAACGGATCATAGAATTTATATTTTTAATTTTTAAACATGTAACTGCTACATGTCTAAATCTAAAGAAAATTTTACTAGAAAAACATCCACACGGGCCACGCAGCAGACGGAACTCGAACCCACACCCTTCGCTATCCGGGCGAATGCACTGACCATTATGCGCTTTTCAGGTCTGCACTGAAAAGGCTGCGAAACGTCAATAAATAAATAAAGTTCGTGCATTAACCCGTTAAAACTAGTTTTATATAATGAGTGATGTGCGTGAAAACCTAAGAAACAAATACATGATTTTTTGAGATTATTTGAGAACTATAGTTTTACTAATGAATAGTATCGCCGTAGAATTTATTTGATCTTTAACTATTTGTGTTCTTTTTAAAAGCATTGAAGGCATTGTGTTATCTTTATAACACAGAATATGCGCAATATTGTTATATTTCACATACATTGTGTTTGGATGTCAAATTGTGACTAAAGCGAATTGTGGTCATGCACCACAATTTAAGCGGTTTGCTTTTGAGCCGTGAGTGCCGCATCTTCCCTTTTTGTTTTAATCTTAGCTTCTATGCTTAAGTTTATTGTTCTGAGTAGTGTTTTCTAAACTCTTTGATTCACATACAATGACAGTATAGGCTTTTTAACAGGTGGCTAGACCTCAAGCCTTGATGATGCCACCTAGCGCCCTTTGTTACAGAAAACCCTCATTGCTATGAGTGTTAAAAATATTTATTAGATGAATAAGACTAAAAGATTCCAACTACCAGGATACACTCACTATTTTAACATCGACATAGCAGCAGAGGCGGCGGCGTGTCAATTTTTGCTCATAATTCATTAAAACACAATTTAATTGAAGAAAGCTCATTTAACGAAAATCACTTTCTCTGGATACACGTAAACAAATTCTCTTTAGATATAGGAGCTGTTTACAAACCTGAACGTACTAACAACAAGGATTTTTTACAATATTACTCAGAACAGCTAGAAAAAAGAAAAAGGGGACTGGTTTTTGGAGACTTCAACGAGGACCTTTTAAGCATGGATCGATCAGTTGCTGACTATAAAGCAACCGTAAAGGAATGTGGATTTCAACTCATCAACAAAATAGATACCCATTTCTGCACCAGAGAAAGTAGCACAACAAAAACAATACTCGACCATGTCTGCTCCAACTTGAAAAATAATGTTTTCCACCTAGCAGTTGTGGAATCGGATATGTCTGATCATAAGCAAATATATTTCGAAGTAATAAATTACAAATCTAAACCTATAAGATCAATCCAATATGAAGCAATTGACTATAATAGTTTGTATAATACGATTGAAAATATGAACTGCAATGCAAAGCTTGATTATCATGTCTTTGAACAAAATCTTATTTCATCCATACGCCAAAATAAGATCACTAAAACTAAAAAGTGTAACCCACCGAAACAAGACTGGATAAAGAAAGATATTATAAAAGCAATAGAAAAAAGAAATACACTAAGACTAGAACACAAAAGAAATCCAACAGATAAGCAGGTAGAAGAGGAATACATAAAAAAGAGACAAGCATTATCACGAAATATAAGAACAACAAAATACCAATACTACTACAAGGCATTTAAGGACTGTGAAAATAAACCTACTAAAATATGGAATTTAATAAACACTCTGTCACACAACAAAATAAAAGATATCTCGGTTCCAGCCAAACTCCAGACAGATACTAAAACTATCACAAATACCCAAGAAATATGCGAATACTTCAACCAATATTTTTCAACAATCGGAGCGTCTTTAGCAAACGAGATACTAATAAATTTTCATTCCCATACCACCTCGAATACAACAACATTAGACCAACATACACAGAAACTGTCGCAACTAACACCTACGACTGAGGAAGAGGTTACCAAGATCATCGATAATCTAAACTTAAAAATAGCGTCAGGTATAGATGGCATAAACACCAAATCTATTAAGTGTGTCAAGAAGCTTATTGCCCCTGAGCTCACAAAATGTATTAATAAGTGTCTTGAAATTGGTATCTTCCCCTGTAGTCTCAAAATAGCGAAAGTCACTCCTATACACAAATCTGGAAATAAATCCAACCCTGGCAATTACCGACCAATTTCAGTTCTCTCAGTACTCTCTAAGGTGTTTGAGAAAATTTTATACAACCGTCTTGAAACTTTTCTGACCTCGATTCAATTCCTTTATAACAAGCAGTACGGTTTTAGGCGCCAATCGAACACCTTCAGCAACTGTAGATTTGACCACTAAAATAAAAACTAAGATTGATGAAAAGCATATCGTGTTAGGCATATTCATAGACCTAAAAAAAGCGTTCGATACCGTGAGTCATGATCTGCTTTTGAAAAAGTTGGAACAGATTGGCATCACGGGTGTCGCATACGCAATGATAAAATCCTACTTAACAAATCGCATTCAGGTAGTTAAAATCGGTAATTTCCAGAGCCAGCAAAAACCTGTAACATACGGCGTGCCCCAGGGCTCGATTTTGGGTCCCTTGTTATTTCTGATTTACATAAACAGCATAAGTGAAATAGGCTTAAGAGGAGACGTAACTTTATATGCCGATGACACAAGTTTATTTTACTTCGGAAGGTCAATAAATACTATTATTGAAGACGCTCAAAATGATCTTGACGCATTGCATCATTGGTTTCAATGTAATCTACTGACTATCAATATATCTAAAACTAACTACATTATATTTAAAGCTAAAAACAAAAAAATACCAGATTTTAAACCACTAAGCATAAATAACCAAAAACTTAAAAGTTCGAATTGTGAAAAGTACCTCGGCCTGCTTCTTGATAGCAATCTGTCATGGAAACCGCACATAGAGAAAATTAAATCAAAGTTATCCACTATTACTACTCTACTACTATTGGTACTCTTCGAGGAATAACACGATGTTTCCCATATAAGATGCGTTACCTTATATACAATTCCCTCGTGAAACCACACATAGATTATCTGATTGAGGTCTGGGGTGCTGCTGCAAAGAGTAACTTGGACCCAGTCCAACGAGCCCAAAATAAAATTATAAAAGTGCTCTTTGATTATGATTATCTCACGCCAACTAATAAATTGTACGAGAAAACGAAACTGCTAAATATAAGACAGTCGTATGTTTATTTTACATGTTTATTAATTCGTAAAATATTAACAAAGGATATTCACACTCAAATGAGCTTCACTAAAAAGAGACAAATCCAAAAAATTAAGCTAAGAAATGCCAATGACCTTATTTTACGTGCACCAAGAACTAACTATGGTAAAAAAAGCCTTTTGTGTGAAGGAGCTGTATTATATAATAAACTTCCTAAAGACATAAAAGAATCACAAACAATTTTAGGCTTTAAAAAGCGACTTAGATATTATGTGCAAAAATCTGTAACATAATTGAGTACGCGATTTTATTTAAAAATATATTAATAATCATATATTATTAATAATTATAACACCTTGTAACAGATAAAACTAAAAATATATTCCTCGATATGTCTATATATTTATATAATATGTATTTCTCCGTATAAAATTATAAATTTAACTATCTCAAATAAAACAGCATAAAAATAATAAACTGTAAAAAAATATGAATATACAATACAAGTCATAAATAAAGTTAATGTTAAAGTTAAATATCAAACTCATCAGAATAAAAATAGACGAAAAAGTGTTATAAAATATGTATATATATATATATCACTACTTCGGTTTTTTCGTGATAATTTACATGCATCAAATAAAAGATGATGAGTGACGTTGAATTACCAATATAATAAATATAAATTATTTACAAACTAAACTCCTAACACAAGCAACTCAAGCCACTTCTAGTACGACGCGGAGCTATAACTGTGATCAAAGTTTTTTTTCATTTGTTAACCGAGCCATCTATGCCCGAACGTAATCAATGAGCAGTGACACTGTTTTTAGTTCTACCCCCGACTTCAATGTATCTCCGTATTTAACCAAAATGTTATTTAAAATATTTTATGTTCTCATGGTAAGTGAATTTTGTAATTTTTTATGAGAATAAAGATCTAAAACCGTATGTTTAAATCTAAAGATTTTTTTTACTGTCTACCACTTTTTTTTTCTATATAGTACTACGAAAATTTTACCATTGTGCTACGGTAGCATAATGGTAAAATTATGGTCAGAGCATTCGCCTGGATAGCGAAGGGTGTTCGAGTCCCGTCCGCTGCTTAGTCCGCGTTCATTTTTTTCTACTAAAATTTTCTTTACATTTAAATATTTATTTTCTTATGTTTTTATTTTTTTAAGCATTTTAAATTACTCGATGTTTAAATCTAAAGAAAAGTTTTACTAGACAAAAATTCACGCGGGCCAAGCAGCGGACGGTACTCGAACCCGCACCCTTCGCAATCCGGGTGAATGCACTGACCAATTATAATACTACGGCCCTGATGACCGCGTCGAAATTTTCCTAGCCTTAAGCTGCAAGGCAGCGCCATCTCTTCGCATTGTAGGTAACCCACAATTAATGTTGTTTCAGGCGGCTGTCCGTCTAGCAAAAATGGTCGGCTACGTTAGCGCCGGCACGGTGGAATACCTCTACGACCCAGCCACTAACTCGTACTTCTTTCTGGAATTGAACCCGAGACTGCAGGTGGAGCACCCTTGCACGGAGATGGTCGCCGATGTAAATCTACCCGCTGCGCAGTTGCAGGTCAGTTGTGAATATAATACTTATAAGGTTAAATGTTTAATTTAGGTTAAATTAAGGTTAATGTAAGTAAATGGTGTCGATTCTGGCATGATTATCTAAAACAACGATATGAAATATCCTAGATACAACATCACGAACAAAATCGTGGCCGAAACCTGTCCAAAAGGTACATTGTACAATCTACGTAGCTCCATAACACGATCGCGTAGTCAAAAACAATATAAGGCATTATTCAAACTTTAAAAGTCACCTTTAATGCATACTGTATAAGGTCTTAATTTATGCGTCAAAGAGTTATGACAGTTCGAAATGAAAGCTCGTAAAATTGTACGACTTATTGCTACATGCGGAAAAATAGAAGTTATTTATTTGTCTCTACACGCAATTCTGTTAGCAAAATAGCAAGTACCATGAATATCACAAATATTTTCTATTAAATCAGTTTGTAGTTAGTATTAGAAAAAAATTTGCTTCAAATGCATTAAAAAACAAACATTGATTATACCTGTCGAAAAAACGACACTTACGTACTATAAGTATTTTTATTTTTTCGGAGCTCTGTTCGTCATGTTAACTTTTCCACGATCCGCGCGTGACTCGCGAACCAAGAAGTGCTTGAGTGGTGTTCAAGCACTTCTTGATTGGGTCACATTTTGAGCGCACGTGGTGTATCTACGGTATTCAATATCGTTGCATTGAGATGAGCTCAAAATACAAATTTAGTTTTAAGTTTAGAGAATCGTGCCAGAATCGACACCAGTAACTATCTAATTTATTTATTTATTTACTAAGTGAACAGGAATGACAAATATCGAAAGGAAATATTCTTTAAAGGAATTTTATTCTTTTAAGGAAATATTTGTTATTTCGTCTTTCTATCCTATGGTTGTCTGGAAGAAATATCTACGTAGCCATAACACCGCCAATTTTCCACCGTTTATATTATTGTCCTAACTTATAATGTGGTGGGTTCAATAAAAAATTATCTATATATCTATCTATCAATTTAAAAAAACAAGGTAACTCAACTCACATTAAAAAATATTTTAATTATTATAAATCTGATATTTTTTCTTTAATAAAACTTTTTTTCTCACTCTACCTAACTGGTTTGAATTGACAGCTATAACGTCACATTATGGCGCCCAGTCGGTCCTATTCTTAGTTGAATCGCATTATAAGACAGCACGCGATTTAAAATTTCATAAATTTATTTTAATATAGAGATGATATGTAACGACATTTTGAGTTGATGTATTTTCAAATATATATTAAGTGAAAAATTATTTTAGAAAGTTATCTTTAACGTTTTTGATAATATTTTATTAATTGTTGTATTTTGATTTGCCTACATACAGATAGCAATGGGCCTCCCCCTCTACCATATAAAGGACATCCGTCTCTTGTACGGGGAATCCCCGTGGGGCATGACAGCCATAGACTTGGACACGCCCAAACAACGCCCTTCACCATGGGGCCACGTCATAGCAGCTAGGATCACTTCTGAGAACCCTGACGAAGGTAAGGAAATGAAGAAATTAGGTTTTATCGTTTGTTTTTTTGTTTTTCCCTTTTCAGCATCGAATTAGAAATCATATGGTAGCATTACTATTACATAGAATCAAATTCGGTTATCCATTCATTGGGTAAGATAATGTTAAACGGAAGTCTCGACCAATCCCATGGCCAGCGTGTTGATCGCAGTTTTTTCGCCCCGCCCACTTGATCGCAGTTTGCTTGGGACCACTTTTTAGCGCCGTTCATATTCCACATCATTTCTTTCATGTGTATTGTACTGTTGGCAGTTTGGTGGCAATTGATCATCTTTTGACTAGGGCAACGGATAGAATACATATACTCATATATGTATAAGTATATTTATATACATACATAGAAATATATGAGGAACTGGCGAACAAAACGGGATTATTTCGCATTTGATCAAACTACTTTGTTTTTACAGTCCGGAGGTTTCGGACCCGTTAAATTTAAATCTCAAATAATTTTCAATCAAAACCGCCTAAAACAGTGTTAAAACTACTAAAATTATAAATTAAAATCCATGCCAAAAAGCTCACTGTAGGAATGTCATTTTTTTATTTATTTTTTTGATCACCAACAAAGTTACACTTAGACATTTCTTATTTACACATTTATAGTACGACACTTTATTAGTGGAAATTAAATTAATTCTAATACAAACCAATTAAGAATTAAAATAAATTTTTAACTTGTCAATAATTGAATAACAACAATTAAATAAATTTATGAATAATAAATTAATGAAAAAACTGTGTGGGCACAACCAAACAAGAAAGATTTTATTCTTAACAGTGTCTCCGCGAAGATGTCCATATCGGTCGACTTTGACAGTGAATTGTACTGAGAGAGCATTATATTTATAGAAGAAAATAAGCCTCACGAAGCCTCAGGAGAATTTAGTTTTATACAGCTGCTGTTAAATTAAAATTTATTTAATTATACCGTTTTGTTCTCCAGCTCCTCATATATTAAACATCCATGACTGGAGTACAAATGCTCGTATTAATCACACAAACATCTGCCCTCACCGGGACTCGAACTCTCTCGAGTAAGCGACACCTTGAAAGCCAGCGTAGCTACCACTCGACTACGGAGGTCGTCATTTTATCTTATATTATAGACTAGCAAACCCCGCGAACTCCGTTTCGCCACCAGATGGCTTCGTTTTATGTAACATTTCGTTTGGTGATTAAAAATTTTTTTTTTTTTAATATTTCCTGAATTTTATTTGCTACAAACCTCACGGAGCCCGAGACCTTTCCAACGAATGCAAAACCGTGGAAATCGGTTCGTGCGTTCTGGAGTTATAGCGTCAGGAAGGAAAACCTGACTTATTTTTATATAGTAGATATTAACGGGATTGTTACCATGTACCTTGTTTTTTATGAGTCTCCGATATTTCGGCACTGTTGCAAGCGCCATGATCACGGAGTAACCTACGGAGGTAGTAAGTGGTTTCGAGTAACGGAGTAAGTCTAAAGAAAAGTTTACTAGAAAAAAATCCACGCGGACCAGGCAACGGACGGGACTCGAACCCGCATCCTTCGCTATCCGGGCGAATGCACTGACCATTATGCTACCACGGCCCTATTAGCCGCGTCGAAATTTTCCTAGCCTTAAGCTGCAAGGCAGCGCCATCTCTTCGCATTGTAGGTAACCCACATTGTCAAATGAATACTTTTTCAAGTATTAAACATTTGAAAGAAGAAATAGCAATTATAGTTATGATTTTATTTATTTTTTAAGCATTTAACTGCTAGATGTTTAAATCTAAAGAAAAGTTTACTAGAAAAAAAATACGCGGCTAATAGGGCCGTGGTAGCATAATGGTCAGTGCATTCGCCCGGATAGCGAAGGATGCGGGTTCGAGTACCGTCCCTTGCCTGGTCCGCGTGGATTTTTTTTAGTAAACTTTTCTTTAGATTTAAACATCTAGCAGTTAAATGCTTAAAAAATAAATAAAATCAACGGAGTAAGTGTTACTCCGTGATCATGGCGCTTGCAACAGTGCCGAAATATCGAAGACTCATAAAAAACAAGGTACATGGTAACAATCCCGTTAATATCTATAATGTTAGTGACCATAAAAGTTTAAAACAATATGTCATTTTATCTGTTTTATCAATCTTTGAGTGGTATTAGTAGAAACATGTTTTTCCTCCAAACAGGTTTCAAACCATCCTCGGGTACCGTTCAAGAGCTGAACTTCCGTTCTTCCAAAAACGTCTGGGGCTATTTCAGCGTGGCAGCTTCCGGTGGTCTGCATGAGTTCGCAGACTCTCAGTTCGGCCATTGTTTCTCATGGGGCGAGACTAGAGAGCAGGCGAGAGAGTGAGTTGACGTGTTATTTGTTTATTTTTAAAAGTGTCTTAATAGGGTATATTCCTACTTTTTTAATACTGCTTCTATTTAAAGATTGGGACAAAGGATTAAACAGAAAAATAAAAATAGATAAATGAATGTCCTTAGATATATCTGTTTTTCCTGCCATTAATATCATTATGTTTGTCTATAACTCTACTCCTTATCTCCTTCATATTTATTTATCTTTCTATTATGGGTTGCCTGGAAGAGATTGCTGCCTAGCAATAAGGCCGCCTATATTGTGTACGTTCTATGGTGTATGGTGTATAGCAATAAAGAATATTATTATTATTATTAATGTATTTTTTCTCCATTAGACCAATTAAAGTTGAATTTATTTTTAATGGTTTTAAATTTACCGCCAAAGAAAGTATTCGACATGGCGATCAGGGCCGCGGTAGCATAATTAGTCAGTGCATTCGCCCGGATAGTGAAGGGCGCGGGTTCGAATGTCGTGACTGATCCGCGTGGAACTTTTTTCTAGTAAAAATTTTGTTTAGATTTAAGGATCGACATGCTTAAAAATATAAAATTATAAAATCTTTTTTTTTTCTAGTAAACTTTTCTTTAGATTTAAACATCTAGCAGTTAAATGCTTAAAAAATAAATAAAATCATAACTATAATTGCTATTTCTTCTTTTAAATGTTAAATACTTGAAAAAGTATTCATTTGACATTGTGGGTTACCTACAATGCGAAGAGATGGCGCTGCCTTGCAGCTTAAGGCTAGGAAAATTTCGACGCGGCTAATAGGGCCGTGGTAGCATAATGGTCAGTGCATTCGCCCGGATAGCGAAACTTTTCTTTAAATTTAAACGTCTAGCAGTTAAATGCTTAAAAAATAAATAAAATCATAATTGTAAAATCTGTCTTGTTTCATCAGGAACTTGGTGATAGCTCTAAAAGAGTTAAGCATTAGGGGCGACTTCAGAACTACAGTTGAATACTTGATCACTCTACTGGAGACTGGTGCTTTCCAGGACAACAATATTGACACCAGTTGGTTGGACGCGCTTATAGCTGAGAGGGTGAGTTATTTATTTGTTAATTTTCATTATAGGGGGGTTTGACAAGTTTTAGAAAACAATCTCACGTTATTAACTAAAGTTTATGGGGTCCATAAAGAGTGGTGTTATTTTTAATTCTGTTGTGTAATTCGGAAAAAAAGGTTAATTAAAATAAAATAGACAGAGGCGGCCATAGACAAAATCGGATTTCGTCAGCGTAATGATACCATTCAAAGAAATATTCAGCAAGTTCGTAGGGAGCAATGTCACATACTCACAAAGGCACGATCATAATTAAATATATTTACTACAATGCAAAAGGATGACGCTGCCTTGCAGCTTAAAAAAGGCTAGAAAGAATTCGACACATCCATCGGGGCCGCGGTAGCATAATTGGTCAGTGCATTCGCCCGGATGGCGAAGAGTGCGGGTTCGAGTCCCGTCTGCTGCTTGGTCCGCGTGGAATTTTTCCTAGTAATATTTTCTTTGGATTTAAACATCGAGTAGTTACGTGCTTAAATAATAAAAATTATAATTAAATATACTTATTTACATATTTCTCAATAGGTGCAATCTGAGAAGCCCGACATAATGCTCGGTGTGGCATGCGGTTCGATCCTCATAGCTGATAGCATCATCACTGCCCACTTTCAAGAGTTCAAGAGCGCCTTGGAAAAGTGAGTATTAATACAAGGGAACTAGGGTTGATTTCTGAACGAAAAAGTTTCAATCATCATCAGCCTATTAATGTCCCCACTGCTGGGGCACAGGCCTTCCCTATGGATGGATTAGGGAGATTGGGCCATGACCCACCACGCGGGCCCAGTGCGGATTGATGGGTGCTAACGACTGCAGATGCAGCCGGGACCAACGGCTTAACGTGCCTTCCGAAGCACGGAGGAGTGAGAGATAGTAAATTTTTGGTCACCCATCCAATGATCGACCACTACGAAAGTTGCTCAACTTCAACGACCGCTGCCGAACGCGCTAACCACTGGCGCCATCGAGCTCCTCTTTCAGCTTTCAAAGTTTCAATAATCAAACTAAAGTAGTTCTATATACCTTTTTAACTAAATATCTGAGCTCTAAAAGGCCAATTTCTGGAAATTCTTTTGTTTTAATCTTTTCTTATTTTATCATAATTCTTATCTTTGTAAACAAAATCCAGGTCTACGATCATCGAAGTTAAGCGACTTTTTCACTTACCGATTATAGGATGGGTGACCGAAAAATTTTCATCTTGCGTTATTGATCAAGTGCGGTAGGTCTTTCCATAAGGAATGCTTAAGGCTTAGTGGGAACATTAATAGAGCTAATGATGATCAATAATAAATATTTCCAACACTCAAACCAATTACCCTAGCCCTAAATTAAGCACTGTAGGCTTGAGTTATGGGATACTAGGTAACGGATAGAATACATATACTGATACATATATAAGTGTATTTATATAGAAATTCATATTAAACATCCATGACTGGAGTACAAATGCTCGTATTCATCACAAAAACGTCTGCCACCACCGGGATTCAAACCCGGGACCTCTCGAGTCGGCGACATCATGAAACCCGGCGTATAAACCACTCGGTCACGGTGGTCGTTAAATTAGTTTTACCCATAGACATAGACAAACGGTGCAGATAAGCGTGGTAGAGAAGAAGCGATCATGTGGACAATCTTTTTAAAGTACTCCCCTCATCATCATCATCATCAGCCTATTAATGTCCCCACTGCTGGGGCACAGGCCTTCCCTATGGATGGATTAGGGAGATTGGGCCATGACCCACCACGCGGGCCCAGTGCGGACTGATGGGTGCTAACGACTGCAGATGCAGCCGGGACCAACGGCTTAACGTGCCTTCCGAAGCACGGAGGAGTGAGAGATAGTACATTTTTTTGGTCACCCATCCAATGACCGACCACTGCGAAAGTTGCTTAACTTCAACGATCGCAGCCGAACGCGCTAGCCACCTGCGCCATCGAGCTCCTCAAGTACTCCCCTGCTCTCTTAATTTTTTTCTTTAGACGTCCTCCGTGGCCGAGTGGTTTGTACGTCGGGTTTAATGATTTCGCCGACTCGAGAGGACCCGGGTTCGAATCCCGGTGGGGGTAGTTGTTTGAGTGACGAATACGAGCGTTTGTACTCTAGTCATGGATGTTAAATATGTATTTCTATATAAATATATTTATATATGTACAGTATATGTATTCTATCCGCTACCCTAGTCTCCCATAACACAAGCTTTACAGTGCTTACTTTGGGACCAGGCTAATTGGTGTGAGTGTTGGAAATATTTAGTATTGATCATCATTAGCTCTATTAATGTCCCCACTGCTAAGCCTTAGGCCTTCCCTATGGAAGGACCTACTGCACTTGATCAATAAGCAAGACGAAATATTTTTTGGTCAGCCATCCTATAAACGGCAAGTGAAAAAGTCGCTTAACTTCGATGATCGCAGACCTGGATTTTGTTGATTTTGGGAATATGAGAATTAAGATAAAATAAGAAAAGATTTAAACATAAGAATTATTATATTAAGTTACAATATTTACAAAATATTATTTTGTTACGGTGTCAATACCAAATCATTTCCTCTTCAGTAGTTTTAAATTTATTGATGCTTAATTTTTATGCTTACTATTTATTGTGTGATCAAATTTTATTTTACCTCAACCAGGGGTCAAATCCAAGGCTCGGGACAGTTATCCAACTGCGTAGACGTCGAGTTAATACACAGCGGACACAAATACAAGGTTCAAGCGACGAAATCTGGTCCGACCTCTTACTTTTTGAACATGAATGGCAGCTTCAAGGAGTTGGAAGTCCACAAACTTACGGACGGAGGTGAGTCTTTGTGAATATTAGAGATGACTAGTCAAGTCAAGTCAATCGTTTATGGCGAACTAAGTGAACATTAGCTAGAAAATTACAATATGAGTACTTTCATACTCAGTCGCCCTTTTCGGATACGGCAAATTGTTTATAAAATTTTAATGGCAAATGAAGTCCCAAAAAATTTTCCATACGGCCGGAACGGAACTTTCAGGCCTCCGAAACGGCCTGACCGATTTTTATGAAATTTTATATGAATATTCCGTGGGTCTGAGAATCGGCTACTATCTATTTTTCATATCCTTAAGTGATAATGGTTGTCCATCTATAACGTACTGTTCTGAAACCTACAATGCGTCTTCGCGCTAAAATTCAAACTATTGGATATTGTAACGTAGTGTTCTCATATGGGTTAGGAGGAATGTTATCCCAGGAAATTGATAGAACGCTACGTTACACACCCCTAATTTTTTTTTACAATATAATTCTTTTTTGTAATGTGGTATTAAAAATACATACAACCCTAAATTTTCTCTTCTACCACCTGCCCCTATTTTTATGGCGGTACGAAGTTCGCTGGATCAGCTAATGTATTTATTTATTTATTTATCTTTAACAAAGTTTCTACAGCGGTTTTTGTGAAATTTAATACAATAAAATATAGATATAATCTTAAAGCCAATTACAGAAACTCATTACGTACACATTAGATATTAACGGCGTTATTATATGTCAGTAATTATTACATTTAATTTAATTTAATTTTAAAAATTGCATAAAAATCATATAATTCATTCACATAAAAATAAAATAAAATTAAGATTGGACAAAAACATAACAAAAAGACAAAAAAGAAGAAAATCAAACAAGGTTTTCAAGAGTTTGTCACATGATAACCTTATGAAGTGTGAGTGGGTGTGTGTGCGCGTATGTATGTGTGTTTGTGTGTGTCCATGCAGCTGCAATGCTATGCCTGGTAACGAGATGGCGGACGCCGCAACCCGGGCACTACATCATTCAAGTAGGTACTTCAGTGTGAGTGCTTGTAATTGTAGGCCTACATGGCGCTAAGAATAAAATGAAATAAATAAATTAAATTGAAATTGAAACAAAACAAATGTCAGGGAAAATTATTTAAGCCGTAAAATGCAGTGCAGTCATTTTTCATATTATTGAGAATACGAATTGATAATTATAAATAAAAATAAAAATTCAAATAAATTGTATGAATTAATAATAATAAAATAAATAATAACAAAAGCTTATTTGGGTCTTGCGGTTATAATTTCAAATAATGTCGTTTTAAAAGCAGCTCTGGACAAAGAGAACAGGTCGATATCAGAGAAGTACTTGTTGTACGTTTTTGGCAACCTTACCGTCATATCGTTAGCCTCGTAATTTGTACGCACAGATGGTACATGAAAAAGTTGCGTGTGGCGTGTTCTTTTTGTAGGAGCCTATACTAATATATACATATACCTAGTCAGGTCATAAATTCTCTCACATGTTTTTATAAAATAATTGAAACAAGTTTATTCATTATGTAACCATGTATATACCAAAATGAACTTAACAAAACATAGATTCTTATGACAATAAAGTTTATTCAAAATGACCTCCGTGATTTTGAATACAGACCTTCAATCTGCGGGGCCAGTCGTCTATCGCAGCACGAACGAGGTCCATGTCAATATCGGTGGCTGCCTTAATCAAGGATGTCTTGAGTGACTCCAAATTGGAATGAGGCTTTGAGCACGCCTTTTCCTCCAAGTGTTGCCATATCTTGTAATCTAACGGACTCAAATCTTGACTGGATGAGGGCCAGTCTTCGTGCCGGATGAAGTCGAATTCACGCGCCGCCAGCCAGTCTTGTGTGCTCTTCGCTCTATGAGCTGGCACCGAATCTTGTTGAAATACCCAGTGCCTGTTATTGAACATGGTATGAGAAACAGGTTCCACAAGGTTCGTCAGGACTGTATTTTGATATACAACTGCATTCGTTTTTACACCTTTCTCACAAAAATGTACCTCTGTTAAGCCCCAATAAGAAACTCCCAACCATACCATGAGCGAGGATGGAAAATGACCTCGTTGGACACGCGGAATACGGTTGCTCGCTTCTTCACTATTGTGTGCTTATCATTTTGTTTGTTGTAGCTCTCTTCTATAGTAAAATTTTTTTCATCCGAAAAAAGAATTTCCCGGTATTTTTTTCCTGCGTACCGCTTCAACAAAGCGCGGCATCTCTTCAGTCTCAGGTCCATTAGACGAGCATTCAAACGATGTCCTGTTTTTCTTCGATATGCCCGAAACCCTAAGTCTTCATTTAACACCCTTTTCACCGTGGTTCTGCTTAACCCAATCTGAAGGGCCAACAGTTTCTGCTTACGTTTGGGATTTCTTTGAATTCGCGCCTTCACAGCTTTTATCACTGCTGGAGTCCTAACAGACCGAGGGCGACCACTTCTTGACCTGTCATCTACACTAGAGTCTTCATTGTATCGTTTGATGGTACGATAAACGAATCTTTTGGTTATATTCAAATTTTTCAGTATGTCAAAAAAATGGATTGGTGCGTAACCGCAACGATGCAACGCAGTAACTGCAACACGGTCTTCTTTAAGCGTCCACTCCATATTTAAAAAATGAGTAAAATTCTAACAAGTATACATTTTTATTTTCATGAACAATTCGAAATTCGAATTCAATAAACTTTTTTGTGGCCAACATTCTAAAAGAAAAGTTTTTACTGTGTGACAATACTTATGACCTGACTGTGTATATATATAAGTTGGAGGGTAACTCGGCGAAGGCTGAAACGCTACGAGCGTCACACGCGACAATATATATATATATATAGATGCGTGCGCTGCTCCATTGCCCAATGCCTTATTTTTGTCTAAAAAATGTAACGTGTGTTAATACCACATTTATTATTTCTAAATGCTTCCTTAAAGTAAAAGAATTTTTGAAAGCGTTCACGTAGTTTTCTGTTAATTCTTTACAAACATACAAAAATACAACCATTTCCTCTTTATAATATAAGAATAAGAAGTATAAATGCTGACTTTTTGTAAAGTTTTCATAGAAATACACAGCAAAAAGTACTATATTCAGCACAATAAAGGTACATTCGTGGAGTGTATTTTCGACTGAATGTATTGATTTAGTTGGTGGCTTCGTTTTATTGCCTTTCAAATTAAATACACCTGTAAGGAAGGATGATTGCTGTCTAAATTTTATTTAATATTTTTTTTAATGTTAATATAAATAAATGAAATGAAAAATCCGGTAAAGAAATTTGTAACCAAATTTTGACTTTTTACAAAAATATGTGTTATCCCATATATTTTATTCCCATCCACCAGGCACTCTTCTATCAGTAGACGGAGCTTCGTACACAACATACTTGAAAGAAGAGGTAGACAAATATCGCATAGTGATCGGAAATCAAACTGTAGTCTTTGAGAAGGAGAAAGACCCGTCTAAACTGAGAGCGCCATCTGCCGGGAAACTGATCAATACTTTAGTGGAAGATGGCGGCCATGTTGATAAGGGACAACCTTACGCTGAGATCGAGGTAAGTAACCTTCTATTTTCTTTTAAAAATAATAATAAAAGATATGTATTGAGGAACTCGATTCGGATTCGGCTGCGATCATTGAAGTTAAGCAACTTTCGCAGTGGTCGGTCATTGGATGGGCGACCAAAAGTTTACTATCTCGAGCTCCTCCGTGCTTCGGAAGGCACGTTAAGCCGTTGGTCCCGGCTGCATCGGCAGTCGTTAGCACCCACCATTCCGCACTGGGCCCGCATGGTGGGTCATGGCCCAATCTCCCTATTCCATCCATAGGGAAGGCCTGTTAATAGGCTGATAAATAAATAAATAAATATTTCCGACACTCACACCAATTAGCCTAGCCCCAAAGTAAGCACTATAAGGCTTGTGTTATGGGATGCTAGGGTAACGGATAGAATACGTATACTGTACATATATAAGTATATTTATATAAATACATATTAAACATCCATGACTGGAGTACAAATGCTCGTATTCATCACACAAACATCTGCCCCCACCGGGATTCGAACCCGTGACCTCTCGAGTCGGCGACAGCCATGAAACCCGGCGTACAAACCACTCGGCCACGGAGGTCGGCAAGGCTGATGATGATGATGATGATGATGATGAATAAAAGATATATTATTGCCCAACCTAACCAAACTCAACTCAAACTCATTTATTCAGTCTAGGCTGTTACAAGCTCTTGTGAAAGTCAAACGCTACGCCATCGGTTCGTAAATCTACGGCGGGAGACCTTGTACTGAGAAGAACCGGCAAGAAACTCGGCAAGGGCTATATTTTTCTCCCTGTTTTGTTTTATACAGTGTCGTCAATTGAAAGATGACATCAAAAATTGAAAACATGTGTTGACGTCAACTTCCATCACATTAATATTATTAATTAACAAAAAGTAGTTAAGTATAGCTAGGTACTATTTATTAATTTGGAAGTGGCGATTAAACAATTTTCAACCAAATTAGCAAAGTAAAACGCCTTAGGCCCGTATTACAGAATAACAACTAAGTGTTCATCTTTACTTAAGTACAGTTAGAAAGGGATGTCGCTATATGCTATACAGAGAGACATCCCTTTCTAACTATTCTCAAGACTAGATTCATTACTGAAAATGTTTCTATGATACGAGCCTTAGTCTATTATATTAAGCCCAAGGTGACTTATCATTTATGAAATCTTTAACAGCATAGTAACCTTTCTTAAGGAGACATGTTTTTATACATCATCATCATCATCATCAGCCTATTAATGACCCCACTGCTGGGGCACAGGCCTTCCCTATGGATGGAATAGGGAGATTGGGCCATGACCCATCGCGCGGGCCCAGTGCGGATAGGTGGGTGCTAACGACTGCAGATGCAGCCGGGACCAACGTGTTTTTATACACACTTTATAAAATAATGTCAAATCATACACCTAACATATATTCGTACTACAGACCGTTGAGACTTATAAAACTAAATGGGCCAATAGATGTATCCGAAAGTATATTAAGAATCTAACTTTAAAAAAAACCTCCCCAAGATAAGCGAGGTTGAACGTATTTTTTTTTATTGTATTTACTTTGGGTACACTTGATAACAAAACTTTAAATCTTGCCAAACTGAGAACAGTTTGTTGGCAAGTAACTGCGCTAAAACTAATTACTTTACAAGTGCACTACAATCTAAATAATAATACAAACAAAACATATACACAACAGCAGCAATACGACAGTGAACCAGACATTATATATATCACACCATTCCACATCACCGCAACAATATTTTATATAGTTTTTAGTAAAACAGTTGAAAATTGTTGTTTTTGCTCCTCGAAGAAATGGTCAACCGGGTGAAATTATACTGTTGCTTTGTCTTTGGCAGGTGATGAAAATGGTGATGACTCTATCAGCGCCAGAATCCGGTAAGGTGACGTGGAACTTGAGACCGGGGGCTGTACTCGATGTTGGGTCTCTTATGGGCACGCTTGGTAAGTATTACATTATATATACATTCACTACGGACACACTGCTAATATAAATAAACTGCTTCAAGTTTTTAATGATTTTAAACAACCTTGCTGCATGAAACTATAGAAATTTGTACTATAAGCCACTGCTGCAATAATGCCTAACACCATTTGCGCCATCGAGCTCCTCCAAGTATATTGGTATATAATATATTTTTGTACTTTGAACACAATTGGCTGGTTGAAACATAAAAAACTTTCCGATTCTGTTTATAATGGTATGGTATAAAATATAATTTTGCAGTAGTAAAAATCATTCAAAAGTTCAAAACCGTTCAAATGTTGGTTAAACCTTTTTTTGATGAGTATATAACTAGCAAACCAGTGAACCAAATGTTCACCAAAACCTGATTTAAAAAAAAACATGTATTTAATTAATTGAGAACTTCGGAGATTTTGTGTGGTTTCGTTTGAAATAGAAATCACGTGATTTCTCGAAAACCGGAAGTGCTACGTTACTCAAATCCGGTTTGTAGTCTTATCAGACTATTCTTAACTTATAACTTAAACATTCTCTTTATCTATCTCTTACGGTTTGGCCGCTGAAACAGCACCACAGACGGACGGACGGACGGACTTGTCTAATAGATAAGAGATTTATTTTTTATTTCTTTCTATATTTTTATTTGGCACATTAATAGGCTGATGATGATGATGATATAATTTATCGTGTTAATCCTATGTTTTCTTGTCTCCAGAATTGGATGACCCCTCATTAGTGACTACTGCGCAACCGTACAAAGGCCAATTTCCGATGGACGACGCTCAAGTCGTGTCTGATAAGCTCAACCATGCCCATAATAAGTATAGGGCGATATTGGAGAATACTTTGGCTGGTGAGTATGAAAATTTCCGAGGCCTTAAAGTTGTTGAGTTTACTCCTTCCGCAATCCCTTTTATTTTATAATTGGGAGAAATATCAGCTTATGTCACATTGATAATAAATTGATGTTGCCACCTTTGTTTGCCACCCTTTTAATATAAAACACATACGTACATATAAAATTCCACAATTCCCTTACATTTACCCTACGATTTCCGCTACACAGGTTATTGCTTACCGGAGCCCTACAATACGCCGAGACTTCGCGAAGTCGTCGAGAAGTTCATGCAGAGCCTCCGAGATCCTTCGCTACCTTTACTGGAACTACAAGAGGTAAATTATTAACATCTTAGAAAACACTTTGGAATTTAATGGAGTCATTTTTCGAAAATGGTTGTAATACCCTTTTGTAGTGTTCATCATTGCATATCATTGCAGCGTAACATTTGAACTTGGGACATGGTTAGACCAGATTTTAAACGCAATCACAATGAACGTAACGTATCTATAGAAAAAAAGCGAGTGTGATAGTGACCACACGACTGAAGTGAAACTTCTTTAGCTCCATCTGTATATATATATATGTGTGTACAATATATACATGTATGTACATACACATAATCATGTAAGTTAGCACTAGATTCATGTATTTTGTTAACCGATGAGTCACCGGTGACACTTTTCGTAACACGTGACTCGTAATGCATTGACAATGCGTGGAGATGGCAGCCATTCGCACAGATTAGTGATGATAGGTACCGTACAAGTCTGCGTTCAGAACATGCACTCGGGCGCTGTCAACGTAAGTTTTGACATAAGTCCTTCCTTATGACAGTGTAAATTAAATACATCACTTCGGGTACATGGTTTATTTACATTATATATTTAAACAAATCTTTATATATATAATTCTTCTGTGAGTGTGTATGTCACTGAACTTCTATTAAACGACTGGACCGATTTTGACCCAGCGAACTTCGTACCGCCCTAAAAAAATAGGGGTTGTCCAGCGGACAAAATTGTGAATCTAAACCATTCTCAGATCCCCTTGAACACACAGAAAAAAATTCATCAAAATCGGTCCAGTCGTTTAAGAGAAGTTCAGTGACATACACACTCACAGAAGAATTATATATATAAAGATATATATATATATATATATATATATATATATGTGTGTACAATATATACATGTACGTACATACACATAATCATGTAAGTTAGCACTAGATTCATGTATTTTGTTAACCGATGAGTCACCGGTGACACTTTTGCGTAACACGTGACTCGTAATGCATTCGCCAGTTTACCCCCAAGTCAAGCGTGCCTAAAGAAGTTTCACATCAATAATATATCAATAGGTTCAAGTTTTAAGTAAGGATGGCTGGAGCGGCACATTCCTGCAGCATCAGACTTAAGGAAAAACTCACGAAGGAAAATAGCCTCTACTTATGAACCTACTTTCTGTGCCTTTTATCGACCAATATAATGAATAGGTTTCATCCCAGTTTGGCGAGTAATAATGATAGAAAGTTTCATATTTATCGCGTTTGTAATTGATTACATTTTCTGTTGTGATGTTTTTTTACCTATAAAAAGTATTTTACTGTTTCACACAATTAAGACGTATTTTGGAGGAGTATTGCACATTTTTTATCTATTTTGTTTTTCATAGTATTTCTAGACAAAAAAAAGGTTCGATACACACTACAGTTAATTATATATAAAAAGGAGCTTCAGCTAGGGCACAGGCCTTCCTATGGGTGGAATAGGGAGATTGGGCCATGACCCAATACGCGGGCTCAGTGCGGATTGGCGGGTGCTAACGACCGCAGATGCAGCCGGGACCAACGGCTTGACGTGCCTTCCGAAGCACGGAGCAACTCGAGATAGAAGATTTTTGGTCACCCATCGAATGACCGACCACAGCAAAAGTTGCTTAACTTCAACGATCGCAGCCGAACGCGGTAGCCTCCTACGCCATCGATCTCTTCAGTTCATTCGATTTATTTACTTAAGAAAAGTTTACCTACATTTTACACCATTACTATTGTTTTTTTTTCCACACAGGTCTTGTCATCAACCTCTGGTCGCATCCCCGTCGCAGTGGAGAAGAAAGTACGCAAATTGATGGGTTTATACGAAAGGAACATTACTTCAGTGCTAGCCCAGTTCCCGAGCCAGCAGATAGCCAGCGTTATAGACCAGTGAGTATTAGGTTGAGTTAGAAATTCATAATCATAATCTTTGCTTGCTAAAAATACGGTATACAGGAATTGCATAAAGTGAATTGAGCACGTATTTTGCCATACATAGGAAAAAAAATAGAAAAAAGAATTAATTACTTATAACATTCTTCTACACATTTATTACTGCCCGAGTTACCTAATATTATGCCAATAAAATATACAATGTCAACATATTAATATTACAAGGTTTCTAAATGTCAGATTTTTCACACCATAAGCATATAATATAAGCATATTTAAATAGACATACATATTAAACATTCATGAAGGGAGTACAAATACTCGTATTCATCACACAAACATCTGCCTCCAGCGGGATTCGAGCCTGAGACCTCTCAAGTTGGCCACACCATGAAACCCATCGTACAAACCACTCGGCCGCGGAGGTCGTCAAATTAAATTAATTAGCTATCATATTCAAATGCTTATTGCATTTGAATATGATTTATAACTATTACATAACGTTATTCAAAAATGTTTATTGCATTTGAATTTGATTTTTAAATAAACATTTTGTTAACAAAGCATATTTTTTCACAGCCACGCAGCCTCGCTTGCGAAGAGATCCGACAGAGACGTGTTTTTCATGAGCACCCAAGCCTTAGTCGTGTTGGTGCAAAGATATAGGTGAGTTGTCTGAAATGTCTTTTATTTCCTATGTAATACGGGTCACTATACCATAGCATTTGTTCAGGTTAAAGGCATTTAGTTATGACTCTAGGAAAAATAAAGAAATCTGACTAGAGATATAATAATCAATAAGATATCACGTGTACCTATTTCTTTTTCCTATTTCTAAATCCTACGATTTCGAAACCAAATAGCCATATTATTATTATATTCATTAATAAAATATCAAAAATGCACAAATTAAATTGTGCATTTTTGATATTTTGGAATGGTTAGGAATAATTTTGCACGAATTGCTTTAATTATCAGTATAAAAGTACTATCATTTATGTGGTAGAATACAATATTTATTATTGCGCTATCTTACACAAACATGACACGCACCTAGCGACATCTATTGTAAAAAAAATGCACTTTCTTCGCAATAAAGCTGCCACCTGGACGTCCTAGATAGAGAATTATTAGAGACCCGACAGACGTTGTCCTGTCTACACGTCTTTGTGAATCTAAACCATTCTCAAATCCCCTTGAACACACACAAAAAATTTCATCAAAATCGGTCCAGTCGTTTAAGAGAAGTTCAGTGACATACACACTCACAGAAGAATTATATATATAAAGATAGGATAAAATAAAATATTACAATTTTTCATCCACTATATTGTAAGTCAACAACTTTCCAATTTTATTGTTTTCGTCAGATCCCCGATCAGGCCACGTGCCCTGACACGAGTTTAACATTTTTACCCATACAAAAAAAGTGTACAACGCCGCTAAAGAAGTTTTCTCTTCAAAAATCGCTGGAATAAAATTATGTATAGTCGTGTGACGCTCCTGACGCATTTCCGTCTCATCTTTTCCATAGGATTTTTCCATTCACATCTCGTCCGAAGAGATGTTTATCTACAAAAGAAATTCTTGAAAGAATACACATGATTTTGGATATGGGTGAAGGGTAATCTAAGACCTCGCCATAGGGGGAGTGTTTTAAGAAGGTGCTAAAAAAACATCACATGATTAATGGACCGATCCCATTTATGTTATTTTTTTTCTTACACAGAAATGGTATACGCGGTCGTATGAAGGCAGCAGTGCATGACTTACTCAAACAATACTACCAAGTGGAGAGTCACTTCCAACTGGGTAAGTTGAACATACTATACTATACTTCGACATTTTATTAGCTACAGTAAAATGACGTTTCAAAATGTCATTCCGTAAAATAATGTTAACCGTTTAAATATAATAGAGATGTGATTAGGTTCACAGAAAATCTAATCGTTTCATAACTAACTCATAATGTTCATACTTAATTCTATTTATTATTCATATAAATAAAAGACTGTCATTAGTGTGACCGAAAGCGACAGCTATAGTGATTCCGAAAATGATAGAAAAATAATAATAATATTTAAATAATATTGTTATGATATTTTTGTTTCATTTTGGATGTACGTCCCTATACTTCCACTGAAAAAGATCAATCCTATACTATAGTAATAATAATAGAATAAAAAAAACATTACAACTTAATAATAAATCTCTAAAACAAAACCAAACTGATCATTCATTTATTGAATGATTCACTTACTCACTTAGCTACATCCCTATTTATTTTTCTTCAAAAAGTGGTAACCCACAAAACGTCATTTCACTGCAGCTAATAAAAAGTTCCACTTTAGCTTGTAATCATTACTTAATTATATTTTATTTTGCAATAAATTACACGTGGTAATATTTTTATAAGACTATTTAAACTAAGGCTAATTAATATTTTATATTAAATATTATCTTCTTACATCTTCAGCCAAACTAGGAAGTTTATCTGGAATTTGGCTTCAGCGCCCTTTCCCTATTTTCAGATACAGAATAAAGCCAATATAAATAATAAACAAGAAAAAATAAAAAACACGTTACGTTATTCAAATTTAAAATACGCCCACAAATAAATAAATAATAAATAAATATTTCCGACACTCACACCAATTAGCCTAGCCCCAAAGTAAGCACTATAAGGCTTGTGTTATGGGATGCTAGGGTAACGGATAGAATACATATACTGTACATATATAAGTATATTTATATAAATACATATTAAACATCCATGACTGGAGTACAAATGCTCGTATTCATCACACAAACATCTGCCCCCACCGGGATTCGAACCCGGGACCTCTCGAGTCGGCGACAGCCATGAAACCCGGCGTACAAACCACTCGGCCACGGAGGTCGTCACAAAAAAAGTACCTTGCTCCAAAGACCAGACTACCTGAACTTTATGTTTTCGGAGTCGAAAGAAAAAACAAAGTTTAGGTAGTCTGGTCTTTCGCGCAAGGTTGCTTTTTTTGTGGGTTTGTGTAATTTATGTTTAACGTGATATGTCAGTTATTTTTATTTAATATGACTTTTTTTCTCATTTATTTACCTGTACAAATTTAAGCTTAATTCTTATAATTCTATAATTGAAACGTCGGTATTTGCACAGAATAACATGTGTGAAAGATTTCTTTAAATATTTTTGACAAGATTATTTACTATAAAGAGTTTTTATATTAATTACTTAAATGACTTATCTATTTGACATGATTGCATGTTAAAATTTTGAGTATAATTTTAAAATCAAACTTTTATAAAATCGCCACAAAAAATTTCATCCATCTTAAGCATGTCGCATTACTATTTTTCATCGTTCGAATCCCAGCCGAAGAAAGACTTTCCTTATTAACGATTTAATAGGTGTCACTTGCATCGTGGTTTCATAAAACCACACCGTTTTTTTTATTTAAAAAATTGATAGTTAACTTTATTTCTCTATTCAACACTCAATTTCTTTTTTCATCACTCAGGTTCTTACGACAAAAACGTGGTCGCACTCCGCGATCGCTACAAAGACGACATGCAAGCTGTAGCCAACGTCATATTCTCTCACAACCAAGTCGCCAAGAAGAATCTACTGGTGAGTGGAATGTAATGCTTCGACTATAAGGTTCAAATTTCACCGCTAGGTAAATAATTGACCTTCAATTTAATATCAAAAATTTTCAAAAAGCACTTGTGAATGTCGAAATTGAAAATGTCTGCGGCGAGAGACCTTGTACTGAGAAGAACCGACAAGAAACGCAGCAAGAACTGTTTTTTTCTCACTGTATTATATACAGAGTCGTCAAATATAAAAATGACTACTTAACTCAATAAGGATGATGACTATTTTTTTTTCTTCGTTTATCAGGTAGATTATTATCAAAAAGTATTGGCCCCTAATTTTTTTCTTTTTTCACATAATATAAACATTGCAGAGATTTGAAAAGTCGCTTGACGTCACGTTTATGTACAATTTTTACTTAAAAGTGACGTCACGAGCCCCTACTCCCAAACTTTGACGCGCTATAACTTTGTCATTTTTTGGTTGATTGCCCAAGGAAAAAATACGTGTCCATTATTTTTTGATCATCTAATTGACGGACTAAATATAATTTCGTTTACTGTACCTCGTCATCACCCCTATTGATGATTTCACAATTGATAGCAAATCTGTAATTAGTAGAATCTGGCATTTATAGAATTTGGCATTTTCAGATTCTGGCGTTTCTAGAATTTGTCATTTGTAGAATATGCCGTTTGTAGAATATTGCATTCAGAGAATCTGGCGTTTAATACTCGTCTGACATTGCAAGAATCTGACATTTGTCGACTAAACCTTTTTAACGGTCAGTTCCGAACACCTCAGTCCAGTAAAACTTAGAACTATTAAAGCTTTTTTACCTAGATTTTTTATTATTATTTACATTTTATTAACAACTGTAGCAAAGAAATGGGACACGACTTTCCTTACCTTTATAATTAGTTTCGGAAATATTTCAATAAAACACGTTAAATTTCTTCTAAACTCGATATTATATTATTTAACAATATATTAACATGACGTTTGCAGTAATCAAAGAAAAAGACAACAGCGCCACTAGTGTCAAAAACAAGAAAAACTGTACATCTTATATATAAAATTCACGTGCCACAATGTTAGTTACCATACTTCTCTGAAACGCCTTGACCGATTATAATAAAATTTTATTTGCATATTCAGTAGATCTGAGAATCGTATACTATCTATTTTTTTCATACCTCTAAGGAATAATGGTTTTCAACCCCTAATTTTTTTCTGACATATTATTTTCTTTTTATAATGTAATAAAAATACATACTCGTACAATCCTAAATTTTCACCCTTCTACCCATATTTACCCATATTTTTATGACGATACGAAGTTCGCTGGGTCAGCTAGTACGTTTATAAAAATCACTTTTCATATGATATTATGAATTTTGTTTATTCAATACTTTACTGGAGGTCAATTATTGAAAATAGCCGTTTTAGAATCATGCCAGAATTTGGACCAATCAAAATTTTAATATTTCTAAAATATTACATTTAGGTGACCCTCCTAATAGACCACTTATGGTCCAACGAGCCCGGTCTAACGGACGAATTGGCAGCGACACTGAATGAACTAACTTCACTGCATAGAGCCGAGCATAGCCGAGTAGCATTGAGGGCTAGACAGGTAATTTGATTTATACTTAATATATGAAAGAGAATCTTCATTGCTCCATTTTAATCTTGTTTTACGCATGAATATTTGTGAGATTTTGACTTAATCAAAGTTAATAATAATACAGTGAAACCTGGTTAATTGGGATCTCAAGGGACCAAGATATATGTACCAATTATTGAGGGTATCCAATAATCCAGTTTTCCAATTAAACAAGTTTAAAATTATAGTTGTCTCATTTACAGAGGCCCCCGCTTACAGAGGTCGAAATGTGCCGTTATTCCATTTTTAGAGTACTGACAAACAAAGCATGCGCGAAAGACGACGCGAAATGTATCTAAACAAACATGTCAAAACGCGTTACAACCGGATTAATTAGTCTCACATATACGGGTAATTGAGCTACAGAGTCTCAATTATGGAGGTAAACATCGAAAGAGTCTTTGAATTCAAATCTCATTTAACTAGGTTCAAAAAGTCCCATTAACAGAAGTAATTTAATGAAAAAGAACCGGAACCTCATTGCAACTCTTAATAATAGAGGTTTCTCACTTATCCAGGTCCCACTTAACCAGGTTTCACTGTATCAATAAATTATAATAACATTAAATTCGTAAAATTGACATTATACACATTATCATGCGTTTGACAAACACAATAAATAAATAATAGTTGTTTATGATACAAGTGCGGTAAGTTGGTTATTACAAACGAGTTGACGAATAAGTTGAGGACTTTCAATTGTCACGAGTTAGTAAATACCAATCTGCACGAATATCACACAACGTTATTCAACACATTTGCGAGAAAACAGTACCTATATACCATTCCCCTATTATCACCAATCAATCCCCACTATCACCCACCAACTCTTATTTTCACCCATGAATCCTCTTATCATCCACGAATCCCTTTTACCCTCGAATCCCCCTTTTCACACTCTGTTTACACCTTCTCACCTACAATCCCTACTATCACCCACTTATCCCCTGTTATCACCCATCAATCCCCACTGTCACCCACCAATCCCCTATTATCACCTATCAATCCCCACTATCACCCTCGAATCCCTTTCAACCTCCAATCCCCCTTCTCATTCTCGAATACGTTTTCACCTACCAATACTTACTATCACCCACCAATTCCCTATTATCACCCATCAATCTCCACTATCACCCTCCAAACCCTTATTATCACCCGGCAATCCTCTTATCACCCTCCAATCCCCTTTTCATCTACCAATTTCTTTTGCTCATTTAGTTTAACAACTTTCTGATGTAGACACTCCTCCGCTCTCACTCTAACCCGCAGCGCCGATAAGATTAGTGAAATTCGACTGAAATAAAAAAAACCGTAAAGTATACGCACGGGGCCATGAATGGGAGCGTGCGTAATGAATTTTACCGCACGCTCTGCTGTATGGAATGTATACAACCTCCGTAATAGTACATTATGATATAAGTGCGGTAAATTGAGAATTACAGCCGAGGCGATTTTGTTAGCCCGAGCCGTAGGTGAGGGCTATAAGAAGGCAGAGGCTGTAATTATCAAACCGCACGTATGTCATACGACGTTTTATAACACATTTGCGAGGAAATAATACTACCTACGTACATACTTTCTGAAAATGAATTTGCACCTTTGTTTGTTTTCCATAAGATGAAATTTTAATACCAAGCGTAGTCTTTTTCGACTTCTGGCGGTGTCAAATTAATAAATTCGTTACTACTTGACAATATTTTCAAATAAAAACAATACAGCGAAGAGAAAAAGAAATAACTTTTTCACAGATTAGCTATGCGCGCGCATCAACGCTTTTTTTAGGCAAAGGCACAAAAAACTACCAGTGTTACTAATAAAGTAAATTAATATTTCTGTGAATTTGTTACCGATACATGGTTGTAATTTATTGTCAAAAAGAATCAAATTAAAGAATTACCTGTTTATTTTTATATATATAATTCTTCTGTGAGTGTGTATGTCACTGAACTTCTCTTAAACGACTGGACCGATTTTGATGAAATTTTTTGTGTGTGTTCAAGGGGATCTGAGAATGGTTTAGATTCACAATTTTGTCCGCTGGACAATGTTTTTTTAATTAATTTTTAATTTATTAGTAGTTGTTGATTTTGGAATGTTTTACATTGGATCCGACAAACGGCGCTACCATCGCAGTGTCAAATTTTCAAATTAAAGACGTGTAGACAGGACAACGTCTGTCGGGTCTGCTAGTATATTATATTTTATCTCCCAAAGTTAATTTGATAACGAAAATTTTGGTTACCTTTCTGACATAAAACTCTTTGCTAAGATTTAAAAAAGTATCGTTCGTTTTTAGACTGTACATAATAAGCCGTGCGTTTTACTTTACATTACCGCACGCGTGTGTAATGTGATAGATTATGATATTGAAATTGGTGCAATAAGAGACGCTTTACGAGCAAATGTGTTATAAATGAATTTTTTGAGCAAATGTGTTGAAAAGTTTTTTTTTTTCAGTTTTTATTTCCGTCTTGATTGTAGTATTGCAATTTAGTATTAAATTTTAATTCTTGTTAATAATTATATATCTTTTTTGTCAGGTGTTAATAGCAGCCCATCAACCCGCCTATGAACTGCGTCACAACCAAATGGAATCCATATTCCTATCAGCAGTCGACATGTACGGACATGACTTCCATCCAGAGAACCTTCAGAAGCTTATATTGTCTGAGACTTCTATATTTGATATATTGCACGACTTTTTCTACCATACTAATGCAGCGGTAAGTGATTTCAAACCTAATAGCCATCATGTTAATGTTTAAAATAGATCTGCCTATTGAATCTGCAGAAGAAGAATCCGAGTCTTCTATGTTCGATATACTTACCAATTTTTCTATCACACCAATGCAGCGGTAAGCGATTGTAAACCTTAAGATATGTTGTTAAAGTAAAAATTAGATCTGCACCAAACTGCTAAGATTTTGAGTCGGTTAAAATAACATTTTCGTTAAACATCTATATATATATAGAACTCAAAGGTGACTGACTGACTGACATAGTGATCTGTCAACGCACAGCCCAAACCACTGGACGGATCGGGCTGAAATTTGGCATGCAGGTACATGTGATGACGTAGGCATCCGCTAAGAAAGGATTTTGGTCAATTTTACCCCCAAGGGGATAAAATAGGGAATGAAAGTTTGTATGAAACTTTGTCAATTTTAAACCGATCGGGCTGAGACTTTGCGTGCAGGTATAAGAAGAATCATAGATGAATGTCATTGTGTATAATACAAGCCTGAGAACAAAAACTGTAGTCTACACTTCAGATCTACACCGAAGCGAAGCGAGGTCGGGCCGCTAGTCTAAAATATGTTTTATTTATGAGTTTATTAGTACTATGGTAATAAATTAAAGTACAGCAGAAGCCTTAGGTAATAGTAATTCTTCAATTTGATACTTAATGGCATTTCCTTTAAATTCTATGTTTTACGCATTCTCATAAAAATCTGTCAGTGCCTCATTTTATACATGACATAAATAACTGTGATCTAGAATAGCATCATAAACAATGACGTATAATATTTAGACAAGCTATACGCCAACATTATTGCATTTTAACGTGGCACATGTAGTCCCCGCCCCAACTTCCCTTGGCAACAGTCGCCAATAGAGCGAACTAAAGTTTTACAATTATGAAAACTATGACAGTTTTCGTGAGCTCGCACTCGTACTAAGGGTACTGATTTTATTGTTTTTGTTTCAACATAAATATACAGTGTTTAAATTATATCATTAAATCATTTGTAACATAATTTGCAATTACGAAAAATATGATAGTTTTCGTGAGCTCAAACTCGTACTACGGGTACTGTTGCTATGCCTATTTGTTTATAGTTTGTCTCATACTTAAATGGTGTACTATTTCCTCATATAGGTTTGCAACGCAGCTTTGGAAGTCTACGTACGCCGAGCGTATACGTCGTACGAGATACAATGTTTGCAACACTTAGCTCTGTCTGGCGAATTGGGTGTGGTGCATTTCCAATTCGTTTTACCCACTGGACATCCTAACAGGTGAGATTTAAGGGGGAAAGGGGGATTAATAAATAAATATATTAAAGGTATTCTAATCTATTTATTTATTAATAGACCACCACCAGAGCTATAATTAACATAAACAAACTTATTCATGCACTTAATAATTAAGATAATAGGGTATGTGACAAGTTTTAGAAACCGATCTCACGTTATGGACTAATGTTTATGGAGTCCGTAAAAAGTGGATATTCATCATTCTGTTGCGTATTTCAGTAAAAATAACCAAATCAAAAACTCCATTTTCAAGTTGCCGCGTAAACGTTTTACTGGACAATATGGCGTCTTACTAGTGTGTGACGTCACACAACTGTTATTTAGACGTCAAACGATACAATGTAATGTCACTTTAACCGGAAGTTTACTTGCGTGTGACGTCATTTTAGGCTCCACCAATCTCAAGCATTTTGGGTCATGTGATAGTAGATAAGAAAACTATTATCTTTTTCGTGGGTTTTTAGTAAAATTATGTTTTTTTTTGTTAAAATAGTAAAAACCCCTGCCAATATTCATTTTAAACACAGATGATAACAATTGGCACTTTATTTTTAATACTGTCAAATACCCTATTATTGTTCGATAGCTTAGCGTCATCTTTATGTGGATTTCTCAATAGAAATCGGGTATTCAATTTGTAGAATATTATTGAAAGTAAAATACAGATCATAAGAAATTATGTGCGTACGTTGTCTTTTAAATTCGAAACGCAAGAGGGAGAGTGAATATTTAAAACTATGAGTGAATATAGTAACGAGTGGGTATGGATTGAATGTATTATCGGACGATGATGATGGACTGATTGTAGATTCTCTCGTCGAAGGATAGATGGCGTTAACAATTATAATGTAACTGTATTTTTTATATATTAAAGATTGTCTCATCATGCTCTCAACACTTAACAGTAACACAATCATAAGTTACTGTCTACGACTTTTATACCAATATATATATTTATATATCACAGGATTCCGATCAGCCAAACGGAGATCGAGTTATCCGCCGCTGAGGATCAAGAGGGCATACCTGCGGAACTTTGTACAGCAGCAATGAGAAAATGTCACCACAGAACTGGTGCATTAGCAGCCTTTGATAGCTTCGATCAATTCGTTCAATATGCCGACGAATTACTTGACTTAGTCCACGACTTTGCGAGTACAGCAACAGTAAGGAGGGAGGTGAGAAAATGGACTTTATTTACCCTTTTAATAGGTTACATAATTAAGAGAATGTCATTATAGAAGTGAAGCTTTAGCAGCCTTTGTTAGCTCCGATCAATTCTTTCAATACGCCGACGATTTATTGGATTTAGTCCATGACTTTGCGAGTGCAGCAACTGTAAGGAGGTAGGTGAGAAAATGGGCTTTATTTACCCTTGAAATAGGTTACATAATTGAGAGAATGTCATTATAGAAGTGAGGCTTTAGCAGCCTTCGATCAATCCGTTTAATATTTTGACGAATTACTTGATTTAGTCCACGACTTTGCTAGTACAGCAACTGTAAGGAGGGAGGTGAGAAAATGGACTTTATTTACCCTTTACATAGGTTACATAATTGAGGAAATGTCACTATAGAATTGGTGCTTTAGCAGCCTTTGTTAGCTTCGATCAATTATTTCAATACGCCGCCGAATTATTGGATTTAGTCCATGACTTTGCGAGTGCAGCAACTGTAAGGAGGGAGGTGAGAAAATGGACTTTATTTACCCTTTAAATAGGTTACATAATTGAGGAAATGTACTATAGAATTGGTGCTTTAGCGGCCTTTGTTAGCATTGATTAATCAATTAGTTCAATATTCTGACGAATTACTTGATTTAGTCCATGACTTTGCGAGTTCAGCAACGTAAGGAGGGAGGTGAGAAAATGGACTTTATTTACACTGTTAATAGGTTACATAATTGAGAAAATGTCACCATAGAATTGGTGCTTTAGCAGTCTTTGTTAGCATCGATCAATTAGTTCAATATGCCGACGAATAACTTGATTTACTCCACAACTGGAGGGAGGTGAGAAAATTATAGGTTGTAAACGAGTATATTTTGTTTCTTAACAGTTCTTTGTTTAAGATTCTTTCCAGGTTCAAAAAACCAAATAGCCCTTAGATATTAATTCTACCTTTTCCTTCTATAAAGGACCTTCAAGCCCTGCAAGAGGGTAGCGAAAGTCGTGATAGCACCAGCATCAATGTGGGAATGGACTATAACAAGATACCTGATGGGGAAGATCTGGTGAGTGATGAATACATTTTAAAATTACTGTATGTATTTGATAAAAAAGGGAATATATCGACAGTAGAAAAAACTTTTCCCTATCTTGGTTCTCCATTATAAATATAGGAGAAGAAACCTAGTTTTTTAAATAACGATAATAAATTAACACTTTTTCGCGTAAATTTTATCAAAATTCTATACTGACTTGTAATACGGCGCCAAAAACAACGCTATAATGGCGGACATCACCCGGTGCGCGGCAAAGTAAGTTCCGAGTCACGACATAGAGGGCGCCACAATCGGAGAGGAACCGGAAACGCTGATTTAAACGATAGAAAGACAGGTGCTTGACTCAAGATGGATTCCGGATATTGATACGATACATATAATATATCATTTTAATCAGATTTTTTTCTGTGTCTATCTTTTTGTTTCGTGAAGATTTCAACACTTTTTTGGTGCTAATAGGAACTAAAATCAAATAATTATATTTTATATTCTTACCGCATATAGCGAAATCTCGTAAATTTTTACGAGCTTGTATTTCGAAACATCACTGTCGTATACGTTGAAATCAAGACCTTATTCTTACATAGTAATGGCGAATTAGCTTTTTTAAATAACGCTCAGTATTATACCTATTCGGTTACGTGATCATCCAATGTCCAATTAGAACAGTTTTCTTTCAATATTTTATTCATGATATTCAATCTAGGTTTTTTTTAATATTGTTGATATACGGCCAGTTCCAATAATCGTCAGCTTATTCTGGCTTATTTTATTAGCAACAGTTGATATTATAACCTAAATAATTAAAAGTAGCTAGGCAATTATGTCGATTTGAGCATGATTCTCTAAACCTAAAATTAATCCTTGTCATTCTCTATTCAGAATGAAAAGGAGAGACTGATTTTAAATTTAGTTTTAGGTTAAGAGAATCGTGCCAGTATAGGCACCAATAAAGCTTTTTTAGACCTATATATGGATCTCTTACTGAAGGTAGATTATTAATTTGGCTGCAATGGTAAAAAAAATCTTAATATTTAAGCAACAAATTTTTTATCTGCAGAAAATATAACTAAATAAAACTAGTTTTTCACGGTTTAATGCACGAAACTTTATTTATTCATTGACAGCCGCGTTTATTGTGGGTTACCTACAATGCGAAGAAATGGCGCTGCCTTGCAGCTTAAGAATGGCTAGAAGAATTTCAACGCGGCCGTCAGGGCCGCGGTAGCATAATTGGTCAGTCCATTCGCCCGGCATGCGAAGGGTGCGGGTTCGAGTCCCGTCTGCTGCCTGGTCCGCGTGGATTTTTTTCTAGTTATATTTTCTTCAGATTTAAACATCAAGCAGTTACATGCTTAAAAAATTAAAATTATAATAACTATAAGTTTTCTATATTGTCTAATGTTGATTAATTTTCACAGCCCTTGGAACCGATTCATATTCTTATGATCGGAGTTCGAGATACTGGCGAAAGTGACGACAGCGTTGTAGCGAGACGGTTCGGAAACTTCTGCCGTGCTCATCGCCACGAGCTGCATCAGAAACGGGTCAGGAGGATCACTTTCATGTCGCTAATCAAGTAAGTCGTAAGCACGGAGCAAATCTTACAATAATATAAAATCTTAAACCTGGTTTTTAAACCTGCCTGTTATAAAATGTATATAAATATTGAAGGACTATTTTTGAAACACCAATGTTTTACTGCCGAAATAAATACTGCACACCACATTCTTGGAAACAGGGGCAACAATTGATTTATTAGATTAACAGATTGCCTGGGAAAGTGGTACCTTCTAAGCCAATTAATGTATTTAAAAACAATCTGGTTAGATGAAGCAAGAGAAGATGATGTTGACAGAGAAAATTAAACAACAAATTATTTCATCACTACATGATATAGGCATATAAGCAAAATGCTTCTGAAATAATAGATGGAATCATGGTTATATTTTTATTTTAAGCATTTAACTGCTAGATGTTAAAATGTAAAGAAAGTTTTATGAAAAAAATTTTAGAATGAATCATGTTTTTTTTATTGGTGACTAAAAAATGGGCCACTACCTTTTCTTGCTATTACATAGAGTGTGCAGACCTTTTCCCCAGCAGTGGGAGCATGAATGGGCTAATAATGATCGCTAAAATAACTGAGTCAGGTCTCTTATACTAAAGATGGCGCTCATTCAAGCCTTTACTGTACAAAACACAACTATGGCTAAATCACTAATTAGTCTATAATCTATTAATCGAATTTATTACTATTAAAATATAGAACCTTAAAGCTGTAGAATTAGAGTCGAATTTTGAAATGTTTTAATATATTTAACACTTCATTTTATAGCATTACCTTACAAAGCCTAACAATATTATTTAAGTGTTTCTTAACCTGTATTTTATGTGCCTTAATTGTTGCAAGAAGAAATAAATAAATTTATTATTATTATTAAAGCTACATAAAATAAATCTTATTTACCTCTCCTTTCCCCAATAGACGTCAATTCCCCAAATTCTTCACGTACCGAGCTAGGAATGACTTCATCGAAGACACTATATATCGACACCTGGAACCTGCCTCGGCCTTCCAGTTGGAATTGTACAGAATGAGGAGTTATGAGTTAGAAGCACTGCCCACTAGCAATCAGAAGATGCACCTGTATTTGGGGAAAGCTAAGGTAAGTTTTATCCAATTATTATTTACATTAATAAGTGAAAGAAAAAGTTTCGTATACTTAGCATATCTCAGTACGTCGAAAATATAAATAAAATTAATGTTTATTATATAATAGACTCCATTACATAACAAAGTTGTAATGAAGTGCTGTTAAAAAGTTAAAATTATTCCAAAATCATTTCTACATTATTCCTAAAATTACTAGCCTTGAGTTTGTAGGTATCCTAATGAAATCGCTTTGCACACAGGTGAAGAAAGGTCAAGAGGTGACAGATTACAGATTCTTCATTCGTTCCATCATCAGGCACCAAGACCTCATCACCAAGGAAGCCAGTTTTGAATACCTGCAAAATGAGGGTGAAAGGTTCGTTCACTGAATATAAAAGCTAAATATTTCATTTTATTGTTGCAACTATTTGTTATTTCCAGTAACTTTAGATATAGATAGAAATTTATATAAAAAAAACGAGTGTGCTTATGACCACACGACTGAAGTGAAACTACTTTAGCTCCATCTGTATGTATATGTGTGTGTGTACAATATATACATGTATGTACATATACATATTTCATTTACTAGCTATATAAGAAAGAGAGAAAGAAAATGAGCGCGCGCACTGCATTCTCTTGCTTATATCCCCACTCAACTCTCGTTCGCCTCGCCCGAATACACTTTTCGTTACACGTAACGCATTCGCCAGCTTTCCACCCAATTCAAGCGTGCGTAAAGAAGTTTCACTGCAAAAATTGAATTTTCAAGCATCGTTTTAAATATAATTCAACGGAATTATTTGTGAATGTCACACTATAATGTGAATTGTAAATGTCACACAACAAACATTGTGAATGTCACACTATAATTACCTAGAATTAGTAAAATCTAAAAATATTCTCTATTACAAGACTTCAGGGCGCATTTTTTTTATAGGTTTGTGAATACGTGAAAACTTTTCAGTTTGGCAAAAGCTGATGCTTTAAATTTTTAACGATAGCATAAGCATAAGGCATCATCTTGGCTCTATGAATGTAAACTTTTGTCCACAAGATTTTAATATTTTTCAGTAACAAAATGCTTCATCTTTCTATTTAAATCCTATCCCAAAAAATCATTCACCTTCAAGATATTTATTTTAGATTGTTTTCTTTACATTCCATTATACAGGGTGTTGTTGGAAGCTATGGACGAGTTGGAAGTGGCATTTTCACATCCTCTCGCCAAGAGAACGGATTGCAACCACATATTCTTGAACTTCGGACCCACAGTCATCATGGACCCTGCTAAGGTAAGAAGATCTTTCAACCTAACTTTAATAAATCTATGAATGAATGTAAATGTTAATTTGCATAAATTTGGAGAACATCCCAAAGTGTTCAATAATATAGAAGTTCAAAATCTATTTTACACATTTAACACATTTTTTTGCGTTAACATTTTGTCATTTTTTAATGACAATGCTGTCGATTCTGACGTTAACCTAAACATAAAAACCACAGTGTATCCTTGTCATTCTCTATCAAAGATATTAAATACTCGCCCTAGATACACCACGAGCGCTCAAAATGTGTCCCAATCAAGAAGTGCTTGAACTCCACTCAAGCACTTCTTGGTTCACAGTCACGCGCGGACCGTTACAAAGTCAAGATGCCACAGAGCTCCGCAAAAAAATGCGAAAATAATACTTACAGTACGAAAAGTGTTGTTTTTTCAACAGATATCTTGTCAATGTTTGTTAATTTAACGCATTTGAAGCAAATTTTGATCTAATACTTACTCTAAACTGATTTAATATAAAATATTTGTGATATTCAAATGCATGGTCGGTTATACGACGCCATGTAGCCGTCTCTTTTCCTCGCGGTCCGAGCCTGCTATGTTGCTAACAGCGCGTTCAGAATTACGCGTAGAGTCAAAGAACTAAGGTATAAATTCTTCCGTATATAGCAATAAATCGTAAAATTCTAGGAGCTTGCATTTCGAACTGTCAGAAGTCCTTGACGCATGCGTTTTATTTAAGACCTTATACAGTATGTATTAACGGTGACTTTCAATATTTAAATAATGCCTTATATTGATTTTCACTACGCGATCATCTTACGGAGCTCCGTGAAGCGTTCAATGTACCTTTTGGACAGGTTTCGGGCACGATTTTGTTCGTGTTGGTGTATCTAGGGTATTTAATAACGTTGTTCTCTATACAAAATGCCCAGTGTGGTGGGTGCTAACGACTGCAGATGTAGCCGGGACCACGGCTTAACGTGCCTTCCGACCCACGGCGAAGCTTGAGACAATAAGTTTTACGGTCACCCATCCAATGACTGACCGTTTCGAAGTTGCTTAACGTTCACGATCGCAAGCCGAATGCGCTAACCACCTGCGTAATCGACATTGGAGTATATTAAAGATGTAGTGTAATAAAGGATTCTTTTTTGTTACAGATCGAAGAATCTGTGTTGGGTATGGTGAGACGATACGGCCCCAGATTGTGGAAATTGAGGGTTTTACAAGCAGAGATCAGATTCACACTCAGGACTGGTGAGTTGTGTAGTTAGAGCAGTTTGTTGTGTAGCAATAGGGTATTTTGTTTTATAGCGAGGTAGGCAAATGACTCTACCCCACCTGATGTTAAGTGGTGATAAAGTCCAAGATAGCTGGTACAGCAGGGAAAAATCGGTGGGATTTTTTTTTCTCAATCTTAGTAAATAAATGTTATTAAAAAATCTGATACTTTTTCTTTTTCTCACTTAATCTTAGTAAATAAGTTTTATTAAATAAAAACTTTTTTTTGCTCACTCTACCTATTTGGTTTGAATTGACAGCTATGACATCACAATATGACGCCCAGTCGGTCCTATTCTTAATTGAATCGCATTATATATCATATCGCGGTGCTCATGCTAAGGGGGCAGATCAAACATCTCTGCAGTATGAATATAAAGATTCTGATGATAATGGTACTTTAACACACTCATATTAGTATTCATTTGACATTGTGGGTTACCTACAATGCGAAGAGATGGCGCTGCCTTGCAGCTTAAGGCTAGGAAAATTTTGACGCGGCTAATAGGGAAGTGGTACCATAATGGTCAGTGCATTCGCCCGGATAGCGAAGGATGCGGGTTCGAGTCCCGTCCGCTGCCTGGTCTGCGTGGATTTTTTTCTAGTAAACTTTTCTTTAGATTTACACTCATATTGTTTTAGGACCGGGAGCGCCGACCAAAAGCGTCAGATTGTGCTTGTCCAATGGCTCTGGGTATTCCCTGGACATCTACACGTACGAAGAGGTGTCAGACCCTAGGATCGGAGTGGTGAGTTACATCCAAAGAATTCCTATTATATTTTATTCCACTCAGGTTATAACAATCATTTAGGAAACTTGATATACAATGTCATCGGTTTACAAATCATCAGTTGGAGATCTTCAACCCAGCAAGACAATATTATAAATTATTATATAAATATTTATTTACAGCTATATTTTAGATATGTCTCAGCCATTTATCAAAAATTATACTTATACACAAAATATTCTGCATAATGAATGTCGCCACAAGCTGCAACAGAGTTCTTAAAACATCTCTATTTCCTTATAATTTTTGCTTTCATCATCATCAGCCTATTAATGTCCTCATTGCTGGGGCACAAGCCTATGGATAGAATAGGGAGATTGGGCCATGACCCACCACGCGGGCCCAGTGCGGATTGGCAGGTGACAACGACTGCAGATGCAGCCGGGACCAACGGCTAATAGTCTATTTTTTTACTACTTCTGTTCTTTTCTTTTCATTTTTCCTTTTTTCTGTTTTTTGCTTTATCATCTTATCCGATTCATGATTAACATGAAATTTGGTCCTTCGAGCCGGATATGAACCAGCGACCTTTGGATAAAATATAAAATGTATGGTTAGTGTGATTAATAGAGATCAGAAAATCGGATGCATAATATACCTAAAGTTAAAAATAACTAGCTTACAAATTATGGTAGCGGCTTCCTAGATTATTCGTATTAACAATAAAATCCCCAGAATCCGGGTTTGCGTACCACCTAGTCAGATTTATATTTACTTAAAGTTCAATTTTAATTTCCCATTCGTATATGTGTATGTAAGATGTAAAAGAAATGGTGGTGTGGTTAATAAGAAATCACAATATTTTTATGTTATACACCTAAGGCGGCATGTCATTTGTGTCAATCTGACTTTATTAGAGCTCACGGAGTAAACATTTAAATTTGAATTTCTCATAATTGCGAGATTTTATCGATAGAGAAGTGCTTTCCATAATAGCCAACATCTCAACTTTAGGTAAATATGCATTTGATTATCCGATCAGGGGGTCATTCGCCTAACGGAAATGCTTTGGAAAACGCTAACGCTTACGATTTCATTTTGCTATTTCTAGCCGCCTGAGGTTTTCAAATGTCTCACGCCCTTTTTTTTCTTTTCATTGGTAATAACAATATTAAAAAAAATGAGCGTGAAATATTTGAAAACCTTCGGCGGTCGAAATAACAAAATAAAATCGAAAGCGTTAGCGTTTTCCAAAGCATTTCCGTTAGGCGAATGGCCCCCTGTTATGATTAATTACTTACTTTTGCTAGAAATTATTCATTGTCACTTTTTTCTTTTAAACATGAAAAGTTAGAAAAGGCTGGATTCTAAATTTTTAGTTTACTATAATATTGGATATGCAATTGGAGAGGCCTACGCCCAGCAGTGGACTAGGATAGGCTAATGATGATGATGATGACTTAGGACTGTTTTCCTTTATTAATAAACAAGGAATAAGCTTAGACTAATTACGCCGTGTTTTGTTCATGACACTCTGATGTCATTTGTCATTCAACAAACAGAGTCTAAACATGGAATAACTAATCCAAGCGACGACTTCGTTTATTAATAACGGGTTTTAATGCCACTGCTTGGGCAAGGCATCTGCTGTTCCCATAAGGAATAGGGGGGATGACGGGGTACAGTAAACGAAATTCTATTTAGTCCGTCAGTTAGATGACCAAAAAATAATGGACACGTATTTTTTCTTTGGGCAATCAACCATAAAATGACAAAGTTATAACGCGTCAAAGTTTGGGAGTTGGGGCTCGTGACGACACTTTTAAGTGAAAATTGTAGCAAAACGTGACGTCATGCGGCTTTTCAAAGCAATATATCTCTGCAATGTTTATATTATGTGAAAAAAGGAAAAAAACATGTCCAATACTTTTTGACAATCTACCTGATAAACGAAGAAAAAAAATAGTCATCCCTATTATTAAGAACTAACTACTGCGAACGCAGCCAAAACTAACAGCTAAAAGTGTCTTGTAAAGCACGGAAGAATTGCTCACCCATCCTGTGATCGACCATTGCGATAATCACTTGACTACCACCACATTCTGTTAAAAAATAAAATACTAATGCAGTTTTTTTCCCCGTAGATTATGTTCCAATCGTACGGCGCTAGACAAGGACCGATGCACGGCCTTCCCATTTCCACACCTTACGTCACCAAAGACTATTTACAACAAAAGAGATTTTTGGTAAGTTGTAGTATAGATAATAAATAATTTAAAAAATTAACATTTATATTGAATGGCAGGAACACTTATTATTTTGTTACTTCTTTGGAAAATAAGTCTGTATACGTTGAGAATATCCTAAAACAGCTTGTATTTTTTTATAAAGGGCGCTGCACCTTAGATACAGATTTCCTAGTTCAGGTGCAGATGTATTTTTTATGCATTTAGCTGATTGTTTGATTATTGTAAGATTTTATAAAGTATTGTGTACAGTTTTTATGGTGGCAATAAATTATTATTATTATTACTATCATATTAGAGTATCTCATAGTGTTTTTTTTTTATTAAAATCGCTAATCATACTGATTTTGATAGATAAACAAATTACTTGAAGTGAAGTTTAATCGTATTGGGTTAAATGTCTGGTACATTCAAAAGGTTTTTTTGAATAGCGTAAATCTCGAGGAATGCGACATCGAAAACAATTACATTTTATCATTTAAAATTCTTGCCAAAAAAATTTTTAGAGTGTGGTGACGAAATAAATGTTGGTAAACAAATTAAATGTGCGTATTTTACCACTATCCAGGCGACATCACAAGGTACGACTTACGTCTACGATATTCCTGACATGTTCAGACAAGTCACTGAGAGGAGATGGAGGGAGTGCATTGAAGAAGGCACCATTGACGGTAAATACTCATTTATCTATATGTATCTGTATAAATATAAAATTTAATCCTTATTCTCCATAGGGTATTTGACAGTATTAAAAATAAAGTGCCAAGTGTTAGCATCTGTGTTAAGAATGAATATTGGCAGGGGTTTTTACTATTTTTACAAAAAAAATATTCATCATTTTACTAAAACCCACGAAAAAGATAATTGTTTTCTTATCCATTGTCACGTGACCCAAAAAGCTTGGGATTGGCGGAGCATTAAATGACGTCACACGCAAGTAAACTTCCGGTTAAAGTGACATTCCATTGTATCGTTTGACGTTCTAATTACAATCGTGTGACGTTACACACTAGTAAGACGCCATATTATCCAGAAAAACGTTTTCGCGGCAACTTGAAAATAGAGTTTTTGATTTGGTTATTTTTACTAAAATACACAACAGAATGATGAATATCCACTTTTTACGGACTCCATAAACATTAGTCAATAACGTGAGATCGTTTTCTAAAACTTGTCAAATACCCTATTGTCTGACATATGAAATTTAACTGTTAGCATCTGGAGTAATATCTTAAGAAATCGACAAAGAATTCTGATAAAATTCCGTTCCATATTGCAGTTATTGAAATTTTAACACTAATACTTATAGATTAAAACATAATAAGGGAAGATACGGTACGCTCATACTAGCATCAAAATAAAATATGCTCCGATTCAACTACATAAGCAACTCACGCACACGTCTGTAAATAAACATTCAATTGAGCGAGCGAGACAGAACTGTACGTTTCAACGCAGCGCGAGCGAGACGGCGAGTCCGCTTCCGAGTCCGTACGGCTGAGTTGTATTGTGGTCCTTTTCTGGATAACAAAATGGCGATTACGGAAATTACATTTACGACAAACCGTGATTTTTGAGAAAATAACGTTTTTACAGTTATACGAATGAAAAGTGATGCCGAGGCATTTGTTATTTGATTTTGAACTATTTGTGTTCTTTTTAAAAGCATCGAAGACATTGTTTGATCTTTATAACACAGAATATACGCAATATTGTTATATTGAGTGCACATGCAGCGTGTCTGAATGTCCAATTGTGACTAAAGCGAATTGTGGTCATGCACCACAATTTAATCGCATCACTTTTGAGCCGCGAGTGCCGTATCTTCCCTTTTTGTTTTCTACTGAAGGTAATCTGGTGTCGTTTCTTAGCAGCAGTTGTTATTTTAATTTAAATAATAGCAATATCTGAACAACACAGCTCATTAAATCTTTATATATAAGGAGTTTGAATATTGAAACTGGGGACGGAAGTCACTTAAATAAATAGGAAATAATTATTTATTTTGCATCTGCAGTCGTTAGCATCCACCAATCCGCACTGGGCCCGCGTGGTGGGTCATAGCCCAATCTCCCTATTCCATCAATAGGGAAGGCCTGTGCCCCAGCAGTGGGGACATTAATAGAATGATGATGATAATGAGGAATTATTTATTTAGTTTCTTTTTTATTGCTTAAAATCAACATATCAGCTGTGCCATTGTTTCGTATACCTTGTATTTTATTACTCCATCAGGCCCAGTTCCGGACACGGTGATGATGTCCGTAGAATTAGTGGTAGAACCGGACGGAGAGAGGAGAGTAGTGGAAGTTACTAGACTGCCCGGACAAAATACCGTGAGTATTATCCATAGAGGTATAAGAATACAGTAGGGGAGATATAGACTACTACAAGTGGAACTGTCCCTCTAACAGAAAGAGAAAGAAGATGAGAGACCGCTAGCTTTCTCTCTCTAATCGCGCATGCGCATTGGCAACCGTACCGTACCGCATGTTACTATTTCGATGTGATGCCATTGGATGCCATGCGTCACAAGAGAGAGAGATAGCTAGCGGTCTCTCGTCTTCTTTCTCTTTCTACTAGATGGATACTTTTAGAGCCGCCTTCCCCACTCTATTCTTATACTTCTATGGTATTATCAGGTTTTAACCACAGATAATTTATTAAAAAGCTTTTATTTTTTTTATTTCTCCTCTGTTTACAAATAGATTTTGAACAATTACCCCCCTTATTAGTAAAGAAGAATAAGCTTGGATTAGTTACTCCATGTTTTGTCTCTGTTCATTTGATGACAAATGGCATTTGAGTGATATGAACAAAATACGTCGTAGCTAGTCTACGTAGTCCAATCACCGAATGGGAAATTAAAATATATATCAAACATCCGAAATAGCAAATATAGTTAGAACTATAATCTATTTCTTCTTTCAAATGTTTAATACTTGTAAAAGTATTCAATTGACATTGTGGGTTACCTACAATGCGAAGAAATGGCGCTGCCTTGCAGCTTAAGAATGGCTAGAAGAATTTCGACGCGGTCGTCAGGGCCGCGGTAGCATAATTGGTCAGTGCATTCGCCCGGATTGCGAAGGGTGCGGGTTCGAGTCCTTTCTTCATTTTTGAGATTTATTTCTAGTTATATTTTCTTTATATTAAAACATTAAGCAGTTAATGCTTAAAAATATATATACTTATATATATATCAAACATGTTTTTTTTTGGATAATATATGGATTATATAATAGATACTATAATACGTAGATTCCTTTTCAATGCTCTTACATGTCGTGTAGAGCACGAGATCTGTGTTTTTATTTACTAAATTACACAACAGAATTAAAAATATTCACTTTTTATGCACTTCATAAACATTAGTAAATAAGGTTAAATCGTTTCCTAAAACATGTCCAATACCCTATTTTAATTTTAGTAGAATTATTTCTATAAAATGATTCATATAATTAATTTTTCCCCCTACAGGTGGGTATGGTTGCATGGCGTCTTACCCTCTTCACCCCCGAGTGTCCTGACGGCAGGGATATTATCCTGATAGCCAACGACCTAACCCATTATATGGGGTCTTTTGGACCCCAAGAAGATTGGCTGTTTTACAAGGCTTCACAGTACGCGAGAGAATTGAAGATACCAAGAGTAAGTAATGTTAGAAGTGAAACCAACTAACATAATAATTATTATGAAAATATATATTGACATAATTACATAATTTAACAAACGTAAAAATTTAAGAAAAGTTTTCTGATATTTTGTTAGAATAGGTACGCACATGGTGTGTAAGTTTTTTAACAGATGGAGCTGTTCATACATCTGCATCGCGGTATGGTGTGGTACAAAGAGGAACATTAAAATAAGTATATGGGGTGCTTATTCTCTCTTAAAGTTGTCGCACTAAAATAATCTGACGCTGAAATCGTGACGCGGCCTTGAAAAGTTACCCTCATCGCCCGCAAAGCAAACATTTTAGTTAGACTTAAGTTGATGTCGTTACTTTGTTTGCACAGAACACAGGAAAAGGTTAGGAGGGTTATTGTAGACCGTTTGTACGGGAACCGTAGTCGCCGGCCTTAGATAATAGCGAATGAAACGACGCAACATCAAACAAACGAACCAATCAGCGCTCACACCCGAGAGCGTAGACGCTGTCAAAACAAAGTTTTGGTCAAGTTATGAGCATTTACTCACACATCACTGTGGCGCACCTGCCCCGCCCACAAGGCCCTTCTAACCTCTTTCTGTGTTCTGTTTGTTTGGGATATCAGTAGCATTCTACTGTCTCATTAGACAGCATGTGACTTAATGGAGCATTCATTTTGAGGTCTCTGAGTTAGTCTCGTTACAGGCTTAGACATAGACCGATCTATTTTCCTGGTTCTTTGTTCCATTCCCTAATACTATATTCTCATATCCCTATTTCTATATTTTCATATAACCCTATTCCTATATATTCTAATAGGGTATTTGATAGTATTAAAAATAAAGTGCCAATTGTTAGCATCTGCGTTTAGAATGAATATTGGCAGGGGCTTTTACTATTTTTACAAAAAAAAATTCATTATTTTACTAAAAACCCACGAAAAAGATAATAGTTTTTTTCTATTGTTTATCTTCCCCAAAACGCTTGGGATTGGCGGAGCCAAAAATGACGTCACACGCAAGTAAACTTCCGATTAAAGTGACATTACATTACATCGTTTGACGTTTTAATAACAGTCGTGTGACGTCACACACTAGTAAGACGCCATATTGTCCAGCAAAACGTTTTTGCGGCAACTTGAAAATGGAGTTTTTGATTTGGTTATTTTTACTGAAATACACAACAGAATGATGAATATCCACTTTTTACGGACTCCATAAACGTTAGTCAATAGCGTGAGATCGTTTTCTAAAACTTGTCAAATACCCTATTTAGACAAAATGCGTTTTAAATTTTATTAAAACACCTGATCAACATTGTCTCTCTATAACTAGCCTTTATAATCAGAAACGGGCTATACATTTCTATTCCGAGGGCCGTGGTATCCAAAATGCTACTCTCCCAATATCTTCATAATAAATAAAGACAATTTGATGTTACGTCAGAACCTGTGATTGTTGTGTATTTTCCTTTCTTTGCGATAGCAAAAGAAATAAACAACAGGTTAATAATAATCATAATAATCAATAATCAAAATCATTTATTCAGTTTAGGCTGTTACAAGCACATATGAATGTCTAGAAGCTACGCCATCGGTGCGTAAATCTACGGCGGGAGACCTTGTACTGAGAAGAACCGGCAAGAAACTCAGCAAGGGCTGTTTTTTTCTCCCTGTTTTATCATTTACAGTGTCGTCAAGTTGAAAAATGACTTTTTGTTTAATGAATCCTGAAATTGATTTGATGCTTCTCAGTACGGCTGAAAGAAAGAAATGATTTTGAAGTCATTACTTCTTATGGGAGGCAAACCGCTTCGTTACGTAACACGTTACGGTGCCAGTCAGTCTGGCTTCCATCGCCGCGCCCGTACCCTCTAATCCCCTTTTCACCCTCGAATCCTCTTTACACCCTCCAATTCCCTTTTCACCCTCCAATCTTTTTTCACCCTGCAAACCTCTTTTCACCTACTAATCTCCTGTGCTCAAAATCAGATAGTTTAAGTTATCACTTCTGTCGTGTGTCCCGAGTCGCACACGATTTTTGAAGTGAAACTTCTTTACACACGCTTGACTTGGGGGGTAAGCTGGCGAATGCATTACGCGTTACGAAAAGTGTGTTCGGGCGAGGCGAACGGGAGTTGAGTGGGGGATATAAGCAAGAGAAAGCAGTGCGCGCGCACATATTCTTTCTCTCTTTCTCTTATAGTAGTGCGTTTCATCAAATAGCTCCTATGCCGTCATGCTGGCACACTGTCTGTCAACAGTGTCATCACGTTAAGACATCTCTCCTGATTAACTTGTTAACCAATCAAATTGCTTTGTTAAATTGTTAACCAACATGACGGCATAGGAACTATGTGATGAAATGCACTATATATGTACATACATGTATATATTGTACACACACACACACACATATATATATATATATATACATACAGATGGAGCTAAAGTAGTTTCACCTCGGTCGTGTAGCCATAAGCACACTCGTATTTTTTTGTAATTAATTTCTTTCTTTGTTTTAGCTATACATAAGTGTTAACTCCGGCGCTCGTATTGGCGTAGCAGAAGAAGTTAAATCCGAGTTCAACGTAGCCTGGGTCGATGCCGAACGACCGGACAGAGGCTTCAAATATCTATATCTAACGCCCGAAGCTTATTCCAAGCTTGGAGCATTGGGATCTGTGAAAACCCAGCTCATTGAAGATGAAGGGGAATCGAGATATAAGATCACGGATATTATCGGTAATTACTTTGTTAAATAGGTATATAAAAGTAGCTTTAGGCACCTTTAAATAGGTGCCGAATGCCCGGACAGGGGATTCAAATATGTATATCTAACGCCCGGAGCTTATTCCAAGTTAGGACCATTGGGTTCTGTGATAACCCAACTCATTGAAGATGAAGGGGAATTGAGATATAAGATCACGGATGTTATTTATTTATTTATTATTTATTTTATTCTTCTTTACCAAAATACAGTAAATGGCTGACTTAATGTTACCGGTACCTAAGTATTATTATGTGCTTGGGCCTTTGTTTCGTAAACGCAAATTTACGCGAATTCACCAAATTACTATTTTAAAAGCAACTTAGACTCATAATTTTGGTAAGTTTTCATTTGACTTGAATTTTCGAATTTATGACTAAGAAAATGCAAATTTACTATATTAAGAAAAATGAAAATTTTTTTATTTCCCAAAGAGTCAGATTACAGTACAAGTTGAGACAACCCAGAAAGTAATAATTAATACGTGTGTTGGGATAATTATTATATTTGAAAATACAGAGCTCGATGGCGCAAGTGGTTAGCGCGTTCGGCTGCGATCTTTGAAGTTAAGCAATTTTCGCAGTTGTCGGTTATTAGATGGGTAACCAAAAATTTACTATCTCTCACTCCTCCGTGCTTCGGAAGGCACGTTAAGCCTTCGATCCCGGCCGCATGTGCAGTCATTAGCACCTATCAATCCGCACTGGGCCCAAGTGATGGGTCACGGCCCAATCTCCCTATTCCATCCAGTGGGAAGGCCTGTGCCTCAGCAGTGAGGACATTAATAGGCTGATGATAATGATGAAATATACATGAAAATGCTTTTCTTTCATCCTCCAGGCAAAGAAGATGGCCTAGGCGTGGAATGTCTGCGCGACGCCGGTCTTATTGCAGGCGAGACTGCTCAGGCTTACGAAGACATAGTCACTATATCTATTGTCACTTGCAGAGCTATCGGTATCGGATCATACGTCGTCAGGTAAGTAAAGTTATACTAAAATTATAAACAGGAAAGATTTGTGTGTTTTTAACGAAACGAAAAACAAAATATGACTAGGCCAATTTAGATATTTTTTTCACCATTAAAAACAACATTTTTCCTGAGGCCAAAGACTATATTTTATCGAGCTAAAATAAATTTCGCCCATGCAAAGCGACATTTTTTTAACACTGACAAAGTAAACACTATCCGCCTTTTTCAAAAACGGGGACTAAAGTTAGTCTTGGTTTAAATTTATTATTCTGGTGATTATTGAAATGAAATTACTGTTACAGACTCATTATTTCACTGACATGTTGCATTTATTAAATCAATTATTAATTTCTGGTTTCCTAAACATACACACTTAATATTGCCGCCATGTAAACCATGCTAAAAATGTGATAAGATACCTACCTACGCAATGTGCACAACGGACTACGCGCACTGGCTCCGGCTCATGCATTTCGCTGTTTTTGTCGGCTCGTTTCGATATGGTTATTTTTTTTTTAACGGAAGGCATGCACACACACACACACACGCTACACCAAACACTTACGTACACACTCATTTACACAAAGTTAGTTATCATGCTCCTTTTATAATTTTGATTTATATAGGTATTTATATTTATCGCAAAATTAATTTGAATCTTTGTTGGTATTTCTTTTATATTATTGTTAATTTGTAATTTCTACCCTACGTAATCATTTTAATTTTTAAATTGAATACAAAGTGAGTTTCTGTAATTGGCTAAAGTACCGTTTAAAATTTTATATTAGATTATATTGTGTAAAACGCTGTTGAAACTTGTTGATGATAAATAAATAAAATAAATAAAAATAAACCTAATGTTGTCTTTGTCTTCTTTTTAGAAAATAAAGTGACAGCGTCAGTTTTATCCCGTTTAATCCGTCAGTTGTATCAAGTTTATCTTTAGTCTACGTTTCGTAATAAGGCGGTATAAGAATTATGTTATGAAATACTTAATTGATTTTACCTGCTGTAAATGCTGACCCATATCAAGTGTTGGCATCATATAAAATACACATTTATTACCTGTAATTGTTTTTTGTCGTTGTATTTTTTTTATGTTGTGTTTTACTCTATGTATGTGTATGAGGAGCTCGATGGCGCAAGTGGTTAGCGCGTTCGGCTGCGATCGTTGAACTTAAGCAACTTTCGCAGTGGTCGGTCATTGGATGGGTGACCAAATATTACTATCTCGAGCTCCTCCGTGCTTCGGAAGGCACGTTAAGCCGTTGGTCCCGGCTGCATCTGCAGTCGTTAGCACTCACCAATCCGCACTGGGCCCGCGTGGTGAGTCATGGCCCAATCTCCCTATTCCATCCATAGGGAAGGCCTGTGCCCCAGCAGTGGGGACATCAATAGGCTGATGATGTTGATGATGTGTATGTTATGTGCTTCAACAATAAAATCTTTCATTTTTCTTTCTTTCTTTCTCTAGTAGAAGTTAAACCAAAAGCCTATAATTATAAAATGCAATAAAAAAACCCCTTTTTTTCCAGACTCGGCCACCGCGTGATCCAAGTGGAATCCTCCTACATAATCCTAACCGGCCACGCGGCGCTGAACAAAGTGCTAGGTCGTTCTGTGTACGCCAGCAACAATCAGTTGGGCGGCACCTCCATCATGCATCACAACGGTGTCAGCCACGCCACCGCCGCCGGAGACCTCGATGCAGTCGCGCGCGCGCTATCCTGGCTCGCTTTCGTGCCCAAGGTGAGCTAATTCTCTTCATTTTGACACTCTTAACTTGATTTCTGGTCGTCACCCATCATTTAAAACACACAAAAAATTTATTTCGACCTTGAAATGTGATATCTATCTATTTCTATCTTCCTTTGGAGAAATCTCGCCCATCTATAGGAATAACTCACTTCTCTTTTAAAAGCGTATCCCATCCTCTAATAAAGTCGCTCATCTTAGAGAGTATACTTATATTACCCATCTATAAAGAAAGTCCACTTTGTCTTCCATCTATGGAGATGATCTACTCTTCTTTTGAGTGCGTCTACCATCCTGTAAGAATGTCGCCCATCTATTGAGATTTCTGGTATTAACTTGATTTCTGGTCGTCACTCATCATTTAAAACACACAAAAATTTGATTTCGATCTTGAAATGTGATATCTATCTATTTCTATCTTCCTTTGGGTGCTTCTCCCATTCTGTAAAAATCTCTTTCTTTTAAGAGCGTATCCCATCCTCTAATAAAGTCGCTCATCTATAGAGAGTATACTTCTATTACCCATCTAGAAAGATAGTCTACTTGTCTTCCATCTATGGAGATGATCTACTCTTCTTTTGAGTGCGTCTACCATCCTGTAAGAATGTCGCCCATCTATTGAGATAGTCTACTTTGTCGCCAATCTATTGAGATAATCGACTTAATTGCCCATCTATTGAGACAGTGTACTTTGTCGCCCATCTATTGAGATGGTTTATTTTGTCGCGCATCTATTGAGATGGTTTATTTTGTCACCCATCTGTTGAGATAGTCTACTTTGTCGCCCATCTATTGAGATAGTCTACTTTGTCGCCCATCTATTGAGATAATCGACTTTATCGCCCATCTATTGAGATGGTTTATTTTGTCGCCCATCTATTGAGATGGTTTATTTTGTCGCCCATCTATTGAGATAGTCTACTTTGTCGCCCATCTATTGAGATAATCGACTTTATCGCCCATCTATTGAGATGGTTTATTTTGTCGCCCATCTATTGAGATGGTTTATTTAGTCGCCCATCTATTGAGATGGTTTATTTTGTCACCTATCTATTGAGATAGTCTACTTTGCTGCTCATCTATTGAGATAGTCTACTTTGTCGCCCATCTATTGAGATAGTCTGGCTGCCCCCCATTTATTGAGATAGTCTACTTTGTCGCCCATCCTAACCGGCCACGCGAGGTCGTTCTGTGTACGCCAGCAACAATCAGTTGGGCGGCACCTCCATCATGCATCACAACGGTGTCAGCCACGCCACCGCCGCCGGAGACCTCGATGCAGTCGCGCGCGCGCTATCCTGGCTCGCTTTCGTGCCCAAGGTGAGCTAATTCTCTTCATTTTGACACTCTTAACTTGATTTCTGGTCGTCACCCATCATTTAAAACACACAAAAATTTGATTTCGATCTTGAAATGTGATAATCTACTCTTAGGCCCGTATCACAGAATGACAACTAAGTGTTGATCTTTACTTGAGTATAGTTGGAAAGAAATGTCGCTATGTGCTATATATAGCGACATCCCTTTCTAACTATGCTCAAGACTAGATCGATTACTGAGAATCTAATATATAAAATTCTCGTGTCGCGGTGTTTGTGGTTAAACTCCTCCGAAACGACTTTCTCATGAAATTTTGTGTGCATATTGGGTAAGTCTGAGAATCGGACAACATCTATTTTTCATCCCCCTAAATGTTAAGGGTAATCCACCACTAATTTTTTTTTTCAATTTTAGATATATTTTTTTAATTTTTTTATGATACATCATACACCACCCTTCTACCCTTCTACCACCAACCCCTATTTTTTTATGGCGGTACGAAGTTCGCTGGGTCAGCTAGTCTTTCTATAATACTGGCATTAGACTCTCTCCTTTGTAAAAAGTAAGAACTTTGTAACTGTAAGAATGTCGTCCATCTGTTAAGATAATCTACTTTGTCTCCTATCTATTGAGATTGTCTACTCTGTCACCCATCTATTGAAATAGTCTACTTTGTCGCCCATCTATTGAGATAGTCTACTCTGTCACCCATCTATTGAAATAGTCTACTTTGTCGCCCATCTATTGAGACAGTCTACTCTGTCAACCATCTATTGAGATACTTTCTTCTCCTCTGTCCCCCATTTATGAAGATAGACTACTTTGTCACCCATCTATTGAGACAGTCTACTCTTTCAACCATCTATTGAGATACTTTCTTCTCCTCTGTCCCCCATTTATGAAGATAGACTACTTTGTCACCCATCTATTGAGACAGTCTACTCTGTCAACCATCTATTCAGATAGTCCACTCTGTTGCCCATCTACTAAGATATTCTACTCTATCAACCATCTATTGAGATAGTCACCTTTGTCCCCCATTTATTAAGATAGTGTACTTTGTCGCCCATCTATTGATATAGTCTACTCTGTCGCTTATCTATAGAGATGAAATACTCATATTAGCCTTTTGTCTACAGGATAAATTAAGCATGGTGCCCATAATGCGGCCCGCAGACCCCATAGACAGGCAGGTCGAATGGGTTCCACCTCGGGCAGCCCACGACCCTCGTCTGATGCTGACTGGAGACGGAGTTAGAGGCGGATTCTTCGACCATGGATCTTTCGATGAGATCATGAAGCCGTGGGCGCAAACTGTGATCACTGGTGAGTCAGTAACTATTATTTACTATTTTAGGGAGATTTGTCATGTCAAGTCCGCCAAGGAAAATCACTGTTAAGAAAAACTGGGCTGTCTCCATATTTTGGGTAAGTATTTGTTGTTTTTTTGTCTCTTTCTACATAGTTGTCAATTTTATGCGAGTGTCGTTCATTAGCAGTCAGCTTTATAGACTAGTTCACTAAGTGAATGATGAGTTTATGAGAAGGGAGCAAGAGAGGGTTCAGTTTATAAAATAACAAAATGCACTTTAAAATTCAATTCGCAGTTTTCAGTTTTTTTTTTCAATCTGTTTTAAAACACGATGAAATAGTAGAGGTAGTAGCCGCCACATTATTACGTCACACCGCTAGTATTTGCCAAAGTGTCAGCTGTCAACTCAATACTTTTAATGTTTTCGTAACGAAGGTAACGCATTTATTTACAGTACTAATGACGTCAAAACCGCAGGGCAATATGGAGTCCACTGTGTTCAGCATTTTCGTTTAACTACGCGCGAAATATGAGATTGTTAGATTTAAATGCATTTTAAGGGACTTAACGATTGAATAGAAATTGTATTTTTTTTTGTAACATATTAGCTCTTTCAAATTTAATTGGGACATTTTTCCAAAATGGTTGGAATACCCTATTGCGAACAAGTTATCTTTTGTGCTAACAGTAACACTGCACATGACTATTTGTATTTGCTATTTGTCATTTTGACAGGAAGTGGTGGTGCACATATTTTTTGGGAAATGAAAAGGAGAGGCTTTTGTTGAGATAAGAATAATAGCAAATACAAATAACCAAATGAGGAGCTCGATGGCGCAAGTGGTTAGCGCATTCGGCTGCGATCGTTGAAGTTAAGCAACTTTCGCAGTGGTCGGTCATTGGATGGGTGACCAAAAATTTACTATCTTGAGTTCCTCCGTGCTTCGGAAGGCACGTTAAGCCGTTGGTCCCGGCTGCATCTGCAGTCGTTAGCACCCGCCAATCCGCACTGGGCCCGCGTGGTGGATCATGGCCCAATCTCCCTATTCCATTCGTAGGGAAGGCCTGTGCCCCAGCAGTGGGGACATTAATAGGCTGATGATGATGATGACAAATAACCATTCGAAATTCCGGCATAAAATGAAACGGTTTGAATAGAATAATCACCTTACTGAAAGTTTTTTTTTTTAAATAATATAAACTTATTTCACATTGTCTCAGGTCGAGCTCGTCTAGGCGGTGTTCCAGTCGGGGTGATAGCTGTCGAAACTAGAACGGTGGAGATCACTCTCCCCGCCGACCCCGCCAATCTGGACTCGGAGGCTAAGACGATACAGCAAGCGGGACAGGTAAATATAATAATAATAATAATATTTATTTCACAAGCCAGTTTTACAAGAATCGTACATCACAATATACACTATAGCTTAGAATAAACATTTATAAACATTTATAGTATCCTCTGTGCCTGTACTAGGTTATAAAAATACCTGTATCACAGACACAGCGCTCATCCCTAAGGACCAGTTATACAACCTTTATGTAAGGAAAAAAATACAATTCTTGTGTTAGCTTAACAAAGTTAAATCAAAATATTATTTAAGTAAAAGAAATTAATTATTTATGTGTTTATAGAACCTCCTTTTGTGTGAAGTGAATGTGAATGTGTGTGTGTAGGAGGGTGTGTGAAGATTGGACTTTAGATGTCGAGTATAATATCACAATATCATATTTTTATTTTTGAAGCATGTAACTGCTCGATGTTTAAATGTAAAGAAAATATTATTAGATATAAAATAGATTGTGGGTAATGGAACTGTTGTTGTTTTTAGCGAGTTTCCGATATTTCGTCACTGTTACCACCGCCATGATCACGGAGTAACTGAAGTAATTGCGGGTAGGCTGTTATTGGCAGACATATCGGTCTACCCTCCGACGAAGTCTTTTATATTGCGTCCGATACCCGTACCACTTCGCACATTCTCACTGTACACATCTCTTATCTATTAGACAAGTCCGTCAGTTTGTCTGTCTGTGGTGCTGTTTCAGCGGCCAAACCGTAAGAGATAGATAAAGAGTATATTTAAGTTATAAGTTAAGAATAGTCTGATAAGACTACAAACCGGATTTGAGTAACGTAGCACTTCCGGTTTTCGAGAAATCACGAATTTCAAACGAAACCACACAAAATCTCCGAAGTTCTCAATAATTAAATACTTTTTTTTTTATAAATCAGGTTTTGGTGAACATTTGGTTCACTGGTTTGCTAGTTGTTATATATATCACTATTATATACGGTTTTCTGTCGAGATAATCTGTGGTTATGGAACTCAAACCAGTGGTTAGGACCAGAATCAATTAACTGTTTCGCCATGACTGATATCTGCGTATTGTTCTTCTTGATTGTTTTTCAAAGTTCCCTCATTCGGCACGCTACTGTTCGCTTTGTTTAGCCAATGTACGAACTGCCACAGCTGCAATTGAAACCTTTGTAAGGGAGTGAAGACAGTGTTTAGTGAGTACTTTATTCAGTATGTTTGAGATCTTGTCAGTCACTCTTTTAATATTTGGCAAATAAACGGGTTGTCTGTCTTCCTGTGTCTCTGGTGTCTTAATGTGTGTCTGGGTGGAGAGTGTCCCTTATATCCATTACTCTGTAAGAGTCGTCGTACATGCTCCAACTCTTCGATCGGTAACGAACGCAATATAAAAGACTTCGTCGGAGGGTAGACCGATATGTCTGCCAATAACAGCCTACCCCCAATTACTTCAGTTACTTCGTTATCATGGCGGTTGCAACAGTGCCGAAATATCGAAAACTCTAAAAACAACGTGCATGGTAACAATCCCGTTAATGACATATCTCTTATCTATTAGACAAGTCCGTCCGTCTGTCTGTGGTGCTTTTCAGCGGCCAAACCGTAAGACAAAGATAAAGAGAATATTTAAGTTATAAGTTAAGAATAGTCTGATAAGACTACAAACCGGATTTGAGTAACGTATCACTTCCGGTTTTCGAGAAATCAGGTTTTTGGTGAACATTTGGTTCACTGGTTTGCTAGTATTACTATAATAGTGTCCAATGTTGTGTATATAATGGTACAGAACCCTTCGTGTGTGAGTCCGACTTGCACTCGGCCGGTTTTTTTACTTCGTCGCAGTCGGAAAGTATTGAATTTATATAATCCCTACACAGGTATGGTTCCCAGACTCCGCTTACAAGACCGCTCAGGCCATCAACGATTTCTCACGAGAGAATCTTCCCATCATCATATTCGCCAATTGGAGAGGCTTCAGCGGTGGACAGAAAGGTGAGTCAGATTAATGATTCGTAGCAAGTTCATAAGTTATATTTTTTGTTGATTGCTTGATGTTTAAATCTAAAGAAAATATAACTAGAAAAATTCCACGCGGACCAGGCAGCAGACGGGATTCGAAGAGATGACGCTGCCTTGCAGCTTAAGAATGGCTAGAAGAATTTCGACGCGATCCGTGAGGGCCGCGGTAGCATAATTGGTCAGTGCATTAGCCCGGATTGCGAAGGGTGCGGGTTCGAGTCCCGTCTGCTGCCTGGTCCGCGTGGAATATTTTCTAGTTATATTTTCTTTAGATTTAAAGTTCATAAGTTATTTTGAATCAGCATTTACTTTAGAAACATTTATGCAATTGGGCCTTTCATCTGTCTAATATGTTTTGGTTGTATCATAGAGCAAACCCTAAAGTACTATTCGTAAATAGAATAGGGTATTTGACAAGTTTTAGTAAACGATCTCACGTTATTGAATAATGTTTATGGAGTCCGTAAAAAGTGGATATTCATCATTCTGTTGTGTATTTCAATAAAAATAACCAAATCAAAAACTGCCATTTTCAAGTTGCCGCGAAAACGTTTCTCTGGACAATATGGCGTCTTACTAGTGTGTGACGTCACACTACTGTTATTAAAACGTCAAACGATACAATGTAATGTCACTTTAACCGGAAGTTTACTTGCGTGTGACGTCATTTTAAGTTCCGCCAATCCTAAGCGTTTTGGGTCACGTGACAATAGATAAGAAAATTATTATCTTTTTCGTGGTGTTTTAGTAAAATTATGAATATTTTTTTTGTAAAAATAGTAAAAGTCAATATTCATTCTAAACACAGATGCTAACAATTGGCACTTTATTTCTAATACTGTCAAATACCCTATTCTTTACCCGCGCACCTGTTCCCTGCTTCCTATAATCTGGGGTCCTTTAAGAGGGGCGCGACGCGAACAAGCATTTTTGTAGGCCGACAAAGTGAGGATGGTTGGTGTAGCAGTTTATAACTGCTTTACCAGCTATCTTCGCGTTTGGACTTTATCACCACTTAACATCAGGTGGGGTAGAGTAATTTGCCTACCTCGCTATAAAAAAAAAGCTCAGCGTGGAGATACGCGGGGCCACAGTGCCCGTCATTGATAAAATCAATAATTTAATTAACAGCCTCGCCCGTTCACTAAATGCCGGCATCCAATTAAATAGATGACTAACAACCAGCCAATTCATTGAGCGCAACGTTTCACCAGATGGCTGAACGTCGTGTAGTCATTTAGTTAAATTAGATAGCCTAATTTTAACCTTTATGTTTAAGTTCATATACGATCAATTTTCATTTAAATTTCTGTTTAAAACTCAACAAATAAGTTATATTATTTTGTACCATGTTATATGAGTTTTACAATATCTCACTTTATTTCTCTTTAAAAATGCACTGCGAACGAAAAATCATAAAACAATTTTCTACGCTATACTTGTTTTAATGAGTACTAGCACTGTAGTAGAAAAAAGCTAAACTAGTTTAGAATCACTTGACTGAGTCTTGGTCAGTCATTTTCAACAGGCTAACTTCAAGTCATTAAATCAGTTCGGAGCTTGTAAACGGTATCAAGTGTGTCTTTGTTCATTTTTTCATTATTCTTGACGTTTTCGGGCTCGGGTTTCATTTTTACATTATTTTTGACGTTTCGGAGCCTGTAAAGGGTTCAAAAACTGTTTCGTGCGTGACCCTTAGATTAAAACAAGAAGGGAAGATACGGCACTCGGGGCTTAAAAGTGATCCGCTTCAATTGTGGTGCATGACCATAATTAGCTTTAGTCACAATTGGACATACAAACACGATGCATATGCACTCAATATAACGATATTGCGTATATTCTGTGTTATAAAGATAAAACAATGCCTTCGATGCTTTTATAAAAAACACAAATAGTTCAAGATCAAATAGCAAATGCTATGGTAACACTTTTCATTCGTAGAATAATAAAAAAAACTCAAAAATCACGGTTTGCAATAAGTGTAAGTTACCGATTCGCCATTTTTATGAAGAAAAGGACAACAATACAACACCTCCGTCTATAGAGAGAGAAAAGAAAATTCAGTCGGCTGCAAAGCGACGCCGACTCGCGCCGTTTCGCTCGCGCTGCGTTGAAGCGTACTACTCTGTCTCGCTCGCTCGATTGAATGTTTATTTACAGACGTGTGCGTGTGTGGAAGTTGCTTATGTAGTTGAGTCGGATCATATTTTATTTGATGCTAGTATGAGCGTACCGTATCTTCCCTTCTTGTTTTAATCTAAGGCTTGATCAATAATACCAACCAATGTATAACATGTGTCGGTTTTCGCTCGTCCCCACATAGACATGTACGAGCAGATCCTGAAGTTCGGCGCGGAGATAGTGCGCGCGTTACGCGGCGCCACGGCGCCTGTCATCGTGTACATCCCGCCCGGGGCCGAGCTCAGGGGGGGGGCCTGGGCGGTCGTCGACCCCTCCGTCAACTCGCTGAGGATGGAGATGTACGCGGACCCGGAGGCTAGGTGAGATAGTGTACATCCCGCCCGGGGCCGAGCTCAGGGGGGGGGGCCTGGGCGGTCGTCGACCCCTCCGTCAACTCGCTGAGGATGGAGATGTACGCGGACCCGGAGGCTAGGTGAGATAACTGTACAATTGGGTATTTGACAAGTTTTAGAAAACGATCTCACGTTATTGAGTAATGTTTATGGAGCCCGAAAAAGTGGATATTCATCATTCTGCTGTGTATTTCAGTAAAAATAACCATATGAAAAACTCCATTTACAAGTTGCCGCGAAAACGTTTCTCTGGACAATATGGCGTCTTACTAGCGTGTGACGTCACACGATACAATGTAATGTCACTTTAACCGGAAGTTTACTTGCGTGTGACGTCATTTTAGGCTCCGCCAATCCCAAGCGTTATGGGTCACGTGACAATAGACAAGAAAACTATTATCTTTATCGCGGGTTTTTAGTAAAATTAAGAATATTTTTTTGTAAAAATAGTAAAAACCCCTGCCAATATTCATTCTAAACACAGATGCTAACAATTGGCACTTTATTCTTAATACTGTCAAATACCCTATTAAGGCATTACAACTGTTCAGACAGCCTTCAGACAGATCTTTACATTTTTATTTTTTAAGCATTAAACGACCTCCGCGGCCGAGAAAACTTTAAGAACCCACATATTCGAATACTTCGTGTTCTTTAATAATGTTTTTACCAATGCAAACGTAAAAAAAGAGCGCGAGATATTTGAAAACTTTCGGTAGTCAGTAATAACATAATAAAACCATAAGCGATAGCCTTAGCAATCCCGATAGGCGATAGGTCGCCTGGGCTGCAAGGCGCTTCATTTGTAAGCCAAAGTAAGCACTGAAAGGCTTGTGTTATGGAATACTAGGGTAACGGGTAGAATACATATACGGTACATATATAAGTATATTTATATAGAAATACATATTAAACATCCATGACTGGAGTACAAATGCTCGTATTCATCACACAAACATCTACCCCCACCGAGATTCGAAACCGGGACCTCTCGAGTTGGCAATACCTTGAAACCCGGCGTACAAACCACGGAGGTCGTTTTATTTAAAGGATATTTGATATTTAAGATGTAAATGTTTAATTACACCTATTATAAATAACTCTGTTTGTATTTGTACTGTGTGACACAGCAATCAAAATGCAGGTGAACAATTAATGTATAATTTCACATTATGTAATGTAATGAATAAACTTCACGACTCTGTAAATGATAAAACAGGGAGAAAAAAACAGCCCTTCTTGAGTTTCTTGCCGGTTCTTCTCAGTACAAGGTCTCCCGCCGTAGATTTACGCACCGATGGCGTAGCTTCTAGACATTCATATGTGCTTGTAACAGCCTAAACTGAATAAATGATTTTGATTATGATTATGATTATTTAAAGAAAATGTTTAAGATTCCAATTTATCTCTTAGGGGTGGTGTGTTAGAAGCGGAAGGCATCGTTGAGGTTAAATACAAGCAGCGAGACATACTGAAGACCATGCACAGGATGGACCCTGAACTATTGAGGCTGGGCGCTAGGATAACAGGTAATATATATGAGTTTATTTATTCACTTTGTATATAATTTATATTTATATAGGCCCCACGGGATAGGGGATTAGGTCAGGATTAGGGTTACCATTTAGGAATTGCAGGGATTGGGTCAAGGTTAGGGTTACCATTTAGGAATTTCAAAAGTCCTGACAAAAATCCTAATATTTCGAAAAAAGCCCGAAGACTTTTTAGTTACAAAATGCCTACCATTACTCATTTAGTTACAATGGTATGGTATGTAAATCAATATGTACTTTTATTATTCATATGCAATGTAATTTAAAAAATCCGGACAATTTAAAGATCCGGACAAAGTGCGGACTATAGTCTAAAAGCCCTTATAATGCGATTCAAATAAGAATGGGAAAGCCAATGACATCCATCTGTCAAATGACGCTTGAAAAGTACGGTTTGCAAAAAATCTTGGAACTCTTATTTAGCACTCAGCTAATTCTAGAATAAAAAAAAACAAACATGACGACGATGACAACTCCGGTAGTTATGCAGAGCTGAGCGGAATTGAAGAGCTAGATTCCGATTAATATTTTTACTCACACAGTCATAAATGTTATTAATAATCGGTGTTTTTTTCTCTCAATCTTAGTAAATAAGTTTTAATTATGATTTTATTTATTTTTTAAGCATTAAACTGCTAGATGTTTATATCTAAAGAAAAGTTTACTAGAAAAAAATTACACGCGGACCAGGCAGCGGACGGGACTCGAACCCGCATCCTTCGCTATCCGGGCGAATGCACTGACCATTATGCTACCACGGCCCTATTAGCCGCGTCGAAATTTTCCTAGCCTTAAGCTGCAAGGCTAATAGGGCCGTGGTAGCATAATGGTCAGTGCATTCGCCCATTCGCATTAAACATCTAGCAGTTTAATGCTTAAAAAATAAATAAAATCATAATTATAATTGCTATTTCTTCATTCAAATGTTTAATACTTGAAAAAGTATTCATTTGACATTGTGGGTTACCTACAATGCGAAGAGATGGCGCTGCCTTGCAGCTTAAGGCTAGGAAAATTTCGACGCGGCTAATAGGGCCGTGGTAGCATAATGGTCAGTGCATTCGCCCGGATAGCGAAGGATGCGGGTTCGAGTCCCGTCCGCTGCCTGGTCCGCGTGGATTTTTTTCTAGTAAACTTTTCTTTAGATTTAAACATCTAGCAGTTTAATGCTTAAAAAATAAATAAAATCATAATTATAATTGCTATTTCTTCATTCAAATGTTTAATACTTGAAAAAGTATTCATTTGACATTGTGGGTTACCTACAATGCGAAGAGATGGCGCTGCCTTGCAGCTTAAGGCTAGGAAAATTTCGACGCGGCTAATAGGGCCGTGGTAGCATAATGGTCAGTGCATTCGCCCGGATAGCGAAGGATGCGGGTTCGAGTCCCGTCCGCTGCCTGGTCCGCGTGGATATTTTTCTAGTAAACTTTTCTTTAAATAAGTTTTATTTAAAAAAAACCTGATGTTTTTTCTCACTTGATCTTAGTAAATAAGTTTTATCGAAGAAAAACTTTTATTGCTCACTCTACCTACTTTGTTTCAATTGACAGCTTTGCCATCACAAAATGGCGCCCAGTCGATCCTATTCTTAGTTGAATCGCATTATACGTGTCCGGACGAATCCGGACGGATGGTAACCCTAGTCAGGATAGCCAATGGCGCGAGTGATATTTTTAGTATCGCAAGCGTCTAAAGGCTATCATCATCATCATCAGCCTATTAGTGTCCCCACTGCTGGGGCACAGGCCTTCCCTATGGATGGAATAGGGAGATTGGGCCATGAGGCACCACGCAGGCTCAGTGCGGATTGGCGGGTGCTAACGACTGCAGGTGTAGCCGGGACCAACGGCTTAACGTGCCTTCCGAAGCACGGAGGAGTGAGAGATAGTAAATTTTTGGTCACCCATCCAATGACCGACCACTGCGAAAGTTGCTTAACTTTAACGATCGTAGCCGAACGCGCTAACCACTTGCGTCATCGAGCTCCTCTAAAGGCTATGGTGGTCGCTTACCACCAGTCGAGCCATAAGCTTGGTTGCCATCCTTTTAAAATAAAAAATAAAAACAAATTGATTTCCCATAAAAAGTTTCATGAATCATTTCACCCCTTTAAATGATTTCTGACATAAAAACTATCTTATATCCTTCCCCGGGAATCATACCAAAATTTATCTAAATTGGTTCTGCGATTTTTAATTCATTCAATTTATTAATTTATTTGCATTAAATAGAATAAATGAAAATCATCAATAAATCTAATAAATATATGTTTATTCATCAGAAATCAAAGACCAAATCAAGGAAATATCTAAGAATCTCGACCGTCGTGGCTCCATAGATGATGTACTCGTCAAAACGGATGCCGGCAGGCAAGGTAAGCGAAAATCAACCCTATTACCTTTATATTAAACATTAGTTTTGTGATTAGTCAATCAAATAATTACCTCCATGTGATGTTTTATTGGTCCTGGGTTTGAATCTCGGTAGGGGGGGGGGGGTCATTTCTTTCTGTTATGAGCACTTATATTTGTTATTTATTTAATTCTTAATCTATTCTATATGTTTTAGTTACCAAGGTACAGATAAATCAAGTTATAAAAAAAAGTTAATTTTCCCCAACAAATTTTGAGTTTTATGTAGCTTGTTATAAGATTCACAATCTATTGTAATAATTTTGTAGCTTGCGGTAACTTGTAGTGCAGCTTCGGTTCACGTTCTGTTTATCTCTTATACATATGAAACTTAAGAATAATTTCCTAGAAACAAAATTCACGCGGACCAGGCCGCAGACGGGACTCGAACCCGAACCTTCCGCAATTCGGGCGGATGCACTGATCGTTATGCTACCGTGGCCCTAATTGTCAAACATAAAACAAAATTAATTTGTAACAAATATTTAACTTTTCTTTAGATTTAAACATTAGCAGTTAAATGCTTAAAAAATAAAATTATAACCATATAAACCTTCCTTTTTCATCACTATCTATTAGTGAAAATTCCATCAAAACCCGTTGCGTAATTTTTAAGATCTAATCAGGCAGACAGCGGGAGCAATTGTTCAATGCTATATGTAAATATTAGCTATGTTATTCTATCCACTTATTATCCCTATGGTTTTTAAAGAATTATGTTGCTATTACATTTGATCGATAGCCCGTAACCGAAATTCGAAATTGTACGAAAAAAAAACCCGAAGCAATATTTACGCTGGATTACGCCGATTACCCGAATTCCATTGGCACTCGTATTCGGGCTAAAGACCAAGTGTGTGTGCGCCATTATTTCATAATCTATTCGTTTCCACAGCTGAAAGTAAAGTGCGGGAACTAGAAACCGAATTGCTGGCTGCCGAGAAATCTGTCAAAGCTCGCGAGAAGGAATTGAGCCCTATCTACCACGAAATAGCGGTGCAATTCGCGGAACTGCACGACACGGCCGAGAGAATGCTCGAGAAGGGGTGCATATTCGTAAGTTTTTAACAACTTTTTTAACAACAACAAGACTTAAATAAAATATATATTAATTTTGGTTGATTTGATTTTTTGAAGTGAACCTTAATTGCGCGCAATGAAGCGCTTTTCACGGCCGCATCACGATTTGAGCGTCAGATTTTAGTGCGACGATTTTAAATTTTAAAGGACGGGAAGATGTAAACATCTAGAGAGAAAGAAAATAAGCACGCTATATACTTAATTTAAATATCCCTCTTTTTACGTATATATCAAGGCCGTTATACCAAACCATACCGCGATGTAGATGTATGAACAGCGCCATCTTTTAAAAAACTACACACCATGTACGTATGTATAATGCGATTCAACTAAGAATAGGACCGACTGAGCGCCATATTTTGACGTCATAGCTGTCAATTCAAACCAAATAGGTAAAGTGAGTAAAAAAAGATTTTATTTATTAAAACTTCTAACTAAGATTAAGTGAATATTTATTAAGATTGAGAAAAAAAAAACAAATAATTTTTAATAATATTTATTTATCGGATGACTGTGTCAGAAAAAACATAAATCAGAATCTAGCTTTTTAATTCCGCTCATCTCTGCATTACCGCCGGAGTAGTTATGAATAATCATGCACTATTACTAGGTCACATACGAACATGCATCCTTTAGGTAAACGAAAGTTTTTAATTGAGTTTCTGAACGTAACTTAAAGTGACATTTGGTTGACAGTTTAGTTTATCAACCATTCATAGACAAAGCTCAATATATGAAAAAAAATATCAATCAATATTAATTATCAATATTTGTTATTGTTTGTTTACAAGTGTGTGTTTATTATAGAATTAGCAGAGTGCTAAAAAAGGGTTACAAGTTTTTTTTTTGCAAACCGTACTTTTCAAGCGACATTTGACAGTTGGAGGTCATTGGCTTTCTTATTCTTGAATCGCACTATATATATCTACCTATTCTAACGAAATATCAGATAACTTTTGTTCAATAGGGTATTTGACAGTGTTAAAAATAAAGTGCCAATTGTTAGCATCTGTGTTTGAATGAATATTGGCAGGGGTTTTTACTATTTTTACAAAAAAAAATCATAATTTTACTAAAAACCCACGAAAAAGAAAATAGTTTTCTTATCTATTGTCACGTGACCCAAAACGCTTAGGATTGGCGGAGCCTAAAATGACGTCACACGCAAGTAAACTTCCGGTTAAAGTGACATTACATTGTATCGTTTGACGTTTTAATAACAGTCGTGAGACGTCACATACTAGTAAGACGCCATATTGTCAGAAAAACGTTAAAGCGGCAACTTGAAAATGGAGTTTTTGATTTGGTTATTTTTACTGAAATACACAACAGAATGATGAATATCCACTTTTTACGGGCTCCATAAACATTAGTCAATAACGTGAGATCGTTTTCTTAAACTTGTCAAATACCCTATTTTTAAATTATATAATTAAGTTAATATATATTTTTTTATAATTATTATTATGAAAGTTCGTTTCACTTCTGACATGCGTACTCTGTACACACGCTGTTTTTTTTATATGAATTTTGAAGAGTAAACAATTGCGTCACGTGTTTTTCATAATGAATAGTTCAGATAACTAAAAGTTAAGTTCAGATCCGAAATTATTTTTGAGGCCCTTCTGTAAAGGCTATTTGACAGTATGGAAAGATATAGACTCTACTACAAGTGAAAGTGTCCCTCTAATAGAAAGAGAGAGAAGATGAGAGACAGCTAGCTTTCTCTCTCTAATCGCGCATGCGCATTGGCAACCGTAAGCATGTTACTATTTCGATGTGATGCCATTGGATGCCATGCGTCACAAGAACCAGAGATAGCTAGCGGTCTGTCATCTTCTTTCTCTTTCTACTAGACGGCCACTTTTAGAGCCGCCTTCCCCACTCTATTCGTATACCTCTATAAATCATTGGCATCTGTTTCTTACTTATATGTTTCAAGGACATTTAAATTTATATCCCTGTTCATTTATTTCTTTAAAGGACATAATCCCGTGGCGGAACTCTCGCCGCCTCCTATACTGGCGTATACGAAGACTATTACGTCAGAACTGGCAAGAGAAGAGAGTGCAGCAATCCGGTGCAGCTCTGGACCAGGGTGCAGCTGCAGCAACTCTCAGAAGATGGTTCACGGAAGACAGGGGAGAGCCGCACGTGAGTGACATGATGATTTCTAGGGTTCATACCTCAAAAGGAAAAAACGGTACCCTTATAGGATAACTTTGTTATCCGTCCGTCCGTCCGTGTGTCAAGACCGTTTTTCTCAACAACGCGTGGAGGTATCAAACTGAAATTCATATCTAATACTCAGGTCTACCGTCCCTTGGAGCTGCAGAAAAATCAAACTTCTAAGCCAAAGCAATCAAAAGATACAGCCGTTTATGCCGCGAATTTTCGAAACTCGCACGGGAATCAAAACCTACAGGGTACTTCCTGTGAACTTAGAATCTTGAAATTTGGTACGAAGTGACGTCTTATAGTACAGATAAAGGAAAAATTATGAAAACTGTAAATTTTTAGTTGCATCATATAATAAACTAGCGGCCCGCCCTCGCTTCGCTTCGGTGTAGAGCTGAAGTGTAGACTACAGTTTTTGTTCTCAGGCTTGTATTATACATAATGACATTCATCTATGATTCTTTTTATACCTGCATGCAAATTCTCAGCCCGATCGGTTTAAAATTGACAAAGTTTCATTCCCTATTTTATCCCCTTGGGGGTAGAATTGATCAAAATCCTTTTTTAGCGGATGCTTACGTCATAACATCTACCTGCATGCCAAATTTCAGCCCGATCCGTCCAGTGGTTTGGGCTGTACGTTGATAGATCACTATGTCAGTCAGTCACCTTTGAGTTTTATATATATAGAAAATATTTCTGAAAACTTTAAAGTTACTACCTTTTTTCTTATGAACGCGTAGAGGTATTAAATTGAGTTTGTACGGACCGACGGCTTAACGTGACTCCCGAAGCACGGAAGAACTCGAGATAGAGGATTTTTTTGGTCACCCATCCAATGACCGACCATTGCGAAAGTTGCTTAACTTCAACTCTTCTCCTATTTATTTCATTCTAAATGTATACGTGGATTTAATTGGATGTTTTCTTCTATTCATTTCATTTATTACTATACAAAATGTATACGTGGACATTTGAAAGCTTAAACAATGAATTCCTTCCAACAGTCACACCAATGGGAGCATGACAACGAAGCCGTATGCAAATGGTTCGAAGCTCAAGTGGAAGATGAAAACTCTGTGCTGGAGAGGAATCTTAGAGCCATCAAACAAGATGCTGTATTGCAGAGGGTCAACTCTTTGGTATTGGTAAGCTACAATGTCATCATCATCATCATCAGCCTATTAATGTCCCCACTGCTGGGGCACAGGCCTTCCCTATGGATGGAATAGGGAGATTAGGCCATGACGCACCACGCGGGCCCAGTGCGGATTGGCGGGTGCTAACGACTGCAGATGCAGCCGGGACCAACGGCTTAACGTGCCACGGAGGAGCTCGAGATAGTAAATTTTTTTGGTCACCCATCCAATGACCGACTACTGCGAAAGTTGCTTAACTTCAACGATCGCAGCCGAACGCGCTAACCACTTGCGCCATCGAGCTCCTCGTAATACAATGTAATAAAAATAAATATATTAGATAGCGAAGGGTGCGGGTTCGAGTCCCTTCTGCTGCCTGATCCGCGTGGATTTTTTTCTAGCAATATTTTCTTTGGATTTAAACATCGAGCAGTTACAAACTTAAAAAATAAAAATTATAACTGTAATTGCTATTTCTTCTTTCAAATATTAATACTTGTAAAGGTATTCATTTAACATTGTGGGGGTTCCCTACAATGCGAAGAGATGGCGCTGCCTTGCAGCTAAGAAAGGCTAGAAGGAATTCAACACGGCCATCAGGGCCGCGGTAGCATTAAAAGTGCATTCGCCCGGATAGCGAGGGGTGCTGGTTCGGGTCATGTCTGCTGCATGGTCTGCATGGATTTTTTTCTAGTAAAATTTTCTTTAAATTTAAACTAAGTATGGTCTTGATTTAAATATGTCATACAAAATTTGCCTAAGAAAGGTTTAAATTTAAATAAAATTTCACTGACAGGTAGGCTGACTAATATGCTACCGTGGCCCTGATTGCCGTGTTGAATTTTCTCTAGCATTTCGTAGGCTGCATGGCAGCCCCATCTCTCCGCATTGTAGGTAACCCACAATGTCAAATGAATATCTTTACGAGCATAAACATTTGAAAGAAGTAATGGCAATAGTTACATTTTTTTAATCATTTAACTGCTAGATGTTTAAAGAAAACTTTACTAGAAAAAAAAATACAAATTATTAAAAAATTAATTTACTTAACTTCCTTAGTCACAAGCCCAAAACGCGCTCTAACTGTAATTTTATATTCAATTAAGTAGAGACACATTCTTTTCTCAAATGCGATGGTTTTCATATACAGTCAAAACCGAATATAACGACACCGTTTATAACGACCGGTCGGTTATTACGACCAATTGGCAAGGTCCCGGCCGAAACCCTATATAAATCCTTAAGTAAACAAACCGCCTATAACAACACCGGATATAGCGAAATAGCGCTTTTAAAACGGCTTATAGTCGATGAATATCAATAAAGTTCATATCGATATTCATCGGCTATAACGACCAAACGTTTTACTTGTTCCAGCAAAACAAAATATACTGTATGTACTTCAATTTTTGAAGTTATACTTCTTTAGGCGCGTTATGAAAAAATGATGAGAGTGAAATTTTAAGATGCGCGCGCATCACTGTAACACAAAAAATTAACAGCATGAAGTTGGTCGCTTTAGCGACCAACTTCATGCTGTTACTTTTGTGTTTACCGCACATTAAGAAAATCTACCAACAAAATAGAAATAGAATCTCTATTTTGTGGGTGCTAACGACTGCATTGTGAAGGCCTATCAAAAGTATTTATTAATCTGGAACAACGGAACCAAAGCGCGATTTAGGAGACTACAGCGCCATCTATTGACCATTGGTGTAGTAGAACCAAAAACCACATCTTTATTTTTTGTAATAAAGTAACAGTTATAGGTTAGGTAGTATCCACATGTTTCTACTTTGTATATTCGGAATACGTGTTTGAGTTTCATACAAGTGCAAATCACATATGTTCTAATAAATTCAATTCAGTAGCGATTTTTCAAATTAAAACTGAACTTTATTGACTGTGTCCTTTTCCAGACTTTTTACTAATTTATTGTAATTAATTATTTGCATGCAATTAAAAACTAATTTTAAACGATGCCAATGAAGGATAACTTCTCACGCGCCTACATAAGTACACGCACCCATTTTTTTTCATAGAAAACTTTTTTACTTCTCTTTTCGATATTTTATTTGAAAACAAGCTTATATTCATATCTATAGCCATGCTACATACATGACAATAATATGAGTACTTGTGTATATTGCTTATAACAGCTATCGCGCATAACGTCCGAAGTTATATGGTCCCTTCAGTGTCGTTATATCCGGTTTCGACTGTAGTTGTAATTTGTTACTTTATAAAGTGGCGGATGAAGAAAGTAAGATTATAAACCAACGGTTGGACATATTATATTCAAAAGGTTTGTATTTGTTTCAGGAATTAACGCCAGCACAACGAGCTGAATTCATTAGGAATATAACAAATCTAGAAATGGAGCAATGATTCTAAATAAATAATTCATTAGCAACATTTAAATTGTAGGGTTGCCATGCTTACACCGTTTTCACGTGCAAATTTTACTGCTAGCAACATTTGCTATTAGTAACTAATTTAAAGAATAACTTAGTCCATTTTCGAAAGCTCATTCGATGTATCCTCATAAAATGAGGTTTATTTTATGTTGTTTAATTTATAAATAAAATTATTTATTTTGTAATCGAAAAATATTTACCCGACATGAGTGTGGAATGTATAAATTATATGCATGTTTACAAAATTTTTAATATATGCGAAAATTGGATATTTTTCAAAAATATTCAATAACTAATTTTAGTCATATTCTAGTTAGTTTGCGAAAAAATACTATATTTTTTATTTATTTTTATACTGAAAAAAATCGTAGATATATTTGGAAATTATAATATGATATATTTAATCGATTTATTGTTACATTATTGTAGTATTTATCTATTTATAAATAACACTTATATACTTACAGAAAATTGTTCAGTTACATGCATACTTCAGTCCTGTCGTCGGTGCGATGCCGAATCGACGTGTATAAGCGCAAGTAGCGAAAATAAGTGCATTTTTGTATAGAGTGCAAGTCGTAAGTGATGGCGACTGTACTGGTCGTCAACGAGCTGCTTACATTCATTCAAAATAAAATAGATATACTTGACGAATTGAGTATCCTTCAAATTTGTGTGTCAAATTTCTCGGAAACTGAAATAGACCATGGAAAGACGGAGATATATAAAAGTATTCAGAATGTGAAGATACCACTAAGAAGAGGAGAGGATAAGAAGAAAAAGGATATCAAGGATATAATAAAAATTATCAAAGAAACTGACCCTTTGGACATGCCTACGTTTGTGGCAAAAGATTTAAATCGATTACCTCCGGTATCGTTTGACCACGTTGACGTGACACGATTATTAAAAGATATCAATATACTTAAGACAGAATTACAAAGCATGAAAAGTGAAAATGTATCAAAAAATGAACTCGCGCAATTGGACCAAAAAATAAGCACTGAGCTGGCGGGACTACGTAAATCAATAGAAAAACCAGATACGTTCATAAATAAGAAAAACTTTATTGTTGAAACTCCGTTAAGTGTTCGAAATCGCTCGTCGCCTATGCCAGTACCAGCCGAAGATGAAACAGGTTCACCCGAACCGGTTCACACGCCGTCGTACCGTGATATCGTGTATAGACCAACGGTGGGGAAACCGCAATCGATTATGAACCGTGTGTCACAGCGAATAGCCTCGTCGGATAATAGCAGCGTGACTTGCAAAGAGACTGAGCGGTGCGCTAATAATGTTGTAAAAATCCCTACCGGTTGCATACCGCCGCAAATGACAAATGATAATCTAAACGATTTTACTACAGTGACGAATAAGAAAATCAAAAAACATCGCAATATTCGTGGCACACTGCAAAACTCAACGAAAATATTAGTTAGTGAACCGAATTTAGCGATTTATTTATCCCGTACGCAAAAAAGCACCTCCGTACAAAACATAAAGGATCATATTCAGGAAATGAATGAAACCTGTTTGGAAGTAGAATTACTGAAGCAGCATAATGACGTTAATTTTAATTCATTTAAAATCACAATAAGTGCTCACCAACTTCCGAGATTTTTGGATAAAGAATTTTGGCCATCGGGATTAGTGTTCCGTCGATACCGTGAACGTGTGATACCGCGAAAATACAGTGAATTATAAAAACAATAATGGATAACAACAATACTAGTATGTTAACATTGGCCTCGTTCAACTGTAAATCTATTAAGAGGGCGGTAAATCATGTACGTGCAATATGTAGGGAGGCTGACATTGTCGCTGTTCAAGAAACATGGCTTTTACCCCATGACTTGAATATGGTACATGAAATTGATAGTAATTATGACTGTATAGCAACGTCCGCGGTGGACACAGGAACGGGGGTGCTTAGGGGTCGACCGTACGGTGGACTGGCATTGTTTTGGCGAAAAAACGTTTTTAATAATGTATCTTTAATTAACTGTAAGTCGGACAGGGTATTGTGTGTTAAAGTTAGTGTAAATTCTAAAAAATTTTTAGTTTTCAATGTTTATATGCCATGTAATGATATTGAGAACTTGACGGAATTCACAAACTGCCTTTCATGTATAAGTGCAGTGATTGACGAGCTCGATATTGAGGTCTGCTATATTATGGGCGATTTTAACGCACACCCTGGTACACTATTTGGCCAGGAAATGTTATCGTTTTGCTCGGAAATGAAATGGCAGTGTGCAGATTATCTTAAACTGGGAATAAATTCGGACACGTTTACGTTTACTAGTGAACAAAACGGGAGTAACAGATGGTTGGACCACTGTCTAACTACAGAGTCAGCGTTTGCCACCGTTGATGAGGTGTGGGTAAAAAATGACATAACGTGGTCAGACCACTACCCAATGATGATGCGACTCAATATCGGGTTAGTTTTAAGTAAAGTTCCTTTTAATAACTGTGATAAAAATAATAAAGAAAATAGAATTATATGGAATAAAAGAAATTTTAATCAAATTAAATTGTATAGAAAAATATGTTATAGTAACTTAGTAAAATTAAAATATTCTAGTCATTGTTCGAACTGTATAAATATATCTTATGAAAAAAAATGCACAAATATAATATATCATTATAGGGATATTGATTCGATGTATAATACTTTTATATCAATTTTACAAAAAGCTGCAATTTCAAGCTGTCATTTTCAAAACGATTCCAGAAAAAAGTGTCGTAAAGTGTTGGGATGGAACTTTCACGTTAGTGAAAGTCATAAAATAGCTAGGCAATATTTTAAACAATGGATTGAACTAGGAAAACCGAGTAATGGCATTGACTACAATAATATGACGCAAAGTAGAAAATTATTTAAAAACAAATTAAAATGGGCACAGAATAATGAAAATATAATAAAAATGAATATATTGGCAAATAGTAAAGCCTCAAACAACTTTGTTAAGTTTTGGAATGGGGTGAAAGCGGCAAAAGGCAAAAATGTTTTACCAGCCAGTATAAATAATACCAATGACAAGACGGACATTGCAAACTTGTTTGCAAAACACTTTAGGGTCGAGCCTTTGGATGTTGGGGAGAATGGGGTACCACCATATACGAGATATATTCCTACCCAGGGTCGACCAGTCATAGTTACTCCTGATGAGGTTTTCCGTATAGTTCGTAGCATGAAACACGGAAAATCACCGGGACACGATCGTCTGAGCATAGAACATATCCTTAATGCCAGCACGGAAGTTTTCAGGGTGATAGCCGATTTGTTTAATATGTGTATTAAACATACGTACCTTCCAGCTGATCTAATGAAAACTGTGGTGGTCCCTGTCCCCAAGAACAGAACAGGTGATTTGTCCAGTCCTAATAATTACCGTCCGATATCGTTATGTACAATAGTTGGCAAGATATTTGAGAGGATCTTGCAGCCCGAATTGGTGAACAATATTAAACTAAATGACGCACAGTTTGGTTTTCGTAGGGGTGTCTCAACTGATTCTGCCATATTAGCGCTCAAGCACACTGTCAGTTATTATAACAAGAGAGAAACTACAGTCTATGCGTGTTTTCTAGATCTCAGCCGCGCTTTCGATCTTGTTAATTATAAATTACTCTGGCATAAACTGACAGAGACCACGGTGTCACCCACGGTTGTGAACCTGTTGAGACACTGGTACGAAAACCAAACTAACATTGTAAGATGGGGCGACGCGACATCTAATAAGTTTAGATTAGACTGCGGTGTTCGTCAAGGAGGACTGACGTCACCGGACCTTTTTAACCTGTATGTCAATGGATTGATCGAGAGACTCAGAGGAGCCAGGGTTGGCTGCCATGTTGGTAACGTATGTGTTAACAACCTGAGCTACGCCGACGATATGGTTCTTCTGAGTCCCTCGATTAATGGACTTCGAAAGCTTCTTTCAATATGTGAGTCCTATGCTGGGGAACATGGATTGAAATATAATGTGGCTAAAACAGAAGTCGTTATTTTTCGGAACGGAAAAGGTCCGGTAAACGTTCCACCGGTGTGGCTGTATGGTTCGCCAATTCGGGTTGTAACGAGGTTCAGATATCTGGGTCATATATTGAATGGACAGCTCAACGATGAGGACGACATGGAGAGGGAGAGAAGGGCTCTTGCGGTGAGGTGCAATATGCTCGCAAGGCGGTTCGGCGGATGTTCGAGAGACGTCAAGATAATGTTGTTTAAGGCGTACTGCCAAACGTTTTATACATGTCATCTTTGGCTGAGATATACAAAACGTTTGTTTAATGTGCTGCGAGTCCAATATAATGACGCCTTTCGCATCCTGCTCAAAAAACCGCGATATTGCAGTGCCAAGGAAATGTTTGCTGAAGCAAATGTTCCCGATTTTTTCTGTATCCTCAGATCGCGGTCCGCTTCGTTCTGGGAGAGGCTCCGTGAAAGTGGGAACTCCATTCTCCGCAACATCCACGATGACGTGGACAATGTCTTCTTTAAACATTGGAATAAATTACATCGTTTTGGAAATGACAGTCTGAAATAAACATTCAGCAAATCCTATGTTGTTTTTTAAGTAATTTTATAATATACACAGTTTTATTTTTAATTTTTATTATCAATTTTGTCATATGGGTCTTTTGCCTGAAATAAAGAAATTATTATTATTATTATTATTATTTAAAATAATCATGCATTTTTTTATTGAAATTTGTAATTTAATCTTCATGTCTCCAAAATCGGGTTTAAAATCCCAAATTCAAGTATTTGTGCTCCTTACGAAAAGTGAAAAGCAGACATTTTTCAAGTCATGCATATAACCTGTCCTAATTATATGTATATCGATAAATTATAAATATTTTTATCATTCATGTGATTTTCGTTTCGTTGATATAATATTGGTTTTCATTGTACCATGATAATTTTGCAGTAACATAAACTAATCAAAGACTTGATAAAATCCTCTTTGAATTATGATTATAATCTACAGAGAATTTGAGGCTATAATTTTGAATTGAATCATCAACTTTACTTAGCATAAAATATTCAGTGGATTTCATATATTACAACCTTGCTTGTAGCGACCATTTACCTATAGCGACGTTAAATCTAAGTACAATGTCCCTTGAATTAAAAGCATACTTTAGTACAAAATTCATGTGGCTATAGCGACTTCAGATGTAACGCCGAGTTCGGGTGTAGCGACTGTTTTCAATGAATCATTTGTAAGAAATTCCGAGAAATCCCTTGAGATTTTGTGACCGGAGTCGGCCGCCAAAGACACAAAGATATCTTTCTTTCACAAACATTTCTTATATTTTGTTTACATCCACACAGATGGCCAGCAAGTGTGGAGACCTTTTGTTTATAGATATCAGCTAAGCAGGTAGGGAATCGTGTACGTTATAGAGTTAAATTTATGGTTCAGTTACGAAGTTATATTCTGAGTTGCAACTGGGGTTAGTAAAGTTTTGAATAAGTATGGCTGCTAGACGCACATTCACTGTTGAAAAAAGTCGGAAATCATTTATAAATGAATATAACTATACAAGTGTAATGTGCCTGTATCTCTTTACCTCTGTCTGTAACCACTTCCGGATATAACGACAAAAATAGAGTGGTCCCTTCAACGTCGTTATACCCGAAATCCACTGTAGTTTCTTTTTGTGTGCATCTATATAGAAGTCATCAGTTTTATAAAATTGTTCACATAAGGTTTATATGTAAAATATAAGACCGAGAAATAAATTAGGATAACTAGTTTAGTCCAAGTACTGTTTATAATTAAAAACAATTTTTACATTCCAAATCATATAATTAAAATACCCTTTGTTTTGTGAATTTGATTTAAGTATGGTATATGTATAAAATTGTCACAGCTTTTATATAATATTATTTATTCATATATAACTAACAATACTCCCGGACACATCTATCGGCTTACTTAAGTTTCAACGGTCTATAGCAAAAATATATTTTAGGTTGACAATGATGTCGATTCTGGCATGATTCTCTAAACCTAAACTTAAATTTGACAACAGTGCATCCTTGTCCTTCTCTATACAGAATGAAAAGGTGAGACTGACCTTTAATTTAGTTTTAAGTTTAGAGATGCACGCCAGAATTGACACCAATGATAACATATTTAAAAAAATAACGTGTGTGCTTATGACCACACGACTGAAGTGAAACTTCTTTAGCTCCATCTGTATGTATATATATGTGTGTGTGTACAATACATACATGTATGTACATATACATATTTCATTTAATAGCTATAAGAGAAAAAGAGAAAGAAAATGTGTGCACGCACTGCTTTCTCTTGCTCATTTCTCCCACTCAACTCCCGTTCGCCTCTCCCGAACACACTTTTCGTAACGCGTAACGCATTCGCTTACCCCCCCCCCCCTCCCCCCCAGTCAAGCGTGCGTAAAGAAATTTCACTTCATCAATCACGAAATAAATGGTTAATAAATCAGCATCAAAAACTTTTCGCTCAATGTAACCGTATGTAGCTAGGGACCGTCAAGTTAAAACTAAAAATGCTATGTGGGCCTATACATGTGTCTGAAAGTATATATGTACACTCGCGGAAAGACCCACTCTGTCACCCATAATGCCATAATTGCTTGCGGTAGCGGCGTAGTAAAAATTCATTCATAGACATGTAATTATCGCTGTCTTACTTTTTCGTATAGCGCTGTCGCGATCACGATGCGGATAACAAATTGCAACTAATACAAATGCAATTCAATTCATTATTCAATCCATGAAATGCTCTCTGTCTTACTTTTGTGCGGCGGCCCGGATTGGCGCGTCCGACGCGAAGGCGGGGCGTAGTGAAAACTACTGTAGAAAACCGTTCAAAGCATTTTGTTCGCCAAGTGACAGAGCGCAAAATTCCGCGATAGTACCTAATGCCCATGACATACATATCTCATTGTTGGTCGCAATTCTAGATTATGTTGTATATTTTTATGTTTTAGGAGAAATATACATAAATACTACCTGTGTATTAATACAAGACAAATCATTTTACCTGGCATTCTTTCTAAAGCTTCGAATAATTGACCTTATGATATAATTCAGACAATTGTATATTAAATATTGATATTGAATGAAGTGATAAATATACTTTATCAACTTCATATACTTCATTCAAAATCATCCAAAACTATCCAGCAATCACCTTTCTTTAAATTCAAATTCCGTCTTAAGTTGTCTTATTGGCTATACTGTATATCCTATACAGAATTCCTTTTTAATCTCTGCATTCTTTTACTATAGATGTTCCAATTTAGACTTTGGGCGTTGGACATAAAGTTGAAAATATACACCCAAGAAAAGTTCAAAAATAATTTACCCACTATAAAAGATTAGGTCACCAAAGCTTAGATATTCTCTCTTGAATATTGGTAAATAACTATATTAGGACTCCCTGTTTCTGGTGATAGGAATGATGTGGACAATTCGAGGTCCGGTTGGTTCAAATCGTGAACAAGTTACTATAATGAACAAATAAGTATGACACCTATAGCGTGAATTTTGCTCGAATGCGTTTTTTTACTATTTAGTACAATATTACATTCCTTTCAAATATGTGTGGTTGTATGTTTCTACTTTATTATTTTAGGTAAGGTCACGTATTTATAAATATTATTATATATAAGTATTCTTGTATTTATTGTTTTAATCGTCATTTAATCAATAAATTGGTACTCCCCTGAAAAACTGTAATAACTGCAAATTTTGCAGAATTCAGACATTTGTATATTCAATATTGATATTGAATGAAGTGATAAATATACTTTATCAACTTCTTAAACTTCATTCAAAATCAAATTAAAAAGACAAAACTATCCAACTACCTATCACCTTTCTTTGAATTTAAATTCCGTCTTATGTTGTCTTATTGGCTATACTGCTATACTATATATTGGCATATTCTTTGCTTACTTTGTGTTCGCTAACAAACAAGCTTTTGATAATGTGTGTGAAAAATTAATGAACACTATTGGTATTGTGCGATAGTTTTGTTCGTATACATCATAGGAATTTACTTTAATAGTAATCATAATTATTGTGAGCCTTATTGCTATGTAATAAGAGTGCTTTTAGCTTCGAATTATATCCTTATATCCACCGATGTGATCTTGAATGTGTACTTTAATAAATTTCTCGTGACCTTCACCTTAAAACGTTGTTATTTCTATTGAATAGTTGTTATTGAAAGTGTGATAGTACAGTTGACAACACATGAAGCTTAACAGACCTGCCAATATCCAAATGGGCCTTACCATTTAGAACATAAGGTTTAAAATCGTTTACAAAATTTGACAGTTGCTGGTTGTGTTGTTGACCGTATTGTACTGTTGTCGTTGTGTTACGTGAGGCACGTCTTTGTGAAACGGCCTAACCCTTTAAATTATTAGTTTTTTAAATATATTTTTAATGTCAAGTTTCGGGTTAAATGGTGTACTCGTTGTGTTTATCGCGATTATGAAAGTAAACCGAATAAAATTTGGTTTTAATACTGTTATTCTGTTTCTAAACCGTCTTACTTTTGCTTTGAGAATCTTAGATTACTAACTTATTCATAAATTTCCTTTTTTAAAGTTTGTTACAAAAATTGTTTAAACTCAACTTTTTTGTATGAATTTATGCAAAAATAATGTGAACCATTTACTTAACCTGCACATTTGTAAAAACCAAGTGTTTCGCATAAGTCGACCTATTTTTTCCATGCTACAAGAAGCAAGCTTAAAATCCAACAAAAGAATACTCTTCTGACCCAGCAGACTCAGCTCGAATAGTCGGATCGGTGTACGCGAATTTTTTTGTAAAAAGTACAGTTAATGGGTTTTGCATCAAAGGGTACGAATCTTGAGTTTTTACTGCCTTTTTATTTTCATGGTTGTGAAAAACACGGATATATCATCACTTATAGGGTCGGATATTGAATGCATACAACTAGTTGTAGAATTATAATTTTAATAAAGAAATAGAATATTTATTTTGTTGTTTATTTTTCGGCTTTAAAACCACCATCTTAATAAAAAAAAAACTAAAAAAAATATCACTTCCCTAAAGTAAAATTATTGACATATAATTTAAGAATCTATATCACCAATTTTCACCAGGAAATCGCAATGGAAATCAAAAAAACAGGCATCTCCAACAAAAGGTAGTTACCCAAAATTTTCATGGTCTCTCCATGACTTTTAGATCTTTCTATCGTGAATCCTTCAGAACCAAGTAAGCGTAATATTTTTTATAACACATTTGCTTGTAAAGCGTCTCTTATTGCACCAATTTCAATATCGTAATCTATCACATTACACACGCGTGCGGTAATGTAAAGTAAAACGCACGTCTTATTATGTTCCATCTAAAAACGGACGATACTTTTTTAAATCTAAGCAAAGAGTTTTTATGTCGGAAAGGAAGCCAACATTTACTTAATTAACTTTGGGAGATAAAATATAATATATAAACATTTAATTTGATTCATTTTGACAATAAATTACAACCATGTATCGGTAACAAATTCACAAAAATATTAATTTACTTTATTAGTAATACAGGCTGTTTTTTGCTCCTTTATCTAAAAAAAAGTGTTGATGCGCGCGCATAGCTAATCTGTGAAAAAGTTACTTCTTCTAGCTGTATTGTTTTTATTTGAAAATATTATCAAGTTTACGAATTTATTAATTTGACACCGCCAGAAGACGAAAAAGGCTACGCTAAGCCTCTTGCCCGATAAATCCACGGATAGATACTTACAGTCAAGCGTATCAAAATTTCATCTTATGGAAAACAAACAAAGGTGCAAATTCATTTTCAGAAAGTACGTACACGAATTACGTGCGGTTTAATAATTACAGCCTCTGCCTTCTTATAGCCACCTATGGCTCGGGCTTCTTCACGCCTCTCTTTTAAGAGCCCTTTTACAAAATTGCGCCTCTGCCCTACTGATCGGTGCGTAGGTAGATTTGCACTAGTATATATTGCATTTTACGGGTGATGTTTCGAGTCATAAAAAATAATTATTATTGAACTAAATTTAAAAATATATATTACATATTTCAGTAGTTCAATGATGGTAGATCACTTTTATGAAAGTTTTTGATAGTAATTCTATTTAATTCAATATCAAAATCCGAGCTAAACCGGCAAAATACAATAAATTAAAAAAAAATTTTTTGGGAAAACTCACGGAGGTTAGTTCTTTTTTTGATAATTAATGAGATAGGAAATCAAAATTCTAATACATTATGTTGCAACAAAAACATATATTTCTGATATCGTAGTAATAAATTTGATCTAATCTATTAAACATTATTGAGAGATTGAGGCGTTTGAAGTTGTGCATATTATCGTTTTTTTCCGTAAACTAGCTGCAGCAGAACGATCAGTACAAAAAAAGGAAAACAGTATTTGTACTGTTTACTTCTATTGGAAACAATCAAAATCTTTTTTAAGGGGATAAACGGGGCGCTCAAAAATTACGATTTTTTGCAAAAAATGTGTAAGACCCTTAAAATTAAGCTTGAGTTGCCCAACTTACTTTAAACTTTACTTCAACTGTGCGGTTAAAGTACCCGTTAGTCATAATGAGCGCATAATTTGACAGTGTCAAGAACTGTCCAAGCAAGGCTGGTTAAAGATTTGTAAAATTTAACTTAAAGTGAATCTGTGGTGCAACTTACACTGCCCAGTAACCTAGCATCGTTGTCGAGTATACAATAAACACTTAAATAATACTGCTCGAAGGATCAATATTGTAAAGGTGAGAATTAAAACGTCATTTTAACGTGGTCTAATTTATTTCATGTGATAAACTACTACTACATATCATTTTTATATCACAAGCAGCTTATTAATGTCTCCACTGCTGGGGCAGAGGTCTTCCCTATGGATGGAATAGTGAGATTGTGCCGTGACCCACCACACGGGTCCAGTGCGGATTGGCGGGAGCTAACGACTGCAGATGTAGCCGGGACGGCAACGGCTTATCGTGCCTTACGAAGCACGGAGGAACTCGAGATAGAAGATTTTTAGTCACCAATCCAATGACCGACCACTGCGAAAGTTGCTTAACTTCAACGATCGCAGCCGAACGCGCTAGCCACCTGCGCCATCGAGTTCCTCGACATTTTTAAATAGAATAACATTAATACCAAAATCAGTTTTCAAGCAATAAATTATAAGTAAGCATTGCCCTTTAAACTGAATAGTTAACAAAAAGGACTGCAATGATTGCATATTACCCTCACATAATAAATAAATAAATTGGACAAGAATGCGTTATTTAAGTTCTCAGCAACGTGAATATCGTGTACGAAGTTCGCATCATCTGTAAAACAAAGTTTTTTTTTTTAAAAATAGGTGGTAAGTTTTTTTGCACGTGTGTAGCGATTTTTTCATGCTGGACTGGGAGCGGAAGAAAAAATAGTAAATAGGGGAAGAAATGCTAAATAAATACTAATATTCAGGGACGGATGTGGAAATGACAAGGAAACTTGTCACTCATCAACAGGCTATTAATGTCCCCACTGCTGGGGCACAAGCCTTTCCTATGGATGGAATAGGGAGATGAGGCCGTCACCCACCACGCAGGCCCACAGGAGATGCAGCCGGGACCAGCGGCTTAATGTGCCTTCCAAAGCACGGAGGAGCTGGATGTAGTAGTAGTTTTTAAGCATTTAACTGCTAGATGTTTTAATCTGAATTATTTCATATTAAAAAAAGGTTTTTAATGTTGTTCTTCTCAAATTTTAATTTAACTTAATTGTGCTTGACCTGTTTATTTGACTTAATTTAGTTTAACTTAATTATGTTTGACCTGATAATTTGATTTGATTTAATTTAAATTGATAAGATATGATTTTGATTTTACTATGATGATATGATATGATTATGATGACATGATATGATATAAATTGACTTGATTAATTTTTAAAATGGATTGATTTTGTTTAAATTTGGTTGGACCTGATTTGATTTAATATGAACAACAATTAAGTGAAATTAATGTATTTAATGTTAGGCACAAGTTTATTGCAACACCCCAACGGGGTCGTGTACCACTCACTATTAAGTATGTAAGACCTTATAATAAATAATGTACATGAGCAATGTGATATAAATAAATAAAATAAAAATTCCCAAAATTCACCGTGACAAACAGTTGCATATCCACATCGAACAAGTAGAAGGCAGTGATACGGCTGGCGATCTGCGCGCGCGCCAGTAGAAACGGCATCACGCGCACTATGCGACGCTCCCGGCTCCGCTCCCAGCCGCTGCAATACATCAACGTGGACGTCTCCACAGACTGACGACAGAACATTCAAAATTATATATACACTTCAAAAAAGTCGTAACAACGTATTGTACGGTTTTGAACGATTTGTAAAGCCGAAACAGACTTTTGTAACCCGACGCCACGTGACGCAGGTTAAGTCATATCACGCGTCAAATCAAATGTACTACTTTTGGCGGAGTAACTAAGTGTCGCCGCACACGGGCCACACGCCACAGCCATATACGCCGCCACGAGAAGCTAGAAGCGGCTACTAAAGTGGCTGAGGCGCGCGACAGCGGCCGACTAAGGTAAGGGAGAGAGGGGTGGGGAATCGCGCGAGTGACGTGTGGCGGCGTTGGCCGGTGCGGGCCACAAGAAGCGAGCAACGACGATTTGTAGCGTGTGGCGGCCACCGGCGTACCGTGTATAGCGAGTCCTTATAAAATGTATGAAAACTAAATGACCATGAAAACAAGAAATATGCCGGTGGCGGCGTTTTGTGGTTGTGCTCGGTGGCCCGTGTGCGGCGACACTGAGATTCCAAATTGAAACCAATTGAATTGTGAAATTATATTTTATTAGAAAGACGCGTGTACAATACAGTTTGCTTTACAAGTTACTCTGTTATAGTAGGGGAGCCCAAGCGGGGATTTTTGGATTTACTCGAGCGCGGCAGAATAACATATGGGGAGCAACCTAGCACGTAGTTAAGTACTCCCACCATACCCGAGCCATCTGTGTAGGGCCGAACATCTAGGGCAGCAAAAACAAAATTTCAACGAACGGTCATGACTTTTTTGTGGTGAGACTGCCGACCAACGATATTAAAAACCATGTGCGCACAAAATGTGTCCCAATCAAGAAGTGCTTGAACTCCACTCAAGCACTTCTTGGTTCACGAGTCACGCGCGGATCGTTGAAAAGTCAAGATGCCGCAGAGCTCCGTGAAAAAATACTAAAAGTACGTTAAGTGTCGTTTTTTACCCGGCTGCGGAATGCAAGAGCGCGAAGCGCGACGCAGTCAAGTAGTCAATAATTCTGTTAATATTAATGTTAACAAGTCCAGTAGTCTATAATTCTGTTAATAAGGAACAAAGCTACTTTAACAGTCGGGACCCACTGTTGAAAAATATTATGTATTCTTGAATATCTAATGGGTCCCGACTGTTAAAGTAGCTTTGTTCCTTATTAACAGAATTATAGACTACTGGACTTGTTTTTTTCTTTTCAGTTTTTATTTGAAGTATAATTAAGCAGTCGGGTTTTTTGATTTTTTAAATTTACCTTTGTTTCAACATGTATCTAATCAATGTTTGTTAATTTAACGCATTTGAAGCTAATTTTCTTCTAATACTTACTACATAAAGTGGTTTAATAGAAAATATTTGTTATATTCAAATGCATTGTCGGTTCCTTATAAAGTATGCATTACCTAAACGTAGTGTTGCCAGGTGTCCCGATCCGTGCGGGACGTCCCAATTTTCAGGGGTCTGGGGACGCGTCCCGATTTGTACCTGATTGGGACGCTAAATGTCCCGATTAATCAAAAAATCACTTTTAGGTATTTAATATAATACCAATATGCACTAGTAGTTTAAAATGCAATAAATTAAACCCAGACTTAAAAACCCCTTGGTTTTTGTTTATTGCCCCGATCCCGAAATCCCGATTTTTTGACCTCTTGTATAGATTTAAAAAAAAACTGACCTGGCAACACTACCTACGACTTTCAATGTTCTCATCAATGCGATCATCTTACGGAGCTCCGTGGATCGTCCAATGTACCTTTTGGACAGGTTTCGGCCACGATTTTGTGCATGTTGTTGTATCTAGGGTATTTCATTCATTCATCATCATCATCATCATCATCGATCCATGCTCGTCCACTGCTGGACATAGGTCTCCCCTGATGCACGCCACTGCTCCCGATTTTCTGCCACTCTCATCCAGCTCACCAGCCAGCCTACGAATGTCATCATCCCATCTTGTCTCAGGGCGTCCCACACTACGTTTACCACTCAAAAACTTTACGGCTCCATCGTTATTGCCGACTGATAATTTGGCGACCTTTTTGATAGAGAAGCTTTGGCCGAAAGGTGTGATGTTCCGGCGTTTCAAAGCCAGGCTACCTGACACCACTCCGCGCCACACGCATCGCCAACTAAGCGTTATTTATAATTTTTAATTGCACTAGATTTCATATTTATGTTAGATTATATAAGGTATATTTTTCTTTAGGCATGATGGCTGAATACAAATAACAAATAAGAAAATAATTATTTAATAGACTGCTGATGATGTTTCAATAATAAGAAGCCACAGGCTACACGAGTAGAAATAATATGTACAATTACCGTATTCCTTAGTTTAGAAGCGTACGTGCAGGGCAGGAAAATGTGGACGACAGAAGTGCAACTGAACAGCATATACCGGAAATCGAATCCATACCCCTTTAAAAAAGACAGAATTGAATGCTATAAGCTTGCATTATACTTATACACCCTAGATACCGTATTAACTAAACGAAAGTGGCACAAAAAATATCGAATGCATATGATAGACTAGCTGTGCCCCGCGGTGTTACCCGCCGTTTATTAGGGATATTTTCCCGCAATAAAACGTGTGAATGTGTTAATCTAGAATGTCAGCTAACTCTTTACCAAATTTAATTAAAATCGCTCCAGCCGTTTAGACGTGAATCAGTAACGAACATACACACTCACAAACTTTCGCCTTTATAATATTAGTGTGAAGAAAGATATAAATAGATAATACTGCCCATGTAATAGTACATGTGTAATAGTAAAAAATATACTATAACAACGGACCTGAAACTAAAAAACTTAAAAAATAAAATATAATAACTAAAATACATTATTAAAAGGAGTCCCTTTAGGCAAGGTTCCGAAGATACTAGCAGCGTTCCCCCTTTGGATAGCTAGACTAATTCTTTGTCTGAGGTAGCTGCCAGCTCTTCGGTCTCCTGTGATGTCGACTAATCTTTTTGCTATTTCTTTAAAAAAACCTTATAGCGCTAGGACCCCACGGACCAAGGGTCTCGACTTCGAATGGGACAAAATCATATTCGGAGCCTAGACCCCTGTATTTGCAAATAATAAAATATAACTACTTACAGCAGATATATGGAACAGCAGTGATCCGAGTTGTATCATAGTACTTATAACAATTGTTCCGAGCCATATGTCAAAAGAGTTTTGAACGAGTGCGTTATATCTGAAATTTTATAATAATAAATAAATTAATCTAAGAACTAATTAATGTTACTAATTATTGGAAATAAATTATTATTATTATTAAAAAAGAAACAAAAAGCACAAATGGTGCAGGTGGTTAGCGCATTCGGCCTGTGATCGTGAAAGTTTGATCCTTTCGCAATGGTCGGTAATTGAATGGGTGACCAAAACCTTATTAACTCGAGCTTCTCCGTGCTTCGGAAGGCACGTTAAGCCGTTGATCCTGGCTGCATCTGCAGTCATGCCCAAATCTCCCTATTCCATCCTGTCTGGTCAAGTCAAGTCTGTACCCCAGCAGTGTCCCCACTGCTAGGGTTAATATGATGATAATGAAAGAAATAAGGGCAAATAGCAGTAGAATTTAGAAGAAGTTATCCTATGGATAACTAGATGACGGAATTAATTTATTAAAAAAAGCACTTGATATATGCGTCAACCGGGATTTGAACTAAGGACTTAGGATTAGAAAGAAGGTAGGGCCAATCTTGTTGCACAAAGAGGCTGTAAAAGTATTGATGTGTAACATCTCTCCTCCCACTTTCGTGCAATTTGTGTCAGTGATTACGTGAAGTGGGACGGAAGTGTGTAACAGGAAGTTTGGGAAGCGCGCGCTATTTGATTTGATTTAAGAACATAATGTTCAAATGGCTTATTTCTTTTGTAGTAGGTTTTATTTCTTTTTTTACTAATATAAGGTGAGGTTTCAAATGTTACACATCATACGCGACTACTGTAAGGCTCGCTCGTTTTTTAACACGCTTTTATTAGGTTCACTTGTATGTAACTAACTATGTAATGGAATCTAAGAATCTGAATTACACAAACTTCTAATTCTTGTATCATCATGAAACTTGGCTATAATATATCGATAACCGTTTAAAACCGTTTTACGGTTTGAAATTATTAGTTTCCACAAAAAACGCATTTCGACAAAATTGTCGCTTACGATAATTTGGCGGTAACGGCTCGATATATAGATGACATGACAATACAATATTATGGTACCATCGAGCTGGTCTGATGATGGAACTGGAAGGTGGCTGATGGAACCTTGGACTGTCTACTAGTAAACATATTATCGAGTTTGGGCTCATTAGAATATATAAAAGTCTTTCCTGTTCCAGCGCCCCACGCTTTTATAATCAAATATAATAATTAGTTTACACTTCAGCCCAGAAATTGCGACAACTTGAACTATCCATATTTTATTTTTGGTTTTTACGTGCATTTATAAAAGCGTGTTTTTCTAGTTTTTTTTTAAACTATTTTTAAGAAGACTATCCAAAAACCATGAATTAGCGACTGTCGTACGAATCCGGGGTGTTTGCTAGTTTATGATATCTTAACATATACCTAAAATTTGGAAATTTTAGTTTTTCTTTCTATTTGGATTTGAATCCGAATTTGATACTTGGGATTCAGGAAAAAAAAATAAAAAAGTTTATGTGACACTTATTATTTTTAGGTAACACTGATTTATTTTATTTTAATTAGTTATATTTAAATTGAATATACAACTAAATATTCTGTGAATATTTCAAGCGTCTACCTGTTGCCGTTATCCTATCGTATGTTTCGAGCTAAAAACGGAAAAAATGATAAGACCCACTAAAATATTTATTTCATTCTGTTTTTAGTATGTGTTGTTATTACGATAACGGAAATGCATCATCTGTAAAAATTTCAACTATCTAGCTATCACGGCTTATGAGATACAGCCTGGTGACAGACAAACAGACAGACAGACGGAAAGTGGAGTTTTAGTATAATGCGATTCAAATAAGAAAAGGAAAGCCAATGACCTCTATCTGTCAAATGTCACTTGAAAAGTACGGTTTGCAAAAAAAACTTGGAACCCTTTTTTAGCACTCCGCTAATTTAAGAATAAAAACCAAACATTTATAAACAAACAATAACAAATATTGATAATTAATATCGGTTGATTTTTTTTTCACTTATTGAGCTTTGGCCATGAATGGTTGAATGGATGAATAACCTAAATCGTCAACCAAATGTAACTTTAAGTTGCGTTCAGAAACTCGATTTCAAACTTTCGTTTACTTATAGGATGCATGTTCGTAAGTGACCTAGTAATAGTGCATGATTATTCATAACTACTCCGGTGGTAATGCAGAGATGAGCGGAATAGGAGAGCTAGATTCTGATTAATGATTTTTCTCACAGTCTTAATAAATAAATATTATTAAAAATCGGTGGTTTTTTTTTTCTCAATCTTAGTAAACAAATGTTATTAAAAAAATCTGATGCTTTTTCTCACTTAATCTTAGTAAATAAGTTTTTTTAAATAAAAACTTTTTTTGCCCACTCTACCTATTTGGTTTGAATTGACAGCTATGACATCACAATATGGTGCCCAGTCGTTCCTATTCTTAGTTGAATTGTTGAGTTTTAAAAGAAAAAAAACAACTTACTCATATGTCGCCTTCTGCTCTTCAATAACCTGCACCAATCGGCTGTACGCATCGCCATCCTTACACTGGAAGACGTATTCCAACTTCTTGCTGAACATCCTCATCTTCAAACAGGCATGGTAGCACGCCAGTCCAAAGAGTCCATCGTACGACACATAATTCAAAACGCAAATAATCGCAGCCAGAAACATATAAACAAACATTATCTCAAAGAAGGGCGTCTCGAATCTGTCCTCTGGCGGTCGAAAAGGTATCTTCAAATCGTGCACCATGTATTTCTTGGGCTCGCTTTGGGTTAGGTGGCTGATAAACGTTAACACGATTCCCATGACTGGGAATGCCATAATGCACGCAGTGACGGTATAAGTCCAGAGCTGCTCGACAAAGAACACGCTGCTCTTTATGGACTCCAATGCGATCTGTTAAAATGAATTCTTTATCATTATGGACAGTCTTATAATGTTCCAAATACAGGAGCATGCTAATAATGTCGGTAATGTCCCAACTGCATTAATAGTCTAATAATGTCTTAACTTAACTGAACTTTCGCAGTAGTCAGTCACTGGATGGGTGACTAAAAATCTTCTATCTCGAGTTGCTCCGTGCTTCGGAAGGTACGTTAAGCCGTTGGTCCATCTACAGTCGTTAGCACCCGCCAATCCGCTAGGGTGGTGCGTCATGGCCCAATCTCCCTATTCCATCCATAGGGAAGGCCTGTGCCCCAGCAGTGTGGAAATTAATAGTCTGATAATGATGATGAATGTCTTAACTGCAGCAATAGGGTATCTGACAGTATTAAAAATAAAGTGCCAATTGTTAGCATCTGTGTTAAGAATGAATATTGGCAGGGATTTTTACTATTTTTACAAAAAAAATATTCATAATTCTACTAAAAACCCACGAAAAAGATAATCGTTTTCTTATCTATTGTCACGTGACCCAAAACGCTTGGGATTGGCGGAGCCTAAAATGACGTCACACGCAAGTAAACTTCCGGTTAAAGTGATATTACATTGTATCGTTTGACGTTTTAATAACAGTCGTGTGATGTCACACACTAATAAGACGCCATATTGTCCAGAAAAACGTTTCCGCGGCAACTTGACAATGGAGTTTTTGATTTGGTTATTTTTACTGAAATACACAACAGAATGATGAATATCCACTTTTTACGGACTCCATAAACATTAGTCAATAACGTGAGATCGTTTTCTAAAACTTGTCAAATACCCTATTTTGTGTAAAGTCCCAACTGCAGCAGCAATCTAATGATGTCTCAACTGTATTACTAGTCTTATAATGTCCCAACTCAACTGCAGCAGTAGACTTCAAGTCACTGAAATGCAGCTCACTCATATACTCCACTCATATTTACGTATATACTAATACTAAACATGGCCAGCGATATGCAAAATGCTACCAATATGCCCCCCCCCCCCCCCTGTAACAGCTAAACTATTGGCTTGAAAAACCTGGAAAAAATTCATGTTAATAGTGCTTTTCATGAACTTTCAAGGAAAAGTATAACGGTTAAGATAGATTTATTACTTTAAGGCTCGTATTACAGAATGACAAGTAAGTGCTGATCTTTAGTGTCGCCGCACACGCGAAGAGAAGCTAGAAGCGGCTACTAAAGTGGCTGAAGCGCGCGACAGCGGCCGACTAAGGTAAGGGAGAGAGGGGTGGGGAATCGCGCGAGTGAGGTGTGGCGGCGTTTTGTATCGACGCATTAAGTGGCCGGTGCGGGCCACAAGAAGCGAGCAACGACGACGATTTGTAGCGTGTGGCGGCCACCGGCGCGGCGTACCGTGTGTAGCGAGTCCGTATAAAATGTACAAGAAATATATGGCCCGTGTGCGGCGACACTTGAGAACAGTTAAAAAGGGATGTCGCTATATATAGGTATATAGCACATAGCGACATCCCTTCCTAACTGTACTCAAGTAAAGATCAACACTTAATTTCATTCTGTAATACGAGCGTAAGAGTAATAGTCGTTCAAGTTTGGTTTAAGAAAATCTTATCTATTGAAAATCCCTTAGAAGAAAACATTAATTGTGACATACTCGTAGATAGGCAACTACGGAACTTTACACTGCGCGTAGCATGACACGCACTTAACCGGTTTTCTTTTTTAATAATAACGAACATAAATACAAACCTGTTTTAGTTCGTGATTGTAGTTATTGTATGTGAGGTAATCGTCGTTGATTTCATCTATAATGCGTTTAACCTCAGCTCTCTTGTAGTGCATCAGAAACATCTGAAAATATTTTCCATATTCCTATTAAAAATGTGGAAATATTTCTGTTAATACTTTTAATGAATTGCGGATTGGAGATAAAACTAGGAGAAGGTGACGCAAGTACAGGTACTACTGTTTGTTGCAAAAATAATAATAAATTCATTTATTCAAGGTAAGTACCAAACACAGGTACCAAACATAGGCCCAAGTCGTTTGTAACAATTTGATACTTGGTGTCTATGTTAGTAGTTACACATTAAATTGTATTATTATATGCCTTGCTATCCAACGAGGAAATGCTGCCAGCCTATTGGGCACCATTCCTGACGGCGGCGGCAGGAGAGGGTGATAATGTTTTTATTTTGTAAATTTATATATTTATTGAAGTATAGATTATTTAAATGTAGTAGTAGAAATGTCATTGTCAAATGTGTACTGATTTTTACTTCTTGTTGCGTCCGTTGTGGCGCTGCTGTTCAAGTTTCCATACAAAATTTAACAATGACATTTCAATGGAGTTCGGACTCGCAATCTATTCGATATTGGGTCTGTACCCCTAGCACGAACCATTATCGAATTCGAATAGTTTGCAAACCGAAATGTCAATGTCAAATTTTGTATGGAAACTTGAACAGCAGCGGCACAAAGTACGTAACGAGAACTAAAAACCAGTATACATTTGACAATGAAATTTCGGACTCGGAAACGATACGAATTCGATATTAATTCGTGCTAGGGGTACTGTTGTTGTTACCTTGAAAAATGCCCCTAAAAAGGGTCCCAAGATGGTGCTGTGTCTGATTATATTGAACATGTCACTCTTCTGCCAACATGAGTACATATCTATTAATATTGTAACCACAATTGGTTGGAACAGCACCAACATCATAACTGAAATTAATAAACGTAATCATATTAAAAGCCTGCGTAGACGAGGTACTAATGTCCGCGGACTTTTTTTCCGCCAAAATAGAACGCTTAATTAATTAAAAATTAATATTTTTCGCGTTATAAATGAAAATAGTTACATTTTTTATGAGAAATATGCATTTTTAAACTTACATGTTCAATAATTACCTAATGAGATGAATGTAAACTACGGTCACATAAGTGTCGCCGCACACGGGCCACATGCCACAGTCACAAACGCCGCCACAAGAAGCTAGAAGCGGCTACTAAAGTGGCTGAATCGCGCGACAGCGGCCGACTAAGTTGAGGGGTGGGGAATCGCGCGAGTGACGTGTGGCGGCGTTTTGTATCGGCGCATTAAGTGGCCGGTGCGGGCCACAAGAAGCGAGCAACGACGATTTGTAGCGTGTGGCGGCGTTTTGTGGTTGTGGTCGGTGGCCCGTGTGCGGCGACACTAACAGTATATACAATGGCGACATACCATTTACAAAATAGTTTTTATAAGTCACTTCTCTCTCTATCTTTGAAGTTACAATTGTAATATAGCTATTTTTGGGTATAAAAACTAAAAACACCAGTTAAATTCGTTAAAATTTATTAAAAGCCATTGAACTTTAGAAAAGGGAATATTTAGGATATCTCTGCAATCAACTGCCTACAAAAAAATATACATACGAAACTGAACAAATTATTATGGATAATAAGTATCTCTGGCTATTTAGCTTCGACAAACACTTGTTAGTTTAGTGTGTGTCAAACAATTTTATGAAGATTTCTAAGACGCAACGTGCTAGCTTTCCGCCCGAGCCAGATTCTTAGCATATCTAGATCACAGCTGGTGGGCTGCTTCCGCAGACGACAGGAAACAACTGCATCAAGTAACAACCCAGACACCCCGAACAACCCAGGACACTGAGAGACCGGACAGGACAAGCGGGTGTTCCCAAAAAAATAGAACTCATGTCACAGGCGCAACAACGCACATAGCACAGCGAATTTTTTTCCGCCCAAGAAATGAAATTATCATCATCATCATCAGCCTATTAATGTCCCCACTGCTGGGGCACAGGCCTTCCATATGGATGGAATAGGAAGATTGGGCCATGACCCACCACGCGGGCCCAGTGCGGATTGGTGGGTGCTAACGACTGCAAATGCAGCCGGGACCAACGGCTTAACGTGCCTTCCGAAGCATGGAGGAGCTCGAGATAGTAAATTTTTGGTCACCCATCCAATGACCGACCACTGCGAAAGTTACTTAACTTCAACGATCGCAGCCGAACACGCTAGCCACCTGCGCCATCGAGCTCCGAAATAAGAATAAAGTATAATGAAATTATACTTTATTCTTATTGACAAAAGCTCTTTTAAATCGTCCAATATTTTTTTCATTCCCATTTAGGACATCTTTTAGCTGATGAGAAGAATGGGCTCAAGAAACTCGTCAGCGTTTAACAGAAGTAGCAACATTAAAAAAATCGCGTCCCCTCACATTTTAGGTGTATTCCGAAATATAAACCAGGGGGCCAATCGCCTAACTGGATTGCTTTGGAAAACTCTATCGCTTACGATTTCATTTTGTTTGATTGGCGATGGCCAGCGGTAATGACGTCATGATTTTGACGCCATATTGTACTGGTGTAGTAGTAGTGTTGTCAATATGGCGTCCAAATTATGACGTCATTACCGCTGGCCAGCGTACTGGTTTATATTTCGGAATACACCCTTTGATTGCTGTGCGTTTGCTGTCGAGTGCAAAGCGCGCTCGATTCGATTTAGAGATGGACCCAGTATTCTCTCTTAAATCGGCTTCTCTTTTTCTTAAACTTCATGTTAATTACAACACAGCGTAATCTGAAAATATTTACTTCCATAGCTCTAAATTTTCGGGCAGCAAATGATAACACTACGTATTCGTTGAGTCTGTAACAAACAAACAAACAAACAAAATCGTTTATTCAGTACAGTACACGGATACAGATAAAATAGTTATGGTTAAAACTTACAAAATGACTGATATCACTCCGTATCCACGGCTGCGCTGAAAAGGGCCCAGTTCAGCATAATGTCAGTGCAGTATGCACTGGCGCTGGTTTTCAACTGGGTCCTTTATCTGACAAGTGGATGCCAAACACTAACGATTTTTATATGCATAATTATATAATTTAAAGGAAATAATAAAAAATGGGGCAAGGCTGTGTTAATCCGTTGCCTTTGCACCGAGACTAGAAAATTCTTACACTACAAGTCCTTAGTGGACATTTTTAAAGTGAAACTTCTTATCGGACGGGATGTAAATGGAAAAGTCCTATGGAAAAGATGAAAAGGAAATGCGTCACGAGCGTCACATGACTATATATATATATATATCTATTTTATATATTTATATGTATGTGTGTGTGTGTTTATGTGTGTGGGATGCGTGCTCAGCTCTTCCCGACCTGCGTGAAATGGAGGAAGGATAGGCTGTTACAAGCTCTTGTGAATGTCGAAAAGTTACGCCATCGGTTCGCAAATCTACGGCGGGAGACCTTGTACTGAGAAAAACCGGCACGAAACTCAGCAAGGGCTGTTTTTTTTCCCCCTGTATTTTATACAGAGTCGTCAAATTGAATAATGACTTCAGTATGAGATAACTCATGAAGTCACTCGGACAAAAGTCCTTCGTGTGCGCAGAACATGACGAAAAGTTTGATGCCCTCAAGAAAGTTAGCCTCCCGTGCTGGATCCAGGCGCGGTCGCAGCCTGAAATTTTTGAGGGGGTCAATCACTACACTAATAGAAAATAGGTACCACTTATGGGAAGAGTTGCCAGATTTTGAGAAATGTCTTTATATTTGGGTATAAATCATCATGATAAACTTCGATGATATAATACATAGTAGTACTAGATGTCATTTCCAAGTTATTTTGGCCATCGTACGTAGTTCAAAAACACCACTAAATGTCAGCAAACTATAAATTTATCGCTGTTAGGGGATAGCTAGAAATTTCCTTTTATTTATTTTATTATTTGGCAATTTTTTGAGATTTTTCAATTTGACCTTAGATTTGGGGGGGTGGGGGTCATGTCCCCTGTAAACACCCCCCCCCCCCCCCCCCTTCAGACCGCGCCTGGCTGGATCTGGGTCGAAAAATAATAACATAGTATGCAGTATGCACCAGCTATTGTCTTTGCTGAGCAGGAAGCAGTTGAAAGACAGATCATCATAGTGCTACGCTGTAAAGCCGGGTACTCATAAGCGAGCTGTAACCGTAACATGCGTGATACAGTATGAGGTTCCAGTGTGTACGCTTGTAGCTCAGTTGTATAATGCGATTCAAATAAGAATAGGAAAGCCAACGACCTCCATCTGTCAAATATCGTTTGAAAAGTACGGTTTCCAATAAAATCTCGAAACACTTTTTTAGCACTCAGCTGATTCTAGAATAAAAACCAAATATTTTTAAACCAATTAATATTATTTCTTTTTCTTTTTCACTTATTGAGTATCGGTATCGTCTATGAATGGTTGATAACCTAAATCGTCAACCAAACGTCACTTTATATTGCGTTCAGAAACTCGATTTAAAACTTTCGTTTACATATAGGATGCATGTTCGTATGTGACCTGCATGATTATTCATAACTTCTCCGGCGGTAATGCAGAGATGAGCGAAATTGAAGAGCTAGATCCTGATTAACGATTTTTTTTCACACAATCTTGATAAAGAAATACTATTAAAAATCGGTTGTGTTCTTTCTTAACCTTAGTAAATTATTTTATTAAAAAATCGGATGTTTTGTCTCACTTAATCTTAGTAAATAAGTTTTATTAAATAGCAAAATTTTTTTGCTCATTCTACCTATTTGGTTTGAATTGACAGCTATGACGTCAAAATATGGCGCCCAGTCGGTCCTATTCTTAGTTGAATCGCATTATAAACGTCACCGCGTCGGCTCGCTGCAAGCCGCACGCGTACCGCTCGACGAAGACCGGGAGTCACGGCTGCCTGCCTTCTTCGGCCCACCCGTCTACGTCGGAGGGGAGCGGCTAGAGCGTCCTCCTCCCGCTCCCTCTCCGCAGCCTACTTCTGCGTCATCACCGATTCGCAGAAGGAGGCGGCAGTCTTCCAGGCCCTCTCGCTACCAAGCATGGCTCTAACCATGCTTGACAACGAGAGGTCTCCACCGCCGAGCGCCACAATCAGTGTGCGGCGCTCGTTTCGCCAGGCCGGGCACACGATTGGCGTGTGCTCGGCCGTGTTGTCGGGAGAGCGCAGAGATAACACCGCGGCGTCTCCTCCCGATGGGCGACACGGTGCAGGTAGTGACCGAAGCACCTATGTCCGATAAGTACCTGCATTCTATCCGTTACCATAGCATGCCATAACACAAGCCTTACAGTGCTTACTTTGGGGCTAGGCTAATTGGTGTGAGTGTTGGAAATATTTATTTATTATTATTATTAATTAAACAAGTACGTACCTATAGTAACTATACGAATCTTCGCAGTCCTCGGGTTAGGGAACATGAACCCAAGTGTGAGGCCGTAAGTGATCTTCTTGTACGTCTCATGAAATGGTTTAATCCTAATTTCTGAGAGAAAGCAAAAAATTCTTAGAAAATATTAAATGGCCGCGGTAAGTTTTAACTCATCCACACATAACAGGCCAGTGCCGCCGCATTATGCTGAAGCAGGGTCAAGGGCGGATCCGGGGGGGGGGGGGGTGTCATGGGGGTCATGACCCCCCCTGGGCTGGGTACAGATGGACCAAACCCAGGGGATTTTATTTACGTAGTTTCAATATTTAATATACCACGACTATATGACCCCGCCCTGGCGCCAAAGCTGGCTATATGACCCCCCCCTGGCGATAAAGCTGGATCGGCCCTTGAGCAGGGTCCTGACTGACGATCTCCGTGACCGAGTCGTTTGTACGCCGGGTTTCAAGGTATCGCCAACTCGAGAGGTCCCGGGTTCAAATCCCGGTGGGGGC